CTTCCATGGCATCACCACAAATCTAGCTATTTAAAAGGGCCATGTTTTGAACCAAAGGTTCCTCGTTTAATCTGAAATATTCGCGAAAATCTGGACTATTCTGGGAAACGCAGGGAATTTTTGCGAAACATTAGGAGAGAGTCTGCAGGAACACCCTGACAGTTTAAATTGGGTAGTTTCCACTTACAACTACCATATCTCAGTAGGTTTTACAATGCCAGCTATAAGTATGTTTTAACATTGTATAGAACTAGTTTTTAAAAAGATAGGATATTGCATTTTAGTGACGAGCAACAATCCCGGTTGAAAGCAATGATTGCATTATGACCCAGACTGCCAGTTAATTCAGATCATGATGAATCTGTTGAAATGGGTGCTAAGGGCGGGGGGGTCTACTGGCGACGTATCCTTGATTTCCCCCAGTATTTCTGTTAGTAACCTACTGCCTCCTATGGTTTTTAGAAAATTAATTAAAAAAAGAAAAATTAACAATCCAGGCACCAACTTTGTGAGACTGATGGCTGGTCTTTAATTTCACTCCTTTTTGCAAAGAAAAAACTAAAGTTGGTCATTAGGCTATTGACTGCATATGGTCATATAAAGTGTTATACAAAATAATCCCCTTGATGTATTGGCCCAAGTATCCGATCCTTGAAAATATATAATCGGGCTAGGATAGTATTTTAAAAATCAATATGTGTCTATAAATTAATATTATGGTTTGGTGCTTTTCTTGTTTTCTTAAATCAAGCTACACGTGTCAGAAGCTAACCCTCCACGTTGCTTGGACTGCTTATCCTAGAAGAGTCTCAAAATGATTGGCTTGAATGGTTGCGAAGATTCTAGCAATTGATTTACCTAAAAGAGTCTCCAGCGTCCCTGCCTGCTCTAAGTAATAGTGATTTCTTATTCCTATCTGTGGATTTATCCTTTTAGCTGTCCATACTAATATCACTTCTCTAAAATTTTTAGGATAACCTCATTCGTGCGAATGTTTTTTTTAAGCTAGTTTTTAATTTATTTAAACTGAAATCTATTTTGTAAGAAAAATGGTGTCTAAATATATGGCCTAATTTTAGAAGGTATTCAAAATTTGCCCTTTTCTAAATTAGTGGCTACCGAATTTCTCTGGCATGGTACCAAGTAAAAGTTTAATTTAACGTAATTGAAGGATTAAGACCATACCTCAAGATTAAATAAATACAGTGAAATAATGTAAGATTAATTAGTTCTTAACCCTTGTTCACCTTGTTCATATATATTTAAAATTTATTGGACATTTGTCAACTTAAAAATATTTTAAAACGAGCATCAGATGTCTATGCTAATTTTCCTTTATATATTGCTCACATGGTGCAAATGGCACCATTATGTCTCGTAGGATAATGCCTTTGTTTTCTGCTAGGGATGGGGAATATAAATTTGAGAAACTGAGTGACCTGGGCTAAGTTGTTAGGGTCTTCCCAGAGGGTCTTCTTATGTTAGGAGAAAAAGTTAAATCAGGTTCCTGTACCATTTACCATTACTATTATTATTCATTGATGATTATTTAATTTAATTATTTTCTTCCTCCTCTGCTTACTAGTTCGTTTTTTTTATCACACGCCCTACATTAACTTTTATTACTTTTTCTTTTTTTTTTATTATCTTTTTTTTTTTTCCATATCGCAACTCCCGTCTTCTCTATTTTCCCCTAATCTTTTCATATCTGGCTTTCGACACTCTATACTATCCTATTATTATTATAATTTATTACTTACTGATTTATTGATATTTTAACTACTATGTTATTTATTATTATCTATTCATTATTCTATACATGTCACCCTATAATGTACTTGTCATCTTATCTATCTTCATCACTTCATCATCCATCAATCTATAATCATCGTTTCTGTCTTCTTGCGTCATTCTTCTTCATTTTTCAGAAAGTATGAAGATGCGAGTTTGCCAGGAAAAATGGTCGAACATTGAATCTTGAATATTGTAAGAGGAAAGTCCCAGGAGATGGCCTATGAACTTGAAAATAGGCTGTTGATACAAACAATGTCTGCCGAAGAAACGTACAAGTACTTGGGAATGAGACAGGCAAGGCGCATTACCCAAAACAAAATGAAAGTCGAGCTTACGGAGGAATTCATACGAAGGACCCGAAAACTCTTGAAAACAAAGTTGAATGGAAAAAATATCATAAAAGCTCTTAACACCTATGTTGCTCCAGTTCTTCACTACTCATTTGGCATTATCAAGTGGAGTGTATCAAGTGGAGTGAAACTGACACTAATACCTTGCAACGAAAAATGAGTTTTAATGACAAAAGCATCCAAAATCTGCAGTCGAACGTATAACTCTTCCGAGAAATATGAGAGGAAGACAACTCGGAGATATTGGCAACCAACTTTACCAGCAAGTGAAGAACATGTTAATGTATTTCCACTCTGCAGCAAATACTTCAACATTGTTTAAGGCAATTTGTGAAGCTGACGCCTATTCTCCATTAGAGTTGTCGCAATAGGAGGTTGCGGACTTCTCATGCAACGATGACCAAAAGCGAGATTTATAGATGGCGATACCTATTCATAGAAGCTCTTCACGAGATGAGCCAAGTGCATGTCGATATGAAAGCACCGAACAACTGGCTTATATCGGGACAAATCTTTCCAGAAACTGAAGGGTTTATGATCGCTATTCAGGATCATGTTATCCCAACACGTAACTATCTGGGAATGTGCAGAACGATTCATGTCATTATGGTTGTCCAACTGTTGAATCAATTCAACATGTTACCTCAGGTTGTACACATCTGGTAGGCACTGAATATAAACAACAACATGATACAGTGCCCAAAATTTTACATCAAGTTTAGCTCAGAAATGTTGTCTTCTGACTTAAGAAAAGGTACTGTACTTTATGTACCAACCTGTGAGTGTACTGGAGAATGAAGAGTGGCGCTTGTATTCGGATAAAACTATCTTAACAGAACAGACAATGATTCACAACAGACCAAATTCTTCTTCTTCATCTTCTTCTTCTTCATCATCATCTTCTTCTTTATCATCATCATCATCTTCTTCTGCATCATCTTCTTCTTCTTTATCATCATCTTCTTCATCTTCTTCTTTATCATCATCATCTTCTTCTTCTTCTTTATCATCATCATCATCTTCTTCTTCTTCTTCTTCTTCTTCTTCTTCATCTTCTTCTTCTTCTTCTTCATCATCTTCTTCTTCTTCTTCATCATCATCTTCTTCTTCATCATCATCATCATCTTCTTCTTCTTCTTCTTCTTCTTCTTCATCTCGACTTTCATTTTGTTTTGGTTAATGCGCCTTGCCTGTCTCATTCCCAAGTACTTGTACGTTTCTTCGGCAGACATCGTTTGTATCAACTGCCTATTTTCAAGTTCATAGACCATCTCTTGGGACTTTCCACTTACAATATTCACTGTTCGACATTTTTCCTGGCCAAACTCCATCTTGATACTTTCTGAAAATGATTCCACAGTACTCAGTAGTTGGACAAGTTGAGATTTTGTATATTGAATTGAATTGAATTGAATTTGCCTTATTTTACGTGGCGAGAAGATTTTGTGGCGAGATTACGTGGCGAGAAGAAGATTTTGTATATATCTTCAAATCATCCATATACAAAAGGTGATTTATATAATACATTATTCTTGTGCCTGATTTAATAGCAAATCCACATTTAGTGGAATTCAAGAGATTAGATAGTGGATTCATACAGAGGACTTAGCGAGTCTCCCTGAAAGATACCTCTTCGCACGTTGATAGTATCAGTTTGGATGTTGTCAACAGGAGTACTCAAGATAATTTTTGTTTGCCAGTTCATTATCATATGTTCCAAGAAGGAAACATTTTTTGTATCAACCTCATAGATCTTAAGTATGCCAGGTATGTGGTACAGAATCGAATGCTTTATTATAGTCAATATACGCCATGTGCAAGTTGCAATGTTTTGCATATGCTTGACCACACACTATTGAATCTATGATTAATTGTTCTTTGCAACCCAGGGAGCCTTTGCTACAGCCTTTTTGTTCAACTGCAATAATATCGTTGTCACTACAGTGGGCATATATTCGTTGAGAAAGACACGATGTAATGATTTTATACATCGTTGGCAAGCAAGAAATAGGGCGGTATTTTGTTGGATCTTCTTGTTTTTGTGGGTGTTTGGATATCAAATATGTCACCCCCTGGGTAAGAAATTCTGGCATCTTTTCTGGTTGTTGTATGACCTCATTGATTAATTCAGCCAGCCTTTGGTGAATACCCCATAATCGTTTATACCAAAAATTTTGGATTTTATCTGGACCTGGAGCTTTCCAATTTAGTAGGTTCTTGATTACTCCACCAATATCTTCAGTTGTAAATACTTGGTGATGCATCATTGTAAGATGTTCACAACGTTTCATCGCTTCTCCAATCCAGCTCGCTCTCGCGTCACGTTCTTCTGCATCGGACAATTGCTTACTCCAAAAAAATCATTAACTGTTGTTGTGTTGGATACAGTCTTCTATAATTGTCATCTTCCTTTCTTCCCAGATTTCGGTAAAAATTCTTTTCAGATTTTTCAAACAAAATGTTATCTTTTCTCCTATTTCTGCTTGTTCTGTATCTGGACAATCGATTTGTCAAGACTGATAGTCTCTGTTTCAGACACCTCATCCAGTTGTAACTCACGCCTGACTTCCATTTGTATAGCCTGGAGCCATGTCTCAGGGACCAGTTTGTTATGCAGAATTACTCTATACTGATCAAACACTCTTTGTTCAGTCACGGAATATTCAGGAAAACTTTGTTGAAATTCCTTACATAATTTCTGCCTATATCTGGTTACATCAGTGTCAATTTTTGTGATCCGGTAGTAGATCCTCATTATTTGTTCATTAACAGCAGTTGGTAATTTCCTAGTTGTGTTGGCAGCCTTGCTTGGATGTGCACTGGTTGTAGCACCTGCACAACACCTTTAGCTGGGGAGACATTCAATGTTGGTTAGCTCCTTTCAGGCTGTCGCATTTCGGGTATCCCAATCAGGGCCCGCCTCCACAACTGGTCACCATCAGCTCGCATACTGTCACCCCCAGCAATGGCTTCAGAGGTGCTCCGACGCTCCTCGGGTAACGACATATTTTCCAAGGCTTTCTTTCTAGTACGAGTCTCCATATTAAATTAAATGGGTGCATTTTATTCCTACTGCCAGGTTGGTCCTCTTCTGATGTTGTTGAGGCCCTCATCTTCTGGAGTACTTCTTTGTCTGTCCCCTCACCATCGACCTGTCCGGCAAGAGAGGCCCTACCAGTAGCTAAGCTACCGCCAGCATAGCTCTCAGGATCATTAGGGTACTCAAGCTCCACCACCAACGTCAAGGTCATGTTCTCCGTCAGGTGGAGTTGTTATTATTATTATTGTTGTTGTTATTATTATTATTGTTGTTATTATTATTATTATTATTGTTATTCTTATTCTTATTGTTGTTGTTATTGCTACCTTCAAGGCTTGGCATCTAAGACCTTTAGCCTTGTTACTGATCGACATTAAAATTAATCATATATTAAATTCAAATTTTGTAGTAAAGATTGGCCTCTTTCAGGAACTTTATTGTTTTGTCTGTTGCCGCATCTGCATGCATGCTGCATGCATGCTGCATGTTGCCACTCATGCCGCATCTGTTATTTTGGTAGTTTCGTATGTGACAATTCTATCTGCTCTTATCTGCACAACTTTTCTTGAACAATAGCCTTCCTTCCCCCTCCCTAGCTTAACAAGGTGATGATGTCCAGCAAACACTGAGGTTAACGTTCCAAACTCATCTTCTTTGGTGTGGAACAAAAACCATTTGCAGTTGTAGAGATCTCCAATTGTTTTTTTCCTTTCAGAAAACAATAAGTAAATGGCTTAGGGAGGTGTAAGACCTTTACAAGAGATACCTTGAACTCTTGGGAAAGTTACCAGAATATATAACACTAGTGTGAGGGGCTGCTGTATGCAAACACCTCTTCACTCAACATTCGTCACCACCGGCCAGAAATTCCAAGCATAGAAAACTACCCCTTAAAGAATTCGTTTCCCTTTGCCTTTCTCTCCATCCATCTCCCTTTCAATGTCTTCCATCAGTAGTCCATCCTGTTCTCTCTTCCACAATGCATCCCTAACAAATGCCAAAAACAGACAGTGAACTGTCTGCCATGAGGGCACATCGACATACAACAGGATTGAGCTTCCTTTGGACACAAGCCATGAGTGTACCCGAGAGAGATGGCATCTCACGGCAACTGTCAGCAGCAGCAGCATTAATGGCAGCATGACAATGAACCTCGAATCACTTGATCTCAACTTCCCTCATCTGTAGGAACGTTCTGTGCCTGATATGGATGTACGAGAATGAGAGAACTATGGTGTGTCTGTGTTGGTTGCTTAAAAAGATTGACATCCCTGTCAAAAGAAGAAAAAAAAAGATTGAAACTGATAAAATGTTTTGGAGAAATGTAAGCAAAGAGGCCACTCTGATAGATGCTCAATATCTTCTTAATAACAATTTTTTGCAGTTTCAAGAACGTCAACGGAATCTGATTCACTCTCAAATTCCAATAAATGAGAATAGGAAGTGTTTCCTTCTAGACTCTGATAATGAAAAGTCATTACCTGAATTTTCATATGACACATAACACATCCTTTTCTTCACAAAAGCAGTGAAAAAAATTCAGAACACCACACAAGAAAGAACTTTACTTGAAAGATCTCTCAAACTCATTGACAGGATAGTATTGACTGGCAACAGTGCTCCAATAATTTATCTTAGCCAAGTATAGACAGAATGTTAACAGATATTTTGACACAAGGTAGCTTGGGATACTATTTTATCTTGTTACAAGCCTAACCCAAGTTAACTCAAGATAAAGGAAGAAGGGGTAATCATAATTTAATTTGTGTAAACGCCATTAAAACAAAATAAAATGATTGGAAGAATTGTTGAATTTTGTTAGAGGTAGAGTAAATTACATTGTTTCAAAAGTTGATAAGCATTGCTATGAATTCTTGGTTTTCATAAGATTTAATTAAAGAGTAATAAAGGTAATAAATAGTAATAAAGGATAAATTATTGTTTATCCTTTTTCTTATGCATGTGTGTGTCTGTGCAGATCATGCTGGGCATTAGCTCAGACATATTCACAGCTTCCTCGTGACCTGTTCAATGCTGCATTTGTGTCCTGTTGGACTGAGCTGGGGAAGAGTAAAGCCATGCAGACTGAGCTCATTGCAAGCTTAGAGCAAGCCCTCATGGTGCCTGATCTTCCTGAGATCACACAAACCATTCTCAACCTTGCAGAATTTATGGAGCATTGTGATCAGGTGTGTTCTATTGGAATATTTTGTTTGTATACTGTATTGTTTTTCCAAGTAATTCATTCCTATTCTTTTCCACTGTTCTGTAAAGAGGCTTATGTATTATATTTTCATTAGTTTGCTTTAACCTTTTGGCTCTTTAGTTGATCCACATCTCCTGGGTTACTGTAAAACTTGTTTTCTGCAGGCTTCTGAGATATTATGCCCCTTTGCACTTCTCTTGTTACCTTTTATGATGCTGGGGTGAGACCTTCGTGATCCTCAGCTTCCAGATTGCCACACATTTCCTCATCTTAACCAATTCTCAGGTTATTGTATTGTTAAAGCATTCTTCCACCTTGGCGTCTTGTAGCTGGTTGTGGGAGAGCATATTCCTATCTGGAGTTGGAAGGAAGTGGGTTTGAAAGGTGATACATGGTGGATAAGAGATTCCCACAATGCCACATCATAACATCTATACCTTAACACTATTTGAACTCACCGCTTTAGTGAAAAGAGAACTTAGACACAAGTGCCCTTAGCCCAAGCATTAAAATGCTAGGAAAGAATGGAAGGAAGATAATTGAAAAGAGCAGGTACACCGGGGGACACTCACTGTGCCACAACAGACAAACAAACAAACCATGCATTGGGCTAGATTAAAACTTGTGACCCTTTGAGCCAAAACGGTTAAGTGAGGCCTGCTGTAATGATCTTTAATATCCAGGTTTGCCTCGGAGAGGCTTGTTTGGTGCTGTCTTTGTAAATGTACATTCCTAATAAAAAATATTACACAAATATTTATTTTCAAATAAATCATTATGAAAGTTCTCTTTTTTCCTTGTAATAAGCCTGCTGTAAGTGTATGCCAAACTTCTGTTCAGTTAAATATAACTCCAGCTTTGGCACGGTGTCCAAAATGATCTTCAGATGTACCATATTTGTTATTTTCATTTCTTACCCTTTAAAGACTGAATTTCTCCAGAAATAGTAACGCTCATGTTTGTGTACCTGGTCCTATTTTACCCGCATCATAACTCGTAGCGTTGCATTTTGGTTTGAAGGGACCTTTGCCCTTGGACCCTCAGTTACTTGGAGAGCGTGCGATGCACTGCCGTGCATATGCCAAAGCACTTCATTATAAAGAAGACGAATTCCACCGAGAACCCAATGCCCAGGTGTTTGAGGCACTCATCTCTGTGAACAATAAGTTGCAACAGAAAGAAGCTGCAGCTGGTGAGTAAAAAAAAAAAAAAGTTGTAACAATTTAAGGCTTCATGAAGAAGGATGCTGCTTTAGGGAGCCTATGAGAGCATCCTCTTAAGCAGAGGGGCAGGATTCCTCTCATGAGCCTCTCCTTACGAGTATGATTCAGGATAATGTATATATGAAACAGCAAAATATGGTCTTAAATATTAATACAATTAATAAGAGTAAGTTATAAATGGGGAAAAAAGAATATAAGGTGTAATATCAAAGTATGCTCTTAATTTTCAGAGCATTTACAAGCATACAAAATTAACTTACTGAATTTGAAGTTACATTAATAAAATATTTATTAAAGAAATTTTAAAAATAAATATTTCTTGTTCTACTGGATTAAATTTTTGCTCTTTGGATTAAATCGTACAAATGTGGGGGACTCGATGACCGACAAACTCTAACATTGTCATTGTGGTGCAACATGCCTGTGACAATCTTTCAAAAATTCTCCTGAAAGATCAAGAAAACATGATGTCGCGTATACTTTTTATACTTAAAGATAACATTTTCAATGTGCACTGCACGTGTTGCAACATAGGCAGGAAAAGGTTAATCCAAACAGAGTGTGTGCATTTTATCGCATTATGTGAGGTACTACATTTTGTCTACTGACAATTACAAATACATATAAGAAAAAAGACGCTGATTTTTTTTATTAAAAACTATTTTGCAAACTATCAAAACTGGCTTAAAATTCCAGATTTTTAGAAAATCACAAACACTGTTTGGCTCCAAATAAATGGCTCCAAATTGTTTCTTCGAACTTTTGCAACAGATAGTGCTGATTGCACTCTTTAATATGATGTTACGTTCTTCTTTCTTTAAAAAATTACAAATTTGTAATTTTTTGAAAAGATTAGTTACACAGTTAATATGCATTTAACTTTTCTAGCAATTTGTAAACACTATTGTACTTGTGAGTTAAAGTACTTTAAATGACTTCTAGTGAAGGTATTCAAAAAAAATTTTTTTTTTTTTTTAAATTGCAAAAATAATTTTTAAAAGTTCAAAATTGAAGATAGAGATTTTAGACTCACACAAAGACTGTTATACAAATTTACCTCTTTAAAAATGGTCATGTACAATTTTTTGAGAGAATGAATAGTTTTCTTGCATAATTTGCACTTGAAATTAACAAACAAAAAAAAAAAAAAAAAAATTCTCAAAACCACTCTAAAATTTTTCTTGTATATATAGAGAGTACACACATAGACATACATACAGAATAATATATGTAGTATTGAGAAAGTTATGTAATGCTATGGAAAATTGATTTCGAAATTTCAAAAGAGGTCCCCTGAAACTGAGATAGTTTGGTCCCCTGATACTGACAGTATTTTTTTTTTTTTTTACATCTCTCCATCTGTCTGTGAAAAACTCTAAACAATGCTTAACATTCTTTCCAAACTAAATAAACCCCTGTGAATCCAGACTCACTTGAAAAATATTCAATGATTTTTAGGGGTGGTTTACATAAATCTGCTGGGATGTTTTCAAAGTTTTCACTAAAATGGCTTCAAATTTCTTCTTTAAATTTACTATAAGAATATAGTAAAATAAATCACTTAAAGGTGGCATAGGTAAGATTTTCACTGTTAACTCTGAATTTTCGATAATTGCAGAAGTTGAACATTCTTGGCATCTTCCTACAATTACAAAATGAAAAATAGAGATTTCTTTTTTATGTAAAATTTATTCACCATAATTAGTTCTTCCGTTAAAGGCGTGTGCATTTTTTTGAAAATTTTAGTAGTTTTTGTGCAAGAATACGAGAAGTAGGCCTGCATGCTTAAAAATAACAAAAACCAAAATTTTTCAAAAACAGTCGTAAATTTTTTCTTCAACCTTTTCATAAGGATAGTCCTAATTGCACTGTTTAAGATGACACAAAAGCCATTTTGCTATATTCTTTTCATTTTTTTCCAAAAATTATACAAATGTAATTTTTAAAAATATTTCTCATGGCTGTAATATGTACATTTCCAGCAATTTATGTAATCATTATTGAATCTGTGAGTGGAAGTGCTTGAAATGACTTCCACTATAGTTTTTCAAAAACTCAAAAGTTTCCAGTGAAAAAGCGCTTCGTATTTCAGATTTACAAAAATGCCATTTTCTTCAAAAACAGCTCAAAAGTTTTCAATGAATATATCCTTATAGGCCAAGGTTTTACTCTTCTAAAATGTTCAAGTTATATTTTTGTTTTACTATTAAGAAACTGAAAAATTGAGAAAATTTCCAAAAAATTACTTTGGGAGCGATAGATGGGAGCTGGCAAGACTTCGCGCCAATTCTGAATAGCTATCCCAGACCAAAGAAAATAGAAAACTAACTAGTATGAGAAAGTCTGTGTCTGTATCAATACTAGTTCATAAATTCTGTATTACATTACATTTTATTAATTTTGTATATCTTATTGTTACTCTACCAATTTTCTCAAAATTTATTTGCAAAAAATATTTAATGAATTTTCGATGTTGCAAGCATGAGGTTCATTATGATTTCAGTGCACAGCCCAGCTGCTGAGGTGTCCTAGTGTGTTCATCCTGTCAGTACCTCAAATAGAAAATAGATACTTTTAATTTTTTTTAACCCACTTCTAGTTCATTTAGGTTTCTTCCATGTAGGATTTTTAAACAGTGAAATTGAAGATTTTTTCCCTCACCTCTCACAAGAGGTATCTTTAATGTCTTATTTGTTTTAATTCAAACATATTTTTAGGTTTGTTGGAGTACGTGATGAATCATCAAGGATCAGAGCTTCAAGTGCAAGAAAGATGGTATGAGAAATTGCATAACTGGGAGAAGGCTCTTGCATCATATGAAGAACGCCTAATGACAGGATGTGATGACTTGGAAGTGGTTTTGGGTCAGATGCGCTGCATGGAAGCTCTTGGTGAATGGTGAGGCACTGTATTCTCCCCTGAAAAGCAAAATGTTTTGTTGCAATCTGTGGCAGCACGTGGTCATGCTAATGCAAAGGGTGTGCAAAGCCTTTCTTATGTCTCCCTTCCTATCACCTGCTTTCTTCTCTCACTCTCCCTCCCCCCCTTCTCTCCCCTCTCCCCTCTCCCCTCTCCCCTCTCCTCTCTCCTCTCCTCTCTCGCCACTCTCCTCTGCTCTCTCACCACTCTCCTCGCACTCGCGCCACTCTCCTCGCTCTCTAGCCACTCTCCTCGCTCTCTCGCCACTCTCCTCGCTCTCTCTCACATGTACACACATACACACAGGCATACACATATGTTCAATAACATAAATAATGACATTCAAACACACAAGGTATCTTATGCAGTTTGATAGCATGCTGAACAGTTCCTTTTATTAGCAGTGAGGGTTTGACACATTTCTTTTTACAACACCCGTTTCGACTTCGCTTGGCTAGGACCCTTCTGTAATATTTACGACTTGGATAAATAACATGTGGCGGCACAATGACTCGACTCATTCCAGAACAGTTTTTCAAAGTGTACAAGAGTTCTATTTTCACATTGTTTTGAAACTTTTTTACTTGCACTTTTGCCTTTTTGAGAGTTGTTTGGTTTTGGATGCTATTCGTTCCACAAACACTCTAACTTTGGTTTTTCAAAATGTATTGAAAAGTTGCCTACTACATGTTTACAAAATACATTTTGATTTTCACATGGTTTGGAATGGATTGCTAATTGCAACTCACTTTAAAACATTAAAAAATGTGCATATAACATTCAATAAACACAACACTTCACAGCAATGCGTTCACGTTTTACACGCTAGCAAAGAATTGCTTTGGAATGGATGAGAGCTCATTTAAGTGGAGAGAGATCTCACAAATTCTTCATTCAATGTCACATTTTCTTCTCTTAAAAACTTCTGCTAGCTGTGAGTATATCTTCAAGACATGTCAAAGCACTTGCAGATTGTCACTGCAGTAAAATTTGCATGGTTCACAGGGTGCTCCAACTCTCCATAATTCACCAATGTTACTCTTCTACCTGCTGTCCTGTGGCAGCCACCGACCCCCTTTCCTTGGTCGCATTTCCTGAGTGTGTGCTGACTGGCCATCACGAAGGGCATTTGCAACGGACTGTCAATCACAGGTTCTGAATGGCGTGGGTTCTGAAATACCAACTTTAAGAAATGCTCTGAGAGGACTTCCCCTCATGTTAAAATAGAGGACTCCCCCTCTATTTCCCTCTTGTTAAAATATGTTTTAAGAGAAATTGCACTGAATTAATGTGGGTGTGCACATGTGAATATGTGAGTACCCACGAGACACCACTAGTTACAATGATTGATACCCAGAATTCATATTTATTGAATTAATTAATGTAATGGAATATTGTAATAATGAAGTTGTTCTTGTGGAATTCAGTGAAAAGAAAAAACAATGCTCTTATAAAAAATTAAGATGACTGAAGTTTTAAAATTATTTTTCTGTTATTACTCTCTGTTTCTGTGCTTTCATGTATTCCCAATTCAGTATTTTCAAGGGTGGAGAGGTTTTGAAATACTGATTTGTTAGTTTCAATTAAGCACATTTTCAGGGTCATGATGATGATGATGATGATGATGATGATGATAATGATGTAGTTGAGGAAATTTGTGTTTACTTTAAAAAGTATTATTGTAATATGGGTGTTTCATAAAATAATTCTTTTAATCTGTCACAGGGGAAAATTGAGTAATGTGGCAGCTGTTAACTGGACCAATGCTGGAGATGAGGGTCGTCAAAAAATGTCCCGGATGGCTGCAGCCGCTGCATGGGGTGTGGGTCAGTGGGACACCATGGAGCAATACGTCAACTGCATTCCCCGCGATACACAAGATGGTGCTTTCTATCGTGCTGTGCTGGCTGTTCATCGGGATGAGTTCTATGCTGCACAGCAGGTGAGGAAAGTGTTTTGTAAGTGCGTAGGGCAAATCATTGCAAATGTTTTATAAAAAATAAACAGCCTTACTAGTTACAAAAGAAGAAATTATTTCCAACTTCTTTTTTATGTAACAATTAATTGTGCATAGGAAACTGAAATACATTCACTTTCAAATCTTCGGCAATAAATGATTGCAGTGATTTTCACAATTCCGCTTTTGCTGTTACAATACTTACCCAACTCTACACAGTGCACCATCGAATCTTTTCTGTCTCCTCTCCAGAGTTGCCCTTTTCCCTTCAAATCATGTTTTAGCAGTCACTGCTCAAACGCAATCTATTGCTTGTAACTAATACAAATTATAACACTAAACTACCCTCACTTCATACTTTTATGTACTCTTCTTGTTCTTCTTTATCACACTAATTTTTCATATTGTCATTCCTCCATTTATTTGAAATTTACTGAAGCAAACTTTTAACTTCTGTAGAGAATTTTTTGAATTTGTTTTGCTTACAATCATCTTTTAACTATAAATAAATAATTTTCTTGATTCAGCAGTGGTAAAGTCTTAATTTTAGTTACCAATATTCTCTTAAGATTTATCTTCAATATAGAAAAATACTCAGAGAAACCTCCTTGGAAGATCATAGAAGACTTTGAGTTCATTGAAATGTAAATGTTAATTTGTTTATAAGGTGCTTGAGAATTGCATTGATGGATTTTTGTGCAAGTTTTCACTGAATAAAATTAGAAAATGTGTGCGTGATTTTGAGATGAAACATCACCAAGTGTGTTACTTAAATTATTTACAAATTTGAAATTTGTTAATGAAATTATGATACATTATTATAAGTTATTAAGTACTAGTTAATTAATAAGTGCTTTCCACATTATGAATAATTGGATGTAAAATTAAGGAAAACCTAAAAATATTAAATGTTGCTTATAATAAAGAGAATGGTATGCCTACATAATTTATTTGTTGTAGCTTATTGATTCTGCTCGAGACCTGCTCGACACTGAATTGACGGCCATGGCAGGTGAGAGTTATCAGAGAGCGTATGGTGCCATGGTATCTGTACAGATGTTAGCAGAGTTAGAGGAAGTGATGCAGTACAAACTGGTACCTGAGCGTAGGCCAACCTTGCGGCGAATGTGGTGGGATCGCCTTCAGGTAAATGTGGTTTGAGGCATCACCATTTATTTGTTTTATTTATATTGAATCAGTTTTGTAAACTGGGTGGCGGTGTTGGTGCTAATTTGTCAGTTTCGATTACTTTTTGAGGTTGTTTAACTGTTTTATGTCATTGTTGTAAGTTTTAAATATTGTGTAGGGTACAATCTGGCTATACAATCGGAGGCGTGCTTTTTTCAGCTAGGAAGGTGAATGTATTTTTCTTCTTTTTGTTGCATAGTATTTTCTAACCTCAATTTTTAGGAACAGACGGTCCTGGAGGAATGTTGCCACCAAGAAACGAATGTAATTTTCTTTAACACCAAACAAGACTCCAAACATCCTGATGATCTTTAGAATTTAAATTCTGTATTGATTAGCATTCCTAATTTTCCAGCTGCCAAGACAATGAAGTGTTTTGGTAGGCCACGGAACGGTGGACATTGGCATTTACCTCTAAAAGCCTGTTTGTCTCACCGTCAGGATGAAATGTTTTGCCCCACAAAGGTGACCTAGGTAAACATGGCTTACCAACAAAATATTTTGAAGCATTTGAGGGATAAGCTGGCCAGATAGTCAGAGGAGGGAAAACTGAACGATTTGGATAGTAGACAAAAAAATCCTGATATCTCGGGAATGTTCTTTTACTTTTTCATGCAGTAATTTGAAGGTTTACTGCCAGAATGTGCGAGGCTTGAGGACCAAACTATCAGACCTAGGGGGCATGGATGATTACATGACAGAGACTCTTCATCTAGCCGATGTAAGAGAGGTGGTGGAGTTCTTATTGCTGTTAAGGACTCCATTCACTGTATTAAAATTAATGAGAGTTATCCTGGCATTGAACAACTCTTCCTTAAACTTGGTGGATGGTGAAGTGCTGTCGGGGTGGTTCACCTTCCTCTGGTGTGCAGTTCTGATATGCTATGAAGAGTGTCTTCTGGGAGTTCCTGAGACACATCGATCTGAATCCTCGGTGATTATTGGGGACTTCAATCTTCCTGAGGTCTGTTGGAATGATCTTCTGGATGGATCCAGCGCACTGTCTTCATCCTCAAGAATTGCAGAAGCTGCCTTGTCTGGATGCATTTGCTCTTGCTGATGTTTATCAACTCAATAATGTTGTGAACTTGCATAGTGCACTGCTAGACTTAATTTTATCCAATCAAGATTCCATTATTGTCACAGAGTGTATTGATGCCCTGTTAACGTGCGATGCACATCATCCTGCTCTAGTTTTTGAGCTCCAATTGGTGATCAATTTATCTTCTTCAATGTTGTCAACGGTAGTTTGCAACCTTCAGAGGGGAGACTATTGTTCCAGACGTTTTGTCTATTGTTATTTTCTAAATTGTACTGATGGGAATTATGCTTTAAAAATTGTGATATTAATGATAGTGTAGATCAGTTTCATGACATTTTATATTTTTTGATTAATCATCATGTTTCTAAATGTATAACTTGTGATTCTAACTATCCGTCAAGGTTATATTGCTGAATAGAGAACTTTTGTTAAGCGAAAAGAACACATGTCACAAAAAAATTAAAATTTACAGAACTATGGCTCTATACTACAAATGTTCAGCACTGAGATCTGAGTGCAAATCGCTGCAAAGAGAGATCTACAAAAAAATGTATTACTATGACTAACTTGTCCATCACTGATGATTATTGGGCATTTTGGAGAAACATCAGAAATAATACCTTACAGAATAAATTACCTTGTACCATGCACGTAGTGGAAAGTCACTAAAACGATGGGCAAAATGTAGCTTCCTTGTTCGCTAAATACTTCAGTAAACAATTCTCCATCTGGAACTTACCAGATTACTCAACTGTTTCTGATACAGATTCTAATTGTATGACTGACTTTCATTCTATTGATATTAACATGTTAGATAGCTTTTGAAGCAATTGGTAATCTGAATATTAACAAGGGAGCTGGCCCTGCCATAATACTGAACATCTTACGTGAATGTAAATATTAACTTTTGCGACTGCTTTGGATACTTTTTCAATCTTTATCTTTGCGCACTGATATTCTTCCTTCATTGTGGAAATCGTGTAGAGTATTCATAGAAAGGGCAACAAATCAGACATTGTTAATTACTGTTCAATACCTATCCTCAGTGCTATCCCAAATTTGAAAAGACGGTAACTAAATTCTTCATGCTGAATTTCAAAAATTTGCTTTCTAAAAGTCAGCATGGATTTAGGAGTCACAGATTAACTATTACAAAATTGACAGTTTTTGAAGCTTTATCGCTGATGCATTTGAGGATGGTTACCAAGTAGACGCAATTAATACTGACTTTTGACAGAGTTAATCATACCATTTTCACTCACATTGTTCTGGATGAGCATGGACGAACCTTTTTTGGCCTGAAAAATTTATTATTTGACCAGTAGAATACAGTATGGGTCTGTAAATGACTTTTGTTCTGAGTCTTTTCCAATGGTATCGGGGGTCCCTCAAGGTTCACATTTGGATCCTATTCTCTTCATTATATTTATTGATGACTTACCATCTGTCTTTTCCTATAGCCTTATTATATACCGATGACACCAAGAAATACTCCAGGATCTCAGATGTGAATGCTTAGCATTTGCATCAAGATCTCGAATATGTGGTGCCCTATTAATGCAATGCAACTACACACAGATAAATGTTTTGCCATAACTTTTTCTTGTCTTGGAAATCCTATGCAATATCAGTATTCCTTGATTGTCCACTGACAACTGTTGATAACATCAAAGATCTTGAAGTAAAGTTTGGCAGCAAACTGAATTTTAATTTACATGTTTTGACGACTGCAAACAATGCAATGAGAACTCTTTAAGTTTCATTATGAGAAACACTTGCGACTTTAACAACATTAAAACCTTCAAGTTATTGTATTACAGATTAGATTCAGATTAGATTCCTTCCTCAGATTGCATGTATAAACAACGCCCCCAAATCTATATGACTGTACTTGGATCCACGAAATGTTCGATATACCGCCATTAATCTTCAGAATGACTTGTTATTTTTACTGACTTATTATTTTTGTACAATATTATTAACAACCATAGTGATTGTAGTGAAATATTATCTAATGTTTTTTTCTGTACTCCAAAGAGATTTACCAGAAATCAAATATTATTTAGCACTAATTGTTGTAGATTCAATTTCGCCACCACTATCATTAACAGAATCTGTAAACTTGCGAACCATTTTTTTAACATTTTAGTCTTCTTTGAGCCCAACTAGATACTCTTTAAAGCTGGCTTGAAAAAAGTCTTGACTGTATCTGACCCATGATATTTTATTTTGTACCATTATACTAAGTATTAATTTTCATGTAAAGGTTTCATCTTGTTTAATAAATAAATAAATAATAAACATAATAAACAGTATGCCTTTGTGCAGTATTTTGAAGTTAGAAAGAGTACATCCACATTTACAGACCAGGAACGAATAAAGGGTCATCATAGGGTATGCTAGGTTGTTTGAACGATATCAAAAGTGTGTCTTATGTAAGTTACATGTAACTCCAAAGGTGTGTACAATATGAAAGCATTGTTAAATTTGTGAAAGTTCTTAATTTTATTTGAAGTGATACACTATAGGTCATTTGGGATATATGTAGAATGGTGACTGAAGATGCCTCTACAAGAGACTTACATTGGTAATCTATGAACACTGTCATCTGCAAGTACTGTACATAAAATACAAATCAAATAAATACTTGTTTTTTCAGAATGTCCATTAGATAACAAAAACATTAAACTTTTTTGAATAGTCTCTTGGTAGTCGAAATTATATAATACTAGTTATTGCTAGTGTTTTTATTAAAAAAAAAATTCTTATAAGATCTTGGTTTTTGATATTGTTGTAATTGGTAATGTTGTTCCTTTATGCAGGGTTGCCAGAGAGTTGTGGAAGATTGGCAAAGAATTATCCAAGTGCGAACCCTTGTAGTAACACCACAAGAAGACATGTATACTTGGCTGAAGTATGCATCACTGTGTCGGAAATCTGGACGTTTAGTAAGTTAAAGTAACTTTTTTTCTTCTGTTTGCGGTGTATAAACTTAATTCAAATTAATCAATATATCTATGATTGGAAATAAAATATTTAGTTCTGTAGATTTCAACAAAGACATGTCTATACCAAACTTTGTATGCCCCAAGAATTATGCTTGCATTTTGTGCACGGTCAAGGCTTGCATTTTGTACAAATTTGAGATTATAGAAAGCACACAAATCATAGGTTGTATTTGTTTGTCTGGCAAAAGTGAATGATCATAATACTATCTAACAAGATTGGTTAAAAGATAGCCATAAAATTGGAATTAATTACTTATAAATAAAGACAAAATTTAATTACATTGTTTTTTCTTATAAGCCAATAGTGTAGTAGTAGGAATTATTTAGTTATCACTCTCAGATAATTAATATCCGTTAGATAATATACATTACATTAATTATTTTCAGATGCTGTCACATAAGACCCTGGTTATGTTGATGGGTGCTGACCCATCAGAGCGTCCTGATCAACCTTTACCCACACTCCATCCTCAAGTTACATTTGCTTACACCAAACACATGTGGATGTCTGGTCAACGGGAGGAAGCGTACAGGTGAACTATTAATGTTACGCACCTCATCTTTAAGTTAATTTGGAAAGTGTAACTTGTTGTCTCTTTATTCTTCTTACAGTCTTGCCTTTCATACAGGCTCTTGTTTTTTCACATTTTCATTTCCCTTCCTTCCTTTTTTTATTATTAGTTGTTCTGAAATGACTTAACTTACAAAATTTATTTCAGTCAGTTACATCGATTTGTGCAGACCTCACTCCACCCACAGACATTGCAATTGGCAGGGCAAGAGGAGGAGAAACAACAGGAATTGAGACGCCGTTTATTGGCAAGGTAAGTATGGTTCGCCAATAAGATTTCTTTATGGGGGAATTTGATATCAGTAAAACTTTGCTTGAATGTTTTTCATGGGACTGAATGGAAAAAAATGAATAAGTGAGAAAAACACTCAAGTGAAATTGTTTATGACTAAAATAAAATCTCAATATTTTTGCACTCTTGGTAGACCAGTGCTTTAGCAATAACTTCTTTTTTATTGCCACTCTCCCTAACAACTTTTTATTATTTTTTTATTTCATATTTAAAAGGGTTGCTTTTTCCTACAACTTTTTTTTGTTTAATACCGTGAACGCAAAACCAGATAGAAGATGAACTATCCTTCGATTTAAATACAGAGCTTCAGAGCCACAAATTAATTACAATGCTGTACAGATTGGAAAAAATATCGTCGACCAAAGATCATCATCGAAGAAGTCTTCCCTGAGGTGGAGATAGTGGACATGCAATGGGGACCTCACTGATGACCTTATGTGATTCATTTTCACTGCAGAAACGAAGGCGGAGTCCTGCGTGGGTTACCACTTGCAGCAATGTCTCGCGAGTTGTTGCTTCGGTTTTAAGCTTGATGATACTTGAGATTCTGCGGGCCAAAGCATGGTACTCTATGTGGTCGACAGGAGGGCACAACTGCCACAGCTCCACAACCTGGCGACACCCACCCTGCGGCATGGAAAAGCGATCAGGTTCATTACCTGCGTGTGCTATGTCACTACTGAAAGGATCTCGTATGATATTACAGCAAGCAAAAGGGCCGTTGGAGAGTGGTACTAACATCCTCACATATTGGTCGTCTATGTCATTACTCTCTCCTGGAGATCTTCAGAGAGCTCTTTTACGCACCCAACTCTGAAATTTTTCGAAGTTACACACCGTAACCGACTTTGGTCTCTCAGCTAGGCCGACTCAAGCTTCTATATTACAAGTTTTATGAACGGGAAGTCACCTCAGAGGCTGAGCCACAGGTAGCTCCGCGGATAAAAGTGAAATAACTGCCTTAATACAAGAGAGAAAGGATAACTTTAGAGCAGAAGCATCCAGCAGTTATTACTTCATTGTCATTACGGGGCGACTGAATGAGGCCCATGGACAACCTGAATTTCATTTACAGAGAAGCAACATTTTTATATAGTTTGTCTTCTCTCTGGTTTTGCATTAACTATATTAAACGAAAAAGAGTGGTAGGAAAAGGCAAACCCTTTAAATATCAGATAAAATAAAAAATTAAACGTTAGTAGGGAGAGTGGCAATAAAAAAGTAGTTATTACTAAAGAACTGGTAAAACAATAGTGTAAAAATATTGAGATTTTATATTGGTCATAATCAATTTCACTTATGTGTTTTTCTCACTTATACATTTTTTCCCTCCAGTTCCCTGAAAAATGTATAAGCGAAGTTGTACTGCATTTAGTGTTCAGGTCTGTTTCCGATTATGACACTACACACTTACGTTCAGTCATGTGTGAAATTTTTTGACATCCTGTAATGCTAAAGTAAGCTTGATCTGTGAGTAACATTGGAAATTATTTGAATTCAGTTTACAAACATTGTATAACTTGTGCACTGGCTTTTCCATTTTCTATTATTTTTCTCATTCTGCCAACGCACACCATCTGCCATGTTCACATAAAATCAATGAATTTGTGTTGCTAGAATGCAAGAAAGTACTGTTAAGATTTCCTCTTTAAAAAATATGATTCATAATGATTTTATTAAAATTTAGTCTATTGCAATTTTAACACTAGAATGTCGGCAGGGGTCAAAATGACATCTACATCAGTTGTGTCTACAATACTAATTTCAGTTTTTAAGTGTTTTATTTCAAACATAGTGACTTTTCCACATTTTTATTGTCTTGATGGTGATGTAGTTGGAATTTATAATTTAAAAAAAAAAATTGTTTTATCATGTGATATCCCTAGAACAGTGGGAGGGGTCATTTTGACACCTGTACTATTTCATTTGGAAAACTACCATTTTCTGAACTTCATTAGTGTTGTTTCAGTGTATTTGTTTCATCATCATGAAGATACTACAGAATCACAATCTTAGAACGTAAAGAATAAAACAAGCACAAGTGACAACGAATATTGATCTGTGATTAATTTCTTTCTGATTTCTATTCTTATTTTAGTTTCTTTGTCAGAATGTTGTCGCTTGTTCGGTCATAATGTGAGGTTCAGTTGATCTCTCTACTGACGGGTTCTTCTGTAAGCTAGAAAATTTGGATTTTGAGTCAGGATGTTATGTAACCGATTCAGAAGATTTTGTGCCAAGAAATAGCAAGGATGAATCCAGTATTGTGAATGATGAACTGTCAGCAGAAGAAGATGCAATAGTTTATGTAGCTCAATCTTCTGCTTGATCATCCCAACAGGAGCGGCCAAATACCCTAACAGTGAAAACAGTTACTAGACACTGAACCAAGTGGGAGGTCATCAGCTGAAAAAAGAGTTGCGAATGTCTTGAAAGAACGTGGTGGTCCCTCATCGTGGGCATGCCAGCAATCTGTGATAGCTTCCTTCCATTTACTATTTGATGAACCAGTGCTTCACCTCATGAAGTGATACATCGAATCAGAAGCATGAAAAGTACTAAAAAAGAACAAATGAACTGTGTCTCTCAAGTGTTGGAGGCAATGACGTACACACTAGGAGAGTTTGGTACAAAGAGTATTTCAGTTCAGGATCTTTGGTCTTGTTTTTTAGGACCAAAATTAATAATGGACACAATGCTAAGAGACAAATTTCTTGAACATCTCAGTTTTCTCTGTTTTGACCACAAATCAATCCAAGCTGAAGCCCTATGTGCTGATAAGTTTGCTCTATTGTCAGAAATTTGGGAGAAGTTTGTAGAAAACTACATTCGTTCCTATTGATGAAAATGTCACAATCCATGAACAATTACCTCTGAGCAAAGCTAGGTTCAGATATGTCCAGTTTATGCCAAACAAACACGACAAATATGGACTGAAATTTTGGGTCATTGCTGATGTATCAAAGAAGTACATATGCAGTGCCTTTCCCTATCTTGGCAAAGAGGATTGTGGTCCAAATAAACAACCAGTGGGTGAATTGGATGTAGTTTGTTGTTCTATGACTTATGTGGTCATTTCTAATCCAAGCAAAAAACGTGACAACTGGCATACTTTTCACGTCTCTTCAACTTGCCAAAAAGTTGAAGAGAAGTAAACCATTGTGGGATCAATGAATGCTGTTTGTCGCGAAATCCCTGATGAGTTGAAATCAGTTGCAAAAAATCTACTTAAATGTACTTAATGTAGATGCTTTTTAGATGTGTAAGAAAAACCTGCTGGCCAAAATAAAGCTCTATTTTGAAAATAATCAAACCAATATATCGTATTCGTGGTGTCAAAATGACCCCTTCCCACTGTTCTCGGTATATCAGATTCGCTGCCTTTCTAGTGTTAATTAATTAAGCATTATGAACATAAATGATGCAGGCTCTTTGAAATACCATCCTTTGCTAGAAATGATGGTATTTCACTCTGAGGAAGGACGAAGAAAGGGCATCGAAACTTTGTCTTCTGTGCCTAGGGCTTGGCTTCTTCCGGACAACTGAAGAAATACTGACTCCAGCTGTGAATACCTTTGCTCTCATCTGTTAAAAAAATTGTTTTCTGACTTGAACAAGGCATACCAAGCTTGTTGGGGGTGGGGAGGGCCAACGTCTGCCAGGTTCTGCTAGTAAAATATAGAATTTAAATTAATTTTTGCCAAAATTGCACTCCAACACATTCTGTCTTCACTCTAAGCTAACCATTCATTTCCTTTGCATTTTCCTGATTCATTTTCTTTTATTACTTCTTTCAGAACCTTCATTTTCCTTATCCTAATTTTATTTCTTTAATCTTTTTGCCTGTTCCTTTCCCTATTAATGTTACACTACTTTTATTTTGAAGATGCTACCTCAAGCTGGGCCAATGGCAAGAGAGTCTCCAAGGAATAAATGAGCGCTCCATCCCAGCAGTGTTGCAGTATTATGCTGCTGCAACTGATCATGATACCACCTGGTACAAAGCATGGCATGCATGGGCATACATGAACTTTGAGACAGTCCTTTTCTACAAACAGCAGCAAGTAACAGAAGGAGTGGCAGTTCCATCATCCAGTAGTCGGACAGGACAATCTGAAGGCTCTCAAGGAAACCGGAACATGGTAAGTGAATATATTGGTAATTTTTGCAAATGCTTCAAATATCAAAAATAATATTTATCTGATTTGAACTAATAAATTTAATCAAATGCTATAGTTTTTTGTTTTGTATCAATTTTACCGTGAATCAATTACCTTCGTTTCATTGCAAAAAATTAATGGAAAATGGGTTTTTCTGATGATGATATATGACATCAATGCAGGCAGGCTGCAGGAAAATATGCTGGCAAATTTATCCACAGACATTAAATTACACTATTATGTAATCTTTGAAATTATTGTTTTGTGATTCAAAAAATATTTTTTGAATCTCAAAAATTAAACTGTCAGATGCCACAAGAGTGAGCATGAATAGTCAAGTAGACAAGCGTATTTTATAATACATGTATTTTTAATTTTTTAGGCAATAGTAATAGACTTACCTTTCTTAACTGCTATGTCTTGAAGAAAACCATGTCTTAATTTTAAAAATTCAATAATTCCTTATTTATTACAGGATTATTTGATATTTTCTCTCTCATGGATTTGTATTCCCCTTTCACATATTAATATTTATTTATTCATTTATGGGCAAGTCGCTCATTTATGAATCATTGCAATAAAAACTTACACAGTGTAATAATGTAAAAGATCTGGATAATAGAAAAATTATTCATATTAATCAATTACTTGAAATCGCGTAATAGTTTTTAGTCTTTAACTACACGGTGTGGTCTGAGATTGCATTGCTTGTAGTGCCCTTGTCCTGGAACATTTGCGCTCTCTGCCTACTTTTCCAGGAACTCATAGCCTTCTGAAGAATGCCCCTATTGTTGCTTGATCTATCTTCCAATTTTGTTTATCATCCATTTTTCCATGAATGAGGTGTCAGTGGTATGTGAGACAGCACTTGTTGGTTGCGTTATGAGGACAGTCTTGTGGACAGTGCATGCAGACATTACAGTGTGAGAGAATTTCCCCTAGTAAATTCTTTTCAGATTTATTTTATCTCTATAAACTTTGTTGTAAAGAGAGTTTTTAGATGACTAGTCTAATTGATGAAGAAATTGATAATCTTCTACAGGGAGCTAACTTTTTGTACAGTGATGTAGATATAGGGAGTATTTCGCATAAGGTCCATCAATCAGAGCCTCTTTTTCATCATGTTATTGTTGTAATCGAGGCTTGTTTCTTTTGTTCAAGTGAACGCGGCTAGCAAATTTTTGGTTTGGACAGGACTAAGAAATCTTCGTCTTTAGTTATCGTCAAATCTTCTGAACTGACAATGACGAAAATGACTTAGCCAAAATAGAAGAAAAACGCAGACAAAATGTCATATAAAAATGGAGTAATTTCCTTTAGTCAAATATAAAGTGAATTTCTACAGGAAAAGGCATCGTTTTATAGTAATATTAATAAGAATAAGGATAACAATAACAATAACAATAATAAAAAGTTTCGTTAAAATCCGTCCCTATTTATGATTCTTGGTTCTTTATTATTGTAGGTTATTTATAAAAATCAAATCTAGAGATGTGATTTTGTGGTGCATCACACGCGACAGAACGAAGACTTCAATCCCCTCCTTTCAGTTACCTCACCCTTATTGCTTAAGCCATTGGGAGCGGTGGCGGGGAGAACTTCGGACCAATGGCGTTTGTTCATGCCACAACACGAAATGTCCATTGCATTTCTGGTGCGACGGTTTAACGTGGCTCGTAGCGGATAATATTATTATCATTATTTATTTTTATTTATTTATTAACAGACTGAAATACAAATAATAATATTTATAATTATTAATATTATTATTCATTTTTAGACTCACTTTTTTTTTTTTAAAGAACCTTACTGTTTTTGTGCATGTCAAATCAGGTCGTGTATGTTGTTGGTGCTATCTATTTTTCACCCCACAGTCCTTTTGATGAAGAGAACAGGTTAAATCTTAACATTTAACTTCTCATGTATGTATGTGTGTATGTATATAAGGAGTAATTCAGAAAAACTTATGTAATGCTGTGGAAAATTGATATCAACATTTCACCGGAAATACACATTTTGGGGTCCTCCGATACCCCAAAAAATTGCTTTTTTCAAAACATCTGTCGTCTATGAACAACACTAGTGCCTAAACTCTTAGTACCATTTTTATCTAACTGAATACTCCCTGGTCGATCTGGCCACACCCGGAGCTCTGCGATTTTAAATAACATTTTTTACTTTTGAGGGGTACTTTACATGGAAGTCCCTGGGACTTTTTCAATTTTTTTTTTTAATTATAGCACTGACCAAAACCAGACATACTAGACCAAATGATCCACATGGAGAGCTTTCAGATTTTCTGTCGAGACAGGACAGACAGACAAGGAGGTGGGGTTCTAATAAACATCGCAGACCAACGGAAATTCACTTGTGGCTACCTCTCATGAGATATCATGGAGTGAATCCTTGGAAGTGTTCTGACTCCACATTAAGCTGTCACATTTAACTTTCTATATATTTCTATTCTACTGACTACTCTTGCCATCAAATGTAATTAATTATGATATAGCCCTCTTTAATATGACCTGCGATGCAAATGACTTGGATGATGTCACTGGGAGACTTCAACTTTCCATCTCTACAGTGGCCTGTGTCTGGCCCCAGATGCGTCTGATGTGGCAAGAGAGTTCCTGAAGGTGTATGAAGACCTGCTTCACACAGTTGGTAACTTACGAAACTATGTTTCGTGCGGGACAGAGATCTTTATCACCTTACCTTTACTTCTTTATTTACTTATCCATTTACTTATTTTTTTATTTATATATTTATTTATATAATTATTTACATATTTATCTATTTGTTTGTTTGTTCACGGGATATTCCCTTTAATACGTGTAATTATAAGGGAGTACAAGAGACACATTGTTAATGAAGTCACAAAGAGTAAATTTAGGAACAATATCTAATTACAAATTAGGTGCTTTCATAGAGCAATTCTCGGATAGTATGTACTTGGCTTGAAGTAATTTAAAAAAAAATCTTTAGATTTAGATTTATTTAGTCAAAAAAACAGTGAAAACTGTATGTGACGTAGGGGTTTACAATACTTGTTAGCAGTACAGGCAATACGATAGAAGGTATCAATTATTTGATAGTCAGTTTTCACAGGTTTTATTGAAAATAATAAGGGATTACGTTCTCGACACGAAATCCGATATTAGGGAGAAAATGGTTACAATTAATTTCACCTAGCAACATTTTAAATAGGAAGATAGTCACTTCTTCTATTCTGAAAATGAGGTATGTTATACAATGAGTAGTAATCAGTGCAGTCGTGACAAAACCATGGAATATGGCATCCATTGTGAAACACTAACTTGTGCATCAACCTGTGTTAGACCTTATCAAGATGATTTACGATGTTCCTAGTGAAGGGAGACCAAATCAGACAGGCACGTAGAGTGAGCAAAAGAGTTTCACAGGATAAAATGCAGGGAACACAAAGCTTTGTTAACAATACTGTTCATGTGGGTGATCTGGGCTGTCCGGGTGACGCCGAGTCGAAGGCTGAGTTGCCGACGTTTCGACCATCCTGTCGTGGTCTTCCTCAGGGCTGGTATGCGCCGTGATGGTCAGCGCTCGTGTTTATATTCAAGTCTAGGCCGTGTGCTATTGGCTGAAGCAGCGGCCAATCGGAGGCCGCCAGTTAGCAGCGCGGGGGGATCAAATCGGGTGGCGCGTGATCGGACGGCGTGGCGCGTGATCGGACGGCGCGGAAAGGTCCGTCAGGTGGGTCGGAGTGGCCCGGGATCGGACGGCGCGAGCCGGTCCGCGATTGGCCCGCATGGCGCGGCCTGGGGTCGGACGGCATGAAGCGGTCCGGTTCTGTGAGCACGTATCGGTAAGAGTCAGAATTCATACCACACACACAAACAAACTGCAGACTGAAATGCAAATACGAATTGATCCATGAAAGTAGAGGATCACCCCAATCCATCTTGGTTGGTTTATGGATTAAGATCATATGATCAACCCGGTGAAACGACATAGCAAAATTCGTATAGATTGAATCAACTTGAGAGACATAAGCGAGCGAATCAACAGTACTCTTGAGTATGACCAGGTTGACCTGCCCCTCCCTGAATGAATGCTGGGAGTCTACGAGTATAGCTCCAAAGAAGATGTAAAATGAATGCCCACTAGTTTTTCAAACAGCATAGGGATGGCAGTTGATTAGTGACGAGAGAATATTGAGAGAATACTGAGACTTGGCATTATTAACATTCTGGACATGCACTCACCGGCTAAACAAAAAATTACCAACAGAAAAACTATTACTGTGAGAATACTATGACTAATGCATAACACTGTGGAAGAAGGTCAAAATGACTAAGAAACAATCTTACCTTGAGAGTTTTAAAGAATTGCAATAACAATCACAAGGGAGGTTAGAAATTGTTGACGAAACTACGAACATGGCATTGCAAGAAGGAAAGGCAGACAACTATACTCGGAAGCAAAATCAGTTCCAAGGTCTATGTACCTCTGACCCTTGGAAGAGGTGTCAGTGAATTGGTGACGAACCCGAGAAATAATACTGAGGATTTTGCAACGTGTTTTTTTTTCTTCCTTTTTTCTTTTTTTCATTTTTCCTTTTTCCCCTCCCCCTCCCTCGATATCCTACACTTTGATCTAACAACTTCATCCTACAATTAACTACTGACCCTTGTGCAGAACTACTTCAAGATGTTACTCTGAAGTCTGAGATATATCTACAAAATCTTTACATCCTTGAATCGCAACTCTTCTGCTGGTTGGACAGTATCCTACCACTACATCTGAGGGACTGTGCAGAGGCACTTACCCCTACCCTTCACAATAACGTTCGTAAATCCCTTGATTCAAGAACGCTACCTTCAGATTGGAAAGTTACCCATCTTCAAAAAGGGTACCAAGATGGATCCAAACAACTACAGACCAATCAGTCTGAAAAGTTCCATCTGTATAGTACTGAAATGGATTGTGGCAGATGAAAAATTGCATTTTGCATTGAGAACTGGAGAAATATCCCAACAACAACAACATGGTTTCATACAATGAAGAATGATCTTAACGAACCTGCTATCATCTCTTGGGGATTGGACTAAGTCTCTGGATAATGTCATCTCATTAGACTTTTTTTATCTGGACTTCTCCAAGGCCTTTGATAAGGTATCCTATCGAAGACTATTACATAAACTATTGCATTTTGGCAATGGAGACAATCTGCTAGCTTGAATACAATTTTTTCTTGAAAACAAATGTTTTTGTGTTAAAACGGGTAATTATAGATCATTCTTGCAGAAAATCAGCAGCAAAGTCACTCAGGGATCTGTACTGGGACCGGTTAAATTTATCCTGTACATGAGTGATCTCTCTGATGGTATATCCTTCAGTAATTCAACGTGATCTAGATTATCTGTACAAATGATCTAAAACACTAGACTAAGCTAAATATGTAGTTATGCTTATTTGAAAATTCAATCCTAAAATCCGTTTCTACCTGGGCGGAGCTACCATTTGCGTTGCCAATGTACACGTGAGGAAGGTCTCGGGAATAAAGGGTGTCTCCTACACCCTTTAAAAAGACTAATAATAAAAAAATACTAATAGTTTTCACCGCAAGAAGGCCTTCATTCCCATCAGAAGTGTCATGTTCGTAACTTTATACAAATCTTACATTCTTCTCTCTTATAATCAAATTCATTTCAGTGATTTGGAACTATTTCCTTACAAAAGACATTAATTTGTTTGCATAAGTTCAGAGAAGGGTGACATTAAAAATTTAACCTATGAACACCAACGAACTGTATTTGGGCTTCCAACCCTTATAACAAGAAGAGAGCGGGGTGAGAAGATAGAAACTTACAAAATTCTGAATGGACACTATAACTATGATTTTGACACGTTCCATAGAACCCACACTCCGCATCTGTGAGGTCATGACACCAAACACTCAAAGTAGGCATAGTCAACACAACACTTTCTGCGCAACAGGATTCTGGAAAACTGGTATCATCTAGCACCAGACGTGGTGACTGCTCCAAAAATTAAAGTTTTCAAGAGGGCTTACGATAGTTTAACCAACCACATATTGTCTAGTTAAACTCACATGCAATTGAGACTACTACTCTAAACTTTTACTTTTTGTAAGCGTTGCAACTTTTGTAACATTGAATGCCATTTGGCTTTTGTAACTCGTTAACCTTTGCTGTTACTGTTCACCATTACCATACCATTAATGTATATTGCAGATAATATGTCAATTATGAATCATATTAGCGATGATTCAGGATACACCAGTTGTATTGTTGCCTCTAAAATATTTCAATAATGAAATAAAATAAATAAAAATGGCTCCAATTTTTTTCTTTAAATTCTTACAAAAAGTGTTGGAAATACTAGCGATCTGCTGGTTATGAGCAGTGTGCAATGTTCACTTGTTTTCAGACACCCCCTCCATTTTTAGCCCTACCAACCTAACAGAAACAAGAGGGATCATAGGTATTGACACACATGAAATGAACAACAGAAATTATAGATTTAAACAAATTTATTGCAGAAATGGCACACAATTCATGAATTCATTTCTCTTAAGGCGAATTCGGGCCAGTATTCTACGAAGGAGTCGCCAGCTGGATTCAATGTTGTTTGTGTAACAAGGAAACTTGTTACAGTATCGTGGATCTGGTATACTCCAAAGGTTCTTTTTTTGGTGTAATGCTAAATGTATTGCATAAGATGGCAAAAATTTAATTTTGTTGTAATACTAGCGGAACCGTTCTGCCCTTCGCCTCCCTCTTTCTCCTTTTCTCTGTCTCTCCCCCACTCTTCGTCTCTTCCTCTGCCTCTCCCTCTCTCTTCACATCTCCCTTTTGTTCAGCCTCTCCCTCTCTCTTCATCTCTCCCTTTTGTTCAGCCTCTTCCTCCTCTCATCTCTCCCTTTTGTTCAGCCTCTCCCCTCTCTTCATCTCTCCCTTTTGTCACCCTGCTTCCCTCTGTTTTGCTCTCTCCTGCTCATCTCTCCCTTTGTTCAGCCTCTTCCTCTCTCTTCATGCTCTCCCTTTTGTTTCAAGGCCTTTTCCTCTCTCTTCATCTCTCCTTTTGTTCTGCCTCTCCCCGTCTCTTATCGTCTCCCTTTTGTCTGCCTCTTTCCTCTCTCTTCATCTCCCTATTTTTCTGCTCTCCCTCTCTCTTTCATCTCTCCCTTTTGTTCTGACTCTCCCTTTCTCTCTTCATCTGCCCTTTGTTCTGCCTCTCCCTACTCCTCTTCATCTTCCCTTTTGTTTGCCTCTGCCCTCTCTCTTCATCTCTTACCTTTTGTTCTGCCTCTCCCCTCTCTCTTTGTTCTCTCCCTTTTGTTCTGCCTCTCCCCCTCCCTCTCTCTTTGTCTCCTCCTTTGTTCTGGCTCTCCCTCCCTCTCCTCTTTGTCTCCCTCCTTTTGTCTGGCCTCTCCCTCCCCTCTCTCTTTGTCTCTCCCTATTTTGTTCTGCCTCTCTCTCTCTCATCTCTCTAACCTTTTGTTCTGCCTCTCCTTCTCTCTTTGTCTCTCTTTCTGTTCGTCTCTCTTTTCTTCGTTCGTCTCTTCTTGCGCCTTCTCTTCGTTCTCTCTTTCTCTTCGTCTCTCGCTTCTCTTTGTTCTCTCCTTTCTCTTTGTCTTCTCCTCCTTCTCGTGCTCTCTTCCTCTTCGTCTCTCTCTTTTCCCTCTCTTCGTCCCCTCTTTCTCTTCCCGTACTCCGTCTCTCTTCTTTCCGTCTCTCTCTTTCTCTTCGTCTCTCTCTTTCTCTTCGTCTCTGCTCTTTCTCTTCGTCTCTCTCTTTCTCTTCGTCTCTCTCTTTCTCTTGTCTCTCTCTTGTCTTCGTTCTCTCTTCTCTCGGTTTCTCGCGTTCTATGTCTCTTTCTCTTTAGTCTCTCTCTATTCTTTCGTCCTTTCTCTTTGTCTTCTCTCTTCTTTCCGTCTCTCCTTCCTCCTCTCTTCTTTTCTCTCTCTCTCTTCCTCTCTCTCTTCGCCCTCTCTAACTCGCCCTCTCTTCTCTCCGCCCTCTCTCTCTCGCCCTCTCTCTCTCCGCCCTCTTCTCTCTCGCCTCTCTGCTCTCTCGCCCTCTCTCTCTCGCCCTCTCTCTCTCTCTCCTCTCCCTGCCTCTCTCCTCTCTCTCGCCCCTCTCTCTCTCGCCCTCTCTCTCTCTCGCCCTCTCTCTCTCTCGCCCTCTCTCTCTCTCGCCCTCTCTCTCTCTCTCGCCCCTCTCTCTCTTCTCGCTCCCCATCTCTCTCTCGCCCTCTCACTCTCTCGCCCTCTCCTCTCTCGCCCTCTCTCTCTCTCGCGCCTCTCTTCTCTCTCCTCTGCTCTCTCGCTCTCTCTCCGCCCGTCTCTCTCTGCCTCTCCTCTCTCCTCTCTCCTCTCGCCCTCTTCCTCTCCGCCCTTCTCTCTCTCTGCGGTCCTGCTCTCTCCTGTCTCTCCCTCTCTCTCTCTCGCCCTCTCTCTCTCTCTCGCGACCTCTCTGCTCTCGCACCTCTCCTGCGCTCTCTCTCGCCCTCTTCTCTCTCTCGCCCTCTCTTACACATTTATTTGCAGATTGTGGATGTCTTTGAGCAGGTGGGTTAAGATCGAGAAGTGCCGGACCAGCAAAAATGTAAAGATCTCATCCTGTAGAGTTCAGTGTCAGAAATGTTTCTTTGAGGCCTCCAGCTTCAAAATTTTAGTTTTTAATGCCCTAAAACGCTTTGTTTTGGACATTAACAATAGAGTAAAAATGTATTGTGGGTTGCATTTAGCATGAATCTGTCGTTTTTTTCTTATTTTGGTGCATTTTTCTGATATTTTAATAGTTATTCTACTATTCCGGGCAGAGATGAATCCAACAAATCATAGATAATTAAAGTTGGTACAGCATTTGAATGGAAATGAGCTTCAAATTGCGAATTTTCAGAAACGGTCAAACAACATTTTCCCAAAAACAGCTCCAAATTTTTCAAAACAAATTGCCATATAGGATGAGGGTCTACTCTTTTACAATGCACTTTAAGTAATGTTTCAGTTCTACCCTAATGAGTCCGAAAAATTGAGAAAATGTGGGAAAAAATACTCTGGGTGGGGATGGCAGCTGACAAGAGGAGAAGGGCAAGATTGAAAAGCTAGCCCAGACCAAAGAAAATAGAAAACTAACTAGTGCAAGAAAGTCTGTGCTGTTCTGTAGCACCACTAGTTCGAGGCTTGCAAGACCAAACTAGAGTGATATGATATCACTTTCAATGGTCTAGCTGATCTCATATTTACCACTGAGGAAGTCTGTGATTGAGTTGGTTCCAAAGGAGAACTATGAAATTACTCAACCTCATTTTGAAAACATTTAAACTATCAATTTCACCTATTTATGATAGAAATTAGATATTAGGTTGTTCATTATTTTGGCAGCGCTTACCTGTTAACATATCCTTACCTTCAGCTACATTATATATAAAAATGTTTGTGGAATGTCTATCTCAATTAACCAATTCTGAGAAAATGTTCTTCAATGTGAAGGCCAATATTGACACACATGTTTTGTATGACATTTCTAATTAGTGCAAATCAATCAAAAATATTGTAACAGACATCTAAATATCACTATAAAAAGATTCAAGTAAACAGTTTCTCTGTTGCTTATACTTTTATACAAAAATTATTAATAAACTACATAATTAACAATTTATAAATCTATATTATGATAAAACTGTTGTGATAAAATGAAAGTGGTAATTGATTTGTTTTAAACATACTCCATGAATTCACCTGCTTCTGATCTCTTTTAGACTAATGCATACATCCAGCAATTCACCGTCCCAGCTGTGGAAGGATTTTTCCGATCTATTGCTCTCTCTCATGGGTCCTCGTTACAAGACACTTTGCGACTTCTTACCCTGTGGTTTGACTACGGCCAATGGTCAGAAGTATATGATGCAATCGCTGAAGGCCTGCGCACCATAGAGATTGATACTTGGCTGCAGGTCATTCCACAGTTAATTGCACGAATTGATACACCACGTGCTTTGGTTGGTCGTCTGGTGCATCATCTCCTTGTTGACATTGGTGAGCATTTGTATAATTGTATTTTAGTGTCAAGTTACAAACTGTTTGAACGAAATTCCTAGTGAAAAAGTGTGTAGGTACATGCTGATTGAGAGTAAAAACTTAACGCATTTTTTCATGTGAAAGGACACTAAAATATTGCAATGGTTTTACCTTAATTCTATTGTAGAAAGAATATTGAAATATTGAAATAAAGTATTTTGGGAACATTGTTCTGACTTGGTTTGCTTACACAAAATAATTTTAGGGTCATTGACTTGCTTTCATAGCATGACTCCGTGTTGCCAGCAATGTTCTGATGTTTTATGTAAATTGAGTAGAAAACATGATTGAATCTGTGCAATACTAATTTCCAATGCTGTTTTACACCAAAAACATCTGTATACAATATATCTGTATTTATTAATCTAGAACACTTCTGTTTACACAACCATAACAGGTTTTCAATGCTAATAAATGCAAGGGTTAAATGGAGCATCTTTGTCCAAGTACATGGCTATAACTTAAGATGTCATTATATATCATGTACTATGCACATGTGTGCTATTACAGTAATGTAAAGATGTATGTAAATAATGTGCTCTTACAAAATGTAAAATATATATTAAATTGATATAGGGACAACAGTGGTCCCATGTTTTTGACATTGATGTTAAGAAATGTTACTTTTCTGTCATTACTGTCACTACTTCATATTCATTTTGCCCACGCGATTGATTTACAGGCAAGCATCATCCTCAAGCTCTTGTGTACCCTCTGACAGTAGCCAGCAAATCAGCCAGTGCAGCACGCCGGTCAGCTGCCAACAAGATGTTAAAGAGCATGTGCGAACACAGCCCAGTGCTGGTACAGCAAGCTGTCATGGTCAGTGATGAGCTCATCCGTGTAGCCATTCTATGGCATGAACTTTGGCATGAAGGTTTAGAAGAAGCAAGTCGCCTCTATTTCGGGGAACGCAATGTTAAAGGAATGTTTGATACATTGGAACCCCTCCATGCAATGTTAGAACGTGGGCCACAGACTCTAAAGGAGACCTCATTTAATCAGGTAACAATTATTAATGGAGATATTCTTATGTTACCTATGTCAAATTGTGGATTCCATTTCCTGTTAAAATTGTGTAATTAAGCAGATTGAATTATTACACCACTTGCATTAGGGCTTATTTATGTGTTTCCCTTGGGTCATGGTAGGGCAAGAAGAGATAGCAGATAAATATTTTTGAGCTTTCTTGATGTGTCTTTTATTGAATTCTATTGTAATGTCTAGAATTTTCTGAATTAGCGTAAAAGTTTGATGTCTACAACATTGTTACTTAGTGTTGTCTACAACTCTATTGTTTAGTGTTAGACCTGGTAATCATGCCTTACCTTCCCACTTGAATACTGATTAGAGCTTGAAGTAAAATAGTGCAACCCTCTACAAAACGCATATTTGTCCATAATGAAGTTATCCTTTCACCATTTATGAGGTAAAATAGACATTTGACAGTAGTTTTCTTCTGTTTTGTAGGTATATTTGAAAAACGTTCCAGCTAAATTGGCCTCCATAAATTGTTTTAGGTTATTAAATTATTGGTTGTCTTTAATACTCCAATTTTAACCACCTACCTATCAAACAAGTGTTCATGTACTTTCTATCAATGTTCACTTGCTTATACAGATGTATGTTTTCTGTTTTATATTCTGTTTGAAATTCTATGCCTTCTCAGGAAAGTAGAATTTACTACTTAAGAAGCTGTGAACACAATGGAGTTTCAGATAACACATTAATGAAATTAATGTTTTAAAAAATGTTTCAGTTAAGGAAAAACTGTAGATTTCTGAGAGAAAAGAAAATCAAAATGTCACTTCTGACTTTTTTCTTTCAAACATTAATATGAATAAATAATGAATAATATACACGAGGCATAATTGAGTAACTAGTGGTGCAGCAAGAGCCCCTGCCTCAAGAAATTTATGTAATTAAAGTATCAACTATAAGTACAAAATATTTTGAGTTGTAGGTATTCAGTGTCAATTCTTACAAAACTACAGTAGTTCTGTTCCAACCAAATATGGTGTCAGTTCCCGATATGTAAAGTATATTTGAAAATTAGTGTAGAGTTTAAAGTGATGAAATAATATATTAAAATTATATACTTCCCTTGTATACTACTAGAATCTTCATCCATCATCTCTTATCTGTCTCTTGAGCAAAGGAAAAATAGGATATTAATTTTTATTTTTCAAAATTTCAGAGATTTTAATGAAAATTAAACTATATTATATTTTGTATGTGTACATTCTTATATTTATATAAAAAAGAAATAAAGAAAAAGTTTGCCTGTCTGAGATTTGAACTGCTGACCTTTGCTGTGACTTTACTGCCATCATTGTCGTAACTGTAATAGAGTCCACTCTGAAAGGAAATACAGACTAAAAACTATTGAAATTTCAAGAACCTTAATAAGAGCTCATTTGAAGTGTTTGTGTCCACAAATGCGATAAATTGACAAAATATGCTAGATGAAAATTGTAAAAACCTGCTATGTAAATATAAGTATGTAAAATGTCTCATAATAATTACATTATTTAAATTCAACATTCAATCAAAATAACGTCATATGATTTAGTGCATTGCTCTTTATCTGAACAAAAAGTTTAAAGAAAAAATGTGAAGCAGTTTTGTGGAGGGGAGGGGGGGCATCAGGTATTTTTAACAACTTGTTATGTTAAGAGTCCAAATTATGTGATTCTATGCATATTTTGAAAAAAATTTCATAATGTAATGATCTAATTTTAAAGAGTAGATATCATTGAGAAAAAACTAGTTTCAAAAATTAAAATGCCGTCTCTCTTAATTGTGAAAGAGAGGATTTAAAAAAATTAAACTCTTACAATTTTTGAAAATTTTGAATTTTTATGAAAATCTGATGTACTCTATGATTATAGGTAAACTGTCTTCTTGAGGGAAAAAAATTGACTTTTATCAAATTTAAAAAATCAAGGACCATCAAAGCATGAATTTCTGTCAAAATCATGACCTCAATTTCTTGCAATATTATATAACTTTCGAGAAGTATACAAGAAAAAGTGTGAGTTCAAAAGATTCATCTGTGAAAGCTTATGTTGCTGAATACTATGAGCTTAATTATGTTGTGATGTAGTTACCACAATATGATTTGCAATTAACTTCAAGAATAAAACTAACAACATATACTACTATGTACGGTTTGTGTTTAAACAATGAGGTTAATAGTGATAAAATCCATTCTTTACTGTTGTATTGTTGATCAGCTGATTAACTGCGACATTTGTGCCTTGCAATTAATTTGTTGTATAATATGAGCTGACAAATCTGAAAATGCTGAGGTTTCAGATTTTATGCTACTTAGGTTATGGCAATACCACGAGATGACAAACTTTCAATCGCTTTCTAATTTTGTTTGTAGTGTAAATTTATGTATTATTGACTGCATTATATTAGATACAAATTTGTGTTTCAGGCGTATGGTCGTGATTTGATGGAAGCCCAAGAATGGTGTCACAGGTACAAGGTGTCTGGTAATGTCCGGGATTTGAACCAGGCTTGGGACCTTTACTACCATGTTTTCCGACGCATCTCGAGACAGCTTCCTCAACTTACATCCCTTGAACTGCAGTATGTCAGTCCCAAACTTCTAATGTGCCGGGACTTGGAACTTGCCGTTCCTGGGTCTTACGTTCCTGGCACTCCTGTTGTTCGAATTGCTCACATTCAGGCCTCTCTGCAAGTCATCACATCAAAGCAAAGACCTCGCAAATTGTGCATTCGAGGTATGTAATATCATTCATTTTTCTACTTTCATTGTATACTTCTGTTATTAGGTGGTTGTGGCATGTTATATAACAGTAGGCATTATGTAGCTTCTACCACAAACATGTACTAAACATAGACATGTTTGCAAGTATTTACACAATTAAACATTAGTCATGATTTGTATTTAGTAAATATAAATATTTTTTCTATTGATACAACCTACAGAAAGCCGATTGTAATCCACAGTAACAAAGCAAAATACTACAATGAAGCATGGTGCCTTTAATATATCCTAAGGAAGCATGTCACTTGGAAGTTCTGGGTGTCTTGAATTTGACATAATCTTGGCAGGAGGGGGCATGGAGAGTACAATTATCAAAATACAAATATGTGTGAATTAATAGAATACTCTACAAATTTGGTGTTTTTTCCCCCCTCATTTAGTAAAAGAACCTCTTTGCATTTGAATATAAAAGTATGTTTCTACCTGTTTGTGCCTTCTTTGGTTCATGCACTTCACCTTATGGGCCTTTGGGATATCTGAGGGAAAATTATTTCCCTCCCTGTAAGGTTTGTGATACTGTATATGAAAATAGCAAATGTGGAAATTGTTGAAAGTGGGTTCCTTGGTTTTTCTAGTTGAGTGTTGTCCTCTTATGCCACAATTGAAGCCTAGAAGGGTTTTATATTGTTTTTATAATGTCTATGTAATCGAACTTTTGGATAAAATTGGGTTTTGGATTTGTTTCTTGGTGAGATTTTGAAGCGGTGATCTGAAGATGCTTATTCTTGAAAAAACTGTGGTTATGGGTATAAAACGGATTGTAAAAGGACAATGATTGAATGTTTAATAAAGAAAGACTGATGTTACCCACAAAATATAGCTTGGAAATTGAATTTTTCACAAGCAGCGGTTTGTATAATCAGTTCTGCATTGAAATCAGATGAAACCCTTGCAGTCAAACGCAATGGAAAATATGGTTGTAAACTGAAACATGGCTCTTGTATGCAATGAAAATTAATTCAAATGATCAAGAAACACAAGTGTGAAGAATAGGAGAAACACAAGTGTGGACTTGAGCAATCAACTAAAGACAAATAGAGGTGAAATATCCCATCAATTGTAAGAAATTCTTTGTGTTGCAGAACTTTCTGCAAGAAGGTCAAGAAATATAGCCAAAAAAACACCTACCATATCTAAGAAATGGCTAGCATGAGCAAAAGGATTGCTGATTAAGGCTAATGACAGGTGGGAAAACATAAGAAACATGATATATCTCATGATTTACTGTTTACTAACAGCTAACTTCATATTCACAGATGAAATTAAATATTTCAAACTTCTTCGAAAGTTCAGATGTACTGATGTATTTTAAATAGTTTCAAAACATTCTTTTGAAAAAGTCAATCTAGTTAGGTTTATTATCTTGCCGCTAATATTTTCTGATGAGTCCATATTTTCTGTGTCAAGAAAAGCAGCCAGTACATGGGAAGAGCCCCTAACGAGGTGTTTTCACTAACCTTCATATTTACACAATGCATCACTGAGAGAGTCAAATATTCAACTTCAATTATGGTATGGAGTTGATATTAGTTCATGACTATGGCATATTATACACTGTTGAGGGCACAGTGGAGCAGAATCAGTTCAAAAAGGTACTTCAACCTCTTCTACTGGCTCAGATCAGGGATTGGTGTGCTGATAAAGATTGTATTTTTATGGATAATGGTGCACAATGCCATTATGCCAAGTCTGTTAAGAAGTTCTTGGAGATAAACAAAGATTGCTTTGGCCTGCAACCTGATTGAAAATTTATGGGGAATTGTAAAGACAAAATTGAAGAAAAGAACTAAAATAACCAGAATTCACCTTATCAAAAACCCAGGCAAATGGTTTTATGATGAAGAAATTCAGAAAATGTGCAAGGACCATGTGGAAAGCATGCCAAAGAATAAAATGATTGTAAAGAACAAAGGAATGCTCACCTAGTACAAAACGGGGCATTGTGTATTGATAAGTTGCGATAATTATATTTCAAAAATAAATTACTGTGAGTTTTTTAATTATTCTAATAATTTGTCCACATTTGTAAGTGCTTTATAAGTAGTATTTATTCATACAAGTGCCTAAAGAGAGTAAGAGGGGGAAGGGAGGGAGAGGCAGTGGGGAAGGGAAAAAGCGAGAAAAAAAGGGCAAAAACTTGAGGGGCATTGTAACCACAGTGTGAAAGAAATAAAAAATTTTTGCTGAGATTTTGTAACACCGTACTGAACAATGAGCACATGGACTCACGGAATGACATTCAGTGAATGCAGAAATGCAAATGCTTTTGCAAGAGATAGAATTTAAAAAAGTCACTTTGATGGAAGTTCTACATTCAACCCCAGAGACAAAATACAAAGAGTGCAATATTTTCATGAGGATCCATTACAGTGTCGAAATAAATTCTTCTCTCTTTCTTTTATAAAATTTTATTCTCTCAATTTGTGTTATACAACAAATGTATAGGTTAATTTTAGTTTTAGAGTGATGCTTTTTTTAATCCTTTGCACTCCTAATTCTGTTCCTTGCTTTTCTAACTAGTTCTTAATTTATATCCCATTGACACACCACTGGAGTATGCTTGCATTGTTCAATTTTGGGGCTCAAAATCGGAGGCATTTTGGTTAAGAAACTACAAAACGTGTAACACATCATCAGACTTCTAATCTAATTAACTGTCTATCAATCTGAAGTGTCTCAACAATAAACATTATAGACCTTTGCATTGTTTGCACTCAATGATTGTTGATGGTCAGTGCCTTTTGTGTTTGACAAAAATTCTGGTAGTGCCAGTTATTGAACTTGGTGTTCCTGCTGCTCTTGTCAGCGTTGTAGCCAGTGAGCTTCCATAAGTAGATAGGGAAGGAATTCTTTTGGTTTATATGAACATAACTATCCAATTAACATCCTAATAAACTTTCTAAATAATTGAAATTACACAATAATGTACATGATATACATATTCCAATTGGTTATTTGACAATTATGTGTTCCCTGATAAGCTTCACATGAGTTCAGAGCTTAGAGAAGAAAATCACATATCTGTCGACAAGTGTGTCTTGACATCAGAGAGGAAGAGCAATTTTTCATGCCAAGTGCCTACACAACATGTGAGGTCAAAGAATAGAGAAAATAGTGTGGTTTCATATGGGAATTGTGTTTTCTGTCATTCTTTTTATTTACATTAACTGCCTTTCACGTTGTTTCAAAACTTCACAAGTAAAAACTTTAATATTTGTAATATTTTGTTTCATTGTATTAAGGCAATTTTTTTTCAATGATGTTAATCCTTAGTTATGTAAAAGAAAATATACTGAATGTTCTATATATCAACATTTTAGTTCAAAATGTTTTCACAAGCCCACTTTTAGGTTTTCCTACCATTCACGCTGGTTTTTGCTGGTCCCTTCAATTCTCCTATGCTCAGAATGTTGAACAGTCCTCACTTTCATGTTTTTAAATTAAAATTTCCCCATCTTTTACAATTTTTCTCTTACCCAAATGCAAGTAAGGATAGAATGCCTAATGATCTTATGCGTTTGCTTGTTCTCTACAAGCTTGAAAATACTTGACAGGAAAATTACTCAATGTTGTTCTGGACTTGGTGTTATCACTATAGATTCAATTTTTGAAATAAGAGAAAAATTATTAATATGTTGCAGGTATCATATATTTCAGAAATGTTTTGCATGTTGGGGACACATCACCAGTAAAATATAACCATGTATGTGCTCACTTGTCTGTCAGTCTCTCCAACAGAAAGTCCACAACTCTGCAGAAATCAGAGATTTTGTTGTTTCTTTATGAAACAATTCTCTAAATTTCTTGTTTCTTTATGAAACAATTTTCTAAATTTTTTGTTTCTTTATTGAATGATTTGCTTGTGGAAGCTATCTCAGACAGTGAGCACCATTATTTCCATGCCATTTCATTACGTAATATTTGCATTCTTGAAAAAAACGGAAAACAGTAAAATTAGATGATTTTGAAGTTCAAAGCCAATGATTTTTCATTAAAGGTTAATATCATTAATAAATATAGGAAATTAATATTCAGTATTTCATTACATATGCAATGCAAAAGTAATTTCTCACCATTTACATAATTTATTCTGTCACTTGAAAAGTGTAAAAGAGGGGATTTACTATTCCTTCATAGTTGATACTTGTTTTGTGTTTTTGAAAAAGGAAATATGATTAAAATTAATATACTGCAGATTTTCAAAAATCTGGTGATAGTAGATTCAGTTTGAGAGGATTCCTTTTAATCTTCTCTGTATTGCTCTCTCTTTGTAGGAAGTAATGGTCGAGACTACATGTTCTTGCTCAAGGGACATGAAGATCTAAGGCAAGATGAGAGGGTTATGCAGCTTTTTGGATTGGTGAACACGCTTTTGTTAAATGATCCTGATACATTCCGTCGAAATTTGACCATTCAGGTTTGTGAATTTATATCAGTTTTGATAGTATTTTTCTCATGCTAAAGAAAAAGTGATTTACTTTAAAATCTCCTTTATTCAAGTTGAGATGGCTCTTGAATCCACTCTTCCACAGTTATTATGCAAATCTAAATGGCTGGAATGTTCACTCGTCACCACTCTCCTATAAACTCAATGTTTTGAAATTGTGGTGTCTTGCCTCTATTAACCCATGATATTACAGTGGAACATTTGACCTTTGATAATATTGAGACACGATGTTAATTTGTCATTTTAATGCCTATGTATTAATTGTTAACATAAGAAAGAACTTACTCAAGTTGAGTAGCTGAAGTCCGTCTGTAGATTTTTTGTTAAAAGAACTCCTGCTTTTGAGATAATCAATTAATCAGCAAAATGTTCCGTAAATGCAGCTTTCTATTAAAATCAAGGTCAAGTAGAATAAATTTTCTTGACATGATTGAAATACTATTGTTTTTTATTTTAAAAAATGTTGATTAAAATAGATTTAGTTTTAAACGAGATACATGACCAATTAACAATAAAAAGCAATAACTAATTTCTTTCCAGAAAGAATAGGAGTTTTCAGCTGTAACAATGCAAAACTAGGAATTACTAATTTTTTAATTTTTTTTGCTAGTGTGTTACTCTTATAATGATCTTGTACAATAGGATTTCTTTTGTGTTAATTTGAGAATCTCATTTTGATTTTTTACATTATATTGCCTTTTGCAGCGTTATGCAGTTATTCCTCTGTCAACCAACAGTGGTCTTATTGGTTGGGTCCCTCACTGTGATACTCTACATACTCTCATTCGAGATTATCGCGAAAAGAAGAAAATTTTGTTGAATATAGAACATAGAATAATGCTGAGAGTGAGTATCCATAACAGCATATGCTTTTTTTTGTTGAGAGGAGCTTTTGAGATTGAGATTCAGATTAAGTTTCATTTTTAGGGTAATGTTTATTAATTTTGTATAGTAGGCAATTGTAAATTATTGTGCTATGCATTTATGAACCAGAATGTTTAATATTGTTTGTTTATCATGACGTTATTAACAATGGATAAAAGACATTAGGAAAGTATCGTGTTTCTTAATTGAGGTGTAGTGTAACAATTTGTTTTTTGTCTTTTCATCTCAGGTTTCTTCTCCTTTTTCTTGTCTAAATTTCAAGTCCAACTATTATTACCAAATTTAGTGAAGAAGTAGTAAAAAAGTGTTTTTAGAAAGTGAATACATAAATGATTTGTACACATGAGATTAAACATGTGTAAATGTTTTGTGTGCTGTTTTTTCTTCTGAGTTGTGTTCACTTCCAGGTCAAAATTGGAAGTTTAAGTGACCAGGTTTAAGGAAATGTATAATATATTGACTGGGCTCAAAGCTCCTTAAGACTGTTCAAAGAGTTGACTGTCATGGTAGCTCAATTGGTCAGAGCAACTAGGTGTTTCCTGGGAGATCTGAATTCAGTACCTGGCTGAGGCAATCAATTCTTTGAATTGTCAAAACATAATTTAGAGCAATATTATTTTTATTTGGAAACTCAATGATTTGCTGTTACAGTAGAAATTGCCAATAAAATGGCTCTTTGTGTTTTACAGATGGCACCTGATTATGACCATTTAACTCTAATGCAGAAGGTTGAGGTCTTTGAACATGCTTTGGAACACACGCAAGGAGATGACTTGTCACGATTATTGTGGCTTAAGTCACCCTCTTCTGAAGTGTGGTTTGATCGTCGAACTAACTATACTCGTTCGTTGGCTGTCATGTCTATGGTAGGGTACATTCTGGGCTTGGGAGATAGGTTAGTATCATGAAAGAGTAAAGCAGACATTTTTTATTTTAATTTTTATTTCTGACTATTTAATTTTTAACTTTAATTTCATCACATAATTGATTATACAATCTGAAGTATTTAACTGTTTTAATTGGATATATAAAACGTGTAGTAATAGGTTTACAAAATCAAATTGCATGTGCAAGAAATCCATAATTTAATGTTCTTGTTTTATTTCAAGGGTTTCAGCTTTATTCAAAACCTTAGCTTTCTGTTGTAAGATACTTTTCTATTTGAGATTGTGGATTGTTCTTGCTTAAGGCAGGTCATAATAGGCATTGAAGATGATATATACTCTGGAATAAATACTAAAGAAAACATTTACTCTAGGCATGCAAAATGGTATCACATCTTTCCAAGTGATTTTACCATTTACCATGAATTTCCATTGAAGAAAATATTTTGCAATTTTTTTACATTTTAGAGCTGCATTCAGATAGCCTATATTCCATTAAATAAAAAAATCAATGTTTAAATTAAAAAAAAAAAACACCAGACACACCCTCATCTATGTTTGTTACGAGGTCTTTATATGCGAATTACTGTGTTGGTGCAGATGAGAAACAATGAGTTGTTGTTATTTCATAAATTACTTTTAAAAATAACCTTACTGGTTCTGAAATTCACATTTATTTGACTGTGGTCTTTGGGATAGTCCAGTATATTGGAAACTTGATAAATTATGTCAACTCAAGAACTTTCCTTTTCTTATGGCTATGTGGATACTTTCCTCCGTGGTGTTCCTAAAAACTCTCATTCATGGGTATTCAATGTATTGACATGCTGACGTGCTAGAAACAATGGAAAACCAATATAAAATATTATTCACAATTCAATGTGCAATATATGTAACAGGTGCTTTGTAGCTGCCATTGGTGATGATGGTTTCAAAATCAGAGGAACAGTAATTTGCCCTTTTATAAGGCAGAGGCCTCCAAAATTTTCTGGAACATTGATTGTTTGTCATTTTCCAATTTTGTTTCTTCAGTGTTGCTTTCCACTTGAAGACACTTGTACCACAATAAATGATTGTTCTGAATGTACATGTACCACAATTTGTGAACATGAAAACCGGACCTTGCAACTCTCCATCAAAATGGGACAAAGCTCGAGGGTGCTACTCTAGGGGGCGCTAATGTCGCTGAGTACAGCTGCAAGTTAGGCTCGCCAACTTCTGCACATAAAAAGTGGCTAAAGAAATAACGAAAGTGTCTTTTAAGTGTTCAATTATTCATAATATACACATATAAAAAACCCCTGAAGAAAACGCAAACATCGACGCTATCTTTTGTAACATGGACCTGCTTGTGACCCGCCTACTCACAGTCGCAGTGCACGTTGTAAGTATCGTTGGCAGCAGTTGGTATTTTAGTTCCTGTAAGAAGGTGCTGTAGCAGAGCACGCCACCATAATGGTTTCCACCACGTTATATGGGAGTTACAAGGCCCTGATGAAAACTGTAGTTCAGGAAAGTATGCGTTGGGTTACATTGCAATTGTTCTGGGATAAACTAGGGAAGTTTTCAACTAGGAGGAAAGCAGAAAAGAAAACCGTGAACCCATTAGTATATTTCTAGAAAGGAACATTAAAAAAAATATATTTTTGACACCAGATGTTTTCTCTTGTATTTTTCTTTTCATGTAATTTTTATATCACTTACACTTTAAACATTACTGACCTAATATCTTTTAGAATGGAGTACAATGAATTTTCAATGCTGCCCAAGACACTTAAAAAAATTACTTTAATCAAATTGAAATTCTTTGTCTCAGTTGTATCTCTTGCATTTGAAGTTCTCAAAATTTGGTTATTTCAATTACAGACATCCCTCCAATCTTATGTTAGATCGCCTGAGTGGTAAAATTCTTCACATCGATTTTGGAGATTGCTTTGAAGTAGCCATGACACGGGAAAAATTCCCTGAGAAGATTCCATTCAGGTTAACAAGAATGCTCATCAATGCTATGGAGGTAAGAAATATACTATATTTCTAGAATGTAAAATAAATTGATGTGCTTTTCTTCTGTTATTGATTTTAAGTATATAAATGATTGGAATGAAAGATATTAAAAATGTGAAAAAATTTCACTTTCTTGTTATGAATTGTTTTCACTAAATACTTCATAAAACTTGTGTAGTTTAATATTGTAATTGTTTTCGATATCATCTCATCAATTAAATAAAATAATTGTTTCAAATCTCTCTATCTCTAAAATTAATCTTCATATGAGGGTGTCAGCGCAATAGTGGCCTATCCCCAGATCCTGTGTTTGGAGAAAATGGCTGATGAAGTTATTGGCAAAATTAAACACTCATTTGTAAGTGTTTTCATATTATGATATTATGTAAGAATGACCACTGACTAAACATTTGTGGTGGATTACATCTTGTGTAAAACAGCATCGCCTAGGCTTAGGCCACTGTTGCACAGAGAAACGTAATCGTAAGCTGAGTGCAATAGTTCTTTTTGTAATTATAACTTGAAAACTATTGACGCGAACATGATGGAACTGTTACATGTCAAAGTTAGGGAGATAAAGATGTGATTAACACAGAGAACGCAATTTCCTAAAAATGTGTGATAGGCCACTATTGCGCTGTCACCCTCATATAATATTGTGAGAGATTTATTTCAAGGATGTTTTACATTTAGAATGTATTAAATAAAATTAAATGTCATTCATGACACAGGTAACTGGGATCGAAGGAACATATCGGCGCACTTGTGAATCTGTCATGTCTGTGCTACATCGCAACAAAGACAGCCTGATGGCTGTGCTTGAGGCCTTTGTGTATGATCCATTGCTGAATTGGCGTCTGATGGACCCCACGGGAGCTCCAAGAGGCGGGGGTGGTGGCAAGCAAGGCCAACGAGGCAAGGCTCCTGGCACGGCAGAGTCCAGCATCTCCTCCTCATCCCAGGAGCCTGGCGAGGGCCTGGATAGTGTGGGTGGTGCTGGGGGTGCAGGAGGGGCTGCTGCGACAGGCAGCCTCAGTGCAACTCTGCCCAAGAAGGGAGTACCTTCATCCATTGAAAATGGAGGTTGTTGCCCAGTTTTCTTTGTTGTATTTAGTTTCCTTGGCCAATAATTCTTAATACACTATATGCGATTTTGCTTTCTTTGAGGAGTTAAAGGATAAGTAATCGTAGAGAAGTTTATTTTTGAAATCCATTGTGTATTGGATGATGAATATTATTTCATTATGATTATTAATGTACGCTCATTTTGATTAGTGATTTTGTTAAGATCATATTAATTAATTTGATGATCACATGGTCACTAGGTCCTTTAATGTAGGACATTCATTTATTTTCATTGCTTTATGGTTTCTACTTTCAGTGACTAAGTATAATATCATACTTTTTTGATTCATGTGGAAAGTGTGAATTTTTTGCTTTTGTGTAGCAGAAAACAGCCAGCCTGAAGCATTGAACAAAAAGGCTCTGGCTATTATTACCAGAGTGAGAGAGAAGTTGACCGGCCGAGATTTCTCGCATGAAGAAATGTTGACTGTACAGAAGCAAGTCGATTTACTTATTCAGCAAGCCACTTCAAATGAAAACCTCTGTCAGTGTTATATTGGATGGTAAATATTTCCTTTTTAATTTATTACATGAATATGTCTCTTAAGGTGGTTTAATCATGTGAATGATTATTTTGACACTCATTTTTGCCAAAGTAAATTTGAGGGTGTGCTCAGTAAGTATCAGGTAAAAATGATTTGTATTTATTTCTCAAATATTGGCATACTTGTGTTGGGGCTGTGGTTCTCTCTATTATTGTTGTTCCTCTGCCAACTTGCAAATGTTGGTACGTAAAAAAAATGTATATTACAAGAATAGTTTCTTGCATGAATTATTATTAAATTACTTTAATGGATTGTTCTTTAAATAAAAGTTGGTTTAGTTGTGGGCATGATAGAAGTGAACAATGCTATGATATTAGGAGATTGTGGGTTTTTGACCTTGTTTTTTCAAAACGATTTGTATCAATTTTTACAATATTTTTGTAGTGACTTTATCTGCACCAACTAAAAATTGCTCATCAAAACTATTCCTGAATTCCAACTGCACTCACTGAATTAACACTTCCTATGCTTCTGAGGGATTATCAGTTGTTGCTTAATTGGTGGCAGTTCATTTGGATGAACAATGTGACAGTGAATAGTGATTAATTGTTTTCAACCTGTCAAAATAATCATCTACATGTCTGGACCATGTGTACTAATATCTCAGTCAAAAAAATCAGGGTCCTCTTATATTTGCAGATTAAGTTTTGTGGGTTAGGCTTTATATATTTACAATGCCTTTCCATGAAAGAAAACCCATAAATGTCTGTGTCTGGATACTTCAGTTTCTTTGATTATAGGTCGAATGAGTATCTGCAACTATTGCAACAAAACAGTATCCAAGGTTATCTTAACTTGCGTGAAGTGTCAAGTGACGTATCACCCTAGTTGTAGATATAGGGTAAGTGGATTACCTAACGCCGTAATATTTCATTGCTGCTCATCCAACAGTGAGATGGCTACAAATCGAGGGCTAGAGAAAATCATCAGAGAAGAGTTGGATAAAGCCACGAAGGAGTTGAGTGATAAACTCGATAAGCTAGATGACAAACTGACAAGTAATCAAAAGGAGGACATGGCAAGTATTAAAAAAGAAATCACAAAAATCACAAATGCAGTAAGTAAACTCACAGCAGACATTAAATTCTGCAAGGAAGAGCAGAAGAATCTTGAAAAAAGATGTGATGAGATTGAATCCTTGCAAAAAACTACGGCTAAACGAGTAAACGAAATGTCAGCAAAATTCCAAAATATTGAAACACATGGAGCAAACCCCAAAACTCACTCTGAGATCGTTAGAGAGATTGAGGAGCGCGAGTTACGCAAGAGGAATGTAATTCTTTATGGTGTTCAGGAATCAACAATGGATGATGCTGAAACTAAAAAATCTGAAGATATAACCGCTATTAAAGAAATACTAAAAAATCTGGATATACAAGCCGAGCAAAACATTGAAAATATTATTAGATTGGGAAAACTGAATTTAGAGGATGAGGATTCTAACCCCCTTACTGAATAAAATATTTACGCAATCCTTAGAATTAGGGAAATTGCCCTCTGAATGGAAAAAAGCTGTTATCACACCGGTTTTCAAGAAAGGAGACAAAAAGTTACCACAAAGCTACAGACCAATAAGTCTGACAAGCACAGTGTGCAATGTCATGGAAAGGGTAATTGTCCAACGACTTCTAGATCATGCATTTGGAAATGATATCATCCTTAAACAACAACACGGTTTCATCCCAGGAAGATCAACATTTACAAATTTACTACAGTTGCTAGATATATGGACCAAGGAATTGGACCAGAAACGACCAGTCGACATCACATATCTGGATTATGCTAAAGCTTTCGATAAAGTTCCACATCAACGCCTCATACACAAACTCTCATCTTTGGGTATATGAGGCAAGCTATTGAAGTGGATCCAGGAATATTTATCAGGCAAGACATTCCAGGTGACCATTGGAAATACACTGTCGAGACCTTGTGCTGTTACAAGTAAGTGGTGTGCCCCAAGGTTCAGTTCTAGGCCCGACATTATTCATCTTGTATACTTGCGACCTAGGTAATGAACTATCCTCGTGTTGGAATTGCTATGCGGACAACACCAAAATTTTCTCTAATCCATTAATAAACTATCAGACGTTACAAAATGACCTCAACAAAGTGGTGAGATCGTCGGAGTCCTGGTTATTACCTTTGAATTCTGATAAATTTACTGTCCTTCATTTAGGAAGAAATAACCCAAATATTGACTATACTGTTGGAAATCACATCCTCAACTCTACGACAAAACAAAATGATCTTGGCGTTATTATCACTCAAAATCTGAAATGGGATAACCAAGTGTTTACCATTACTAAAAAAGCCAATAAGCTACTATACCTGATTAGAAAGACATTCTCTACATGTCCATCTATGGTGAAACTGATCTACACGGCATATATCAGACCTATACTAGAGTATGCTAATGTGGTTTGGTCCCCCTATTATCAGAAAGATAAAAAACATATTGAAAAAGTACAAAGGCAGATTACAAAGATCCCTAGAGAACTACGTCAACTTGATTATGAAGGAAGATGCAGAGAAATATCTCTTCTAACATTAGAACAGAGAAGAAGTAGAAATGATATTGTAGAAACGTTTAAGATCCTGAAAGGATTTTATAACGTTCCTGAATTCAACAACTTTTTCATTAAAGCCATGTCTAGACTTAGAGGACATGCGTTGAAACTGGTGAAATAGAGGACACGGACAGGACAACATGCTCATTTTATTGTAAACCGAGTGGTGAATACATGGAATACACTTGGCAAAAACTTGGAAAATTGCTGCTATGTCCCAATTTACCAACGAAATGGAGGATCAGAGATGTACAGTTCGCAGTTCACAATTTGATCACACAAACATTAAAGAATACTAACTTCAAATATGAACATTCTTCAAATAGTATATTTACTGTACAACAGTTCTTTAACTATCAAAAAACTTGCTCTTCCAAAACAAAACACATGAACAACAAACATTTATTAACAGTAGACTTCTTTTTTGAAGGTTTGCTGTTGTCTGATGTCTGCTGTGTGGCAGGCAGCAATACTGAGTAGGAGAATAGGTGGAATAAAACAATCAAATATTTGTGTTTGTCAATAAAAATAGAAACTGTTTAGTTGTTTTTGGATTTTACCCCAGTTTCTGGCCATGTAATGAAACAATAGACACCTCTCACATCGACTGAGGCTGCAAAGTTTTCTTTCAGTTTTTGTGTGCATTGGAAATTAATAATATTGATAACACAATTACAGATTTTGACCTTTTGTATCTTTACCAATATCTGTGCCATACTCTTGTTTTTCAGCTTCCCAATTCCAGGATTCTGTTGGCACCACAATACAAAATAATTTCATAATTTGTGAAGTTTTTCTTTGGGTCTTTTCTTGTGTTTTGGCATTCTTTGATTATTTATCAAATTACGTAACAACTTCATTAAGGACTGCATTTCGCTGAATTTTTTACTTTCTTGCACCTATTACTGTAAGAAGAGAAAGCATTGTAATTGTGCGCCGGAAAACGGCAAATTTTCGATACAAATATTATTGCCGGGTCTTGGTAAGGAGCAATGGATAAATTCAGTTTCTAAATATAGATAAAAAATTCCTCTAGCATGTGGTATAGTCATATACCATGTTTTGTGGATCTTTGATACCAAAAAATCGATTGATAGCCAAACGTCTGTATAATAGAATACTACTGTTAAGCCGATTTTCTCCAAAATTGATATTCCCAATTGATCTGACTGATGTCATGGTCCCTTGAATTTAAAATCGATATTTTAATTTTTGGCGATACTTTACAAAAAGCCCCTCGGATATTTTCAAAAAAGAAGGCTCCATCATTTTTTATTAAATTTTGTTGTTGGATAGTGTTATGGGCATTTAAGAGAATAGTACAGGTCTCATTTTCGTTGAAAACTAATTTTTTGAAAATTGCAAAAATTCAATTTTTTTTTCAGTGTCTTCCTACAATTATGAAAATAGTTTTCCTTTAATGAAATCTGTACCTTACAGATATATTTTGAAATAAGGCCAGGTACAAAGATTTGAGTACTTTTTGTATACTTTTACCTGAAAGTATGGGTGAGAAAGTACTTCCTGCTTTACCCCCACTAGTTTATGCTACTTTTCAAGTTTAACATCTTTATTGATTAAAAGTGAAAGTTACAGCAGCACATATTTTCTCAGATTATTTGTAGCTTGGGCTATTTTCAAAAATTCAGAGAAATGTTCTTCACACTATTCAATAAAAAAAAATTTGAGACATTATGATAATATTGTTTTTAAAATTGTCTTAATTTTATGCAAAATAATGTGAAAAATACTCATATTTTGAAAGAAATTGTTCTTGACTCCATTTAAAGATTAATTTTCAAAACATATTTCATTAGCAGAGAAATAAGGTATTTCTTAGGTGATGGAACAGACAATTTGAATTTAGCTTTGAGGCTTCATTTAGGCTTGGGGATCTTTTTCATGTGGTAAATCTTCTAACATTGTATGATCGGCTTTACTTCCTCTCTGAAGGAAGGCATATGAAGGATATTTCACCCTTAAAAATCCACAAGTCCAATCGGGTTTGAACACGCGCACTTACCGCACGGGTATAATAGTCCGATACACCATCACTGCCGCTCTGATGTTCACAGATGGACAGACAGATGTGTTACCATAAATCCATTTTTTGATATCAAGAACCCATGAAACATGGATTCTGATGACGACAATATTTTGGAGGAAGTTATTTTAGTACCTATAGGAACAAGAATTATCCCCCTTTTTGGTAATACGAATTACCATGGTCCTAAAAAAACCCATTGTTTTTTGCCTATTTCATCTGCTCATTAATCAAATCCATATTACAAAGTAAAGTTAAAATGTCAGAATAAAAAATATGTGAAATTTTGAATCAGTGGTGCACTGAATTAAATCCATTAATTTGGAGGAGTGGATCTTGAAGGATAGATTTTTCAGGAATCAGTTATGGTTCTCTAACAGTTTGCTTGTGGCATTTATAAGAAATTCAAAATTAACTATTGGGATTTAACTTTCTAGAACCTAGAATCATGTATGGCTCTGACACATAGGTAATGAAACAGAGAGAAGCAAAAACTACATGTAGCACATATGAGATTACGAAGAGACTTCTCGTGGGAACCAGAAGAAGAAACAGGCAGAAATGAAGACATCAGAAAGAAATTAAAAAACAGATGTTAATGAAAGAGAGAGAACAGTCCCAAAGATGATGAAAAGATCATTTACAGAGAATGAACAACAACAGTTTGCCAAATTTAATCTGGAAGAGGCAGACCACAAAAGACAGGAACACTTGAAAGACTAATAATATACCAAGAGTACTGTAATAAACCAATAGAAACTGACTGTAAAGCCTAATTTCTTGCCAGTTCATGATGATGATGATGATGATGATGATAATGAACTTTCTAATAAAATTAATGATGCTTATAAAAACTTTTATTTGTTATGTCATATTATAATGCTGTCTTCTAACTTTTCACCATTTCTTGAAGATAATTCAGAAATCTAAAATATTTTTCTTGTTTCAGGTGCCCATTTTGGTGAACAGTCTAGTCAAGTATAGATAAAAGAATCAGAAAACATGCAAGGTGAACTAAGGAATTTGATATAAGAAGTTTTGTTTGGTTTGAGATCATGTTTGTTGTTATAGTTTGGGCAGTTCATTTTAATTATAAATATGGAACTTTTGGATTATATCCAAAGAAAAAATTATTTTGTGTACATAACTTCACAGTTTACACCTAAGTGAGGATTTTTTTTCCATCAGTGATACTGTGATACTGCATATAGTGATAAATGAAAGTGTGATTGTTAACTTATGCTCAAGTGCCACACCTGTCATGCATGTAGCTTCATTGAGTTTTCTGTGAATCTCTCTGAACAAGACTTGTTTCATATGGAGGTCATGGTAAACATTAAATCTTTATTTTGTGTAGTGTTTAATTGCTGTTCCCATGTATTTTTGGAAGTATGAAGATAGCATGCATGCAGTATTATTGAAGCCCATTCTGAAGATGGGTGTTGCTATTATTATTGTAGAGAAGATTACTTTTTGCAGGCAAGGTAGATTAAAAACAAATGTCTTTCAAAAAGTAAAATTTTTGGCTTTCTTTTATATTTTTTGTTTAAAGTCTAAAGATGCTCTTGTATAAACATGTTTGAAACAAATTTGTTAATGCAGGATTTTTAGATGGTTTTGTGTGGTGTTGTGTGTTGCTGAAGGAAATCTTCTGTTGTTACTTTTTTTATGTTTTTATTGTGTTTTTATAAAATTGTATTGGAACATGTAAACATTTTTTTCAAAATAATTTTCTGAATTGTTAAACAATTAGGCTTCACTTGAAACATTACTGAGAACACTTCATTTACATTATAGTTTATAGTTCCCTATAAAATGTTTGTTGACCTTATATAATAGAGCACTGTACATAGGAAAATAAATGTAAAATACATACTTGGAAACAATATTAAATAGTATTAATTTCATATGAAAGAGATCTCTCTGTCTTTTTTTTCTTATTTATTCTCCAGTTTGAGTCAATGTGCAAATGGACAGGAGATAGAAGAGGTTGAAGATTATTCAAGCTGATAATTCTAAAATGGTGCTAAAACTTAAGTTCAGTCAAAATATTCTGTGGAACAGTGCTTCAAAGCATTGACTCTCCAAGAAGGAAAGCATTACAAATGGTCTTGTCTTTCTCTCTCTTTTTTATTTTTAAATTTAAAATCTTCAGAACTCACAATGTCTCTTAAAGTTAGTGTCCATTGGCTGTGGACTTGTATTTCTTTTTATTTAATTTCAAGGATTTTCTTATTCAAATTACTATTGTCAACTATGCTAATACTATGTAACAAGTGAATGATAATAAGGTATCCGACTTGAGGTCTACTAATCAACGAATTAAGAAAAGTATAGTTGGAGAATTATGAAATTATGATGGAAGTAGAATTACATAATGTACTTTATTTCAATTCATCTAATATTAAATAAACACATGAAAACCACATAAACCAATGGTTTTACCTAAATTTTCCATGACGAATGTAGTTTTGTCTTCCATAGAATTTTCAGTTATTGGTAATAATACATATAACATTACTGTAAATATAGATTACATAAATTCATGTGTTTTATGTACATAAAATTTACTATGGATGTTTCAAATTTTATCTATGAAATGATTATAATTTTGAAATTATCCAAAAGTAAGGAAACTTTCAAATATGAGTTTAAGATGCTGGGAAGGCTTTGATAACAGTGTACTGAATAATTAAGTGAAAGAAAATTATAGTACATAAAAGTTATAATACATTAAAAGTGAACCAATTCTTTAATAAAATAATATTAAAACTATGTAATTTCCGTAAAATTAATCCTTTTCTTCTCTCTAAACAATTGGATAATAAATAGTCCAGGCAATACCCGGAGGTGGCCAGGGGCTTGATGCCATTAGATTCCGGGACTACTGTCAACCCCTATGGTTGTTAATCCTGTCAGGGTAGTAATGTTTTATCCTAGGAGAAGGTGGTAACGGTGTTCCATGGAAGGCGAGCCAACCCCTATATGTTGGCTTGTGGGCAATAATCCAATCCTAGGAGTCTCCTAGTGGGGCAGTGGCCCAGCCGGGACAAGTTATTTTTTGTTTTATGTTATATTATCGTTTTGTGTACAGTTTCTGAAATAATGTTTAAATACAAAATTTTGTAAAACTAGGCAATGTAAAATTACCTCAGCTTCAACATTACTTTTCATTGTGAAGGTTAAAATCCAAACAACTTTTAAGTTTTACAAAGTGTTTATTTTGTACTACTTTTCTTTGTAACACAGAGCCATTAAATGGTATTTAAAATAATTTTTAATTAATATTGTTACAAAGTAATTTACTTAAAATTTTTTTTTATGTTAGTAACACAATTTACTAAATACGTTTTCTTTTTGTAAAATTGGATGTTTATTCCAGAATAGTATCTATTTGAAACATTCCACCCAGAGAGAGGATATAACTTCTATAATCCATTACAAAAAGTATATTTTTATTCATGTACTTAAAATCAAGAAATTGTTTTAGTAATACATCATTTGTGAATGCATTTCCAAATGCACAAATTATCATGCAAATTTGAATTATAAGTATTCTTTCTTTGGTCTTTACAATGTAACCTTAATGCAGCACCATTTTTTACTTTTATCTTCCACCCATTCAGTTCTGAGTTCCTATTTATGACTTGAAAAGAAGCAGTTATTTATTACCAACAGCCATCCTTCACCTCTTATCTTTGCTTTTTAAATTTACAATATGACAGATTTTCAAGGGAGTTGTTCTATGCCACTAATATAGGACATCTCTCACCTTTAATGCATTGCTTTGCATAGAGGACAGTAAATCTGTATTTTAGACCAGTGCCACACGAGCGTTGACTTGATGGGCATCACCTAACACTGATGACATAAGCTGTGTCGATGCCTGTGCACAGAAGTCACTTAATATGCATCGTAGATTAACACTATATCTTATGCAAAGGGGGCAGCAACGAGGGCAGGCAAGGTGACCTGTATCAACACAACGCTTTTGTGACACAGGCCTTACTTCTCAGAAAAAATTGTTCAAATCCTGGTTGATTAATGTGGAAGATCTGGAGAACCAAATGAGTAGAAGGGCAGTTTTCCTTGGTTGTCCTACACTATCTGATGAATCTTCTTTTTAAATCTGATTTATTCTCCACTATGAGGATTATACATGACTCCTGAGCGTTTTTGTGGAATTTCCATACACCTTATTCTGCAGTTATAAATGTACTAAAAGTATAAAAACACTTTTTCTTTCTTTTCTCTTGCTTATCTTTACTGATGTCACTCTTTTTATTTTTAAATTACTTCAATTTTCTACAGTTTTAACTTGTTGCAAGTTTATTCAACACATTGGTGGAATTCAGTTTTATATTTCCAGAAAATGTATTTAACAAACATTTTTATGTTCTTCTATTATACATATTTCAGCCTTAATTTCTGCACAAAATAATATTACTGCATTTGTTTCTGAATATAATCTGTGGACACTACCAAAATTTCTTCAAATATACTTGTAAAACATTTACCTGTTACAAAAATACATAAATACTCTAATACTCTAGCTTAATTAGACCTAAAGTATTTTCAATTTATTTATATGCAATAATGACTTTGGCACTTAAAACGTTGGTCCCATAATTGTTTTTGCTAAATTAAACAAGATAAACATTTAAACTTCATTGTTTGGGATCAGAGAAATTTCACTAACAATACCATTACATTTATGCAGTTGAACAAAACTTAATACTTGGTGAAATACATTTTTAACATAGAAAACTCAGAGCTATAGCAATGCAAATCTAATATGCTCAATTTGCAAAAAGACTGATTTCTCTTACTAGCTTCAGAAAATGCTGTGTATAAGGAGAAGAGGAGAAAAAAAAACAAAAACAACAACACGTGTACACCTTTCCTATTTTTTAAAGTAATGGAAGAAGTGACGTACATCGCTGTGTATGTCAACGGTCAATCAAATGCAAACACCTGAAATTAAATGTTTATTTTCATATACTCATAAATATGTATCTATTATACTAAAAAAAACACTTTCAATAATAATAATAATAATAATAATAATAATAATAATAATAATAATAATATTTTTTATATATGTTTGGAATATATATAAAAAAAAGGATTGAAGTGAAAAATATTATTAATTTTTTGAAAGTCTCATTGACGTTTTGAGTGATACGATTTTAGAGGAGAGAGAGAGAGGGAAAAAAATTACTTAAAAACATAATTTGACTTTTTTTTTTTTTGGTGGATTTGTCTTTGAAGGAAAACATTTGTCAAATCAAAGGCTTGGTACAGGTCTCTTGTTATTTTCTTGTAATTTACAGATTAAGACAAAGGTAAACGTTCATGAAAACAAACTACAGTAGACGAGAAATATATCATATATACCATGATTATCCTGACTTTAATAGGTTCCAAATTTAACTCTAAGAAAGGGAATTCTTTTAGTGTTTCTTTGTAATGCCTACATTCAGGCTTTCTTTCACAACTTTGTACCTGAGGTTTGTTGTTTTATTTTTATTTTCAAGAATTGAAGTAATAGACTGCTGTGGCCAGAGTTGAGTGAATGTTTTAGGCTGTCTGGGTCCGCTGTGCCTCATAGCACTGCTGTTCAGAGGAAGACTATGACAAAACAGTCATAACATTGGCAACACAGCCTTTGATGTGACATCACCCCAACACTTGAGAATATTCAAGTTCAACAGTACTGCCAATCATCTTTGTTGCATTAAAGTGCTAACTCTTAAAAAAATGAAGCTACTTGGAAGCCAACACAATGTTTGATACAAAATTTGATTTGTCTTACAATTGCGAAAATATTTTAATTAATTGATAAAAATAAATGCCTACTAATTTTCAGTTTATTTTCAATGATCTCAAGCCTTTGAAATTGTTTGCAATTAACTTACTAAGGAAAGCTAGGAAATTTTGATTTTGACCGATACAATTGTCAATCCGTATTACATAAATGCAATGAGTACAATCGGTAGAAATGAGTAATTGATCCAATAACAATTGTGAGAGAAAAATTATAAATTCCATTCTTTTTCAAAACATTTGATTTTGTAGTTTGAGCTCATTATTGTAATTAATATTTCAATAAATTTCTTTCTCACACCACTTACTCTAATCTAAAATCAAAGTTCTGTTATCTGATAATTTCATTGCTTTTTAAAAGAATTTTCAAAAAACAACAACTAATGTTTGAGGGTCAGATTTCAGAAATTGATTATGTTATCTCTGTGCTCTTTAAAAACAATTTTTCATAAAAGATGAAACCACAAATATATAAATGGTACCTAAGTAATAGCTGCTCAATAGTAAGTTATCCTTCAGTACACATAATATTGATTAAACACCACATATTAAGGCCAAAGGACTCAATCAGTAAAATATTAATTTTAGTCCTTTTGTATGTTTTCCATTTTTATCCTGACCCTGAAACACTTTCACATAAAAATTCTTGTTAAATTTACCAAGTCTCATATTAATGAAATATCACCTTACTGAAATGAACTTTTTCCAGGCCTAACTAGTTACACTCAACATCTTGTGGGCGTTCCTTGGACCAAACACTAGATAAATACTGAGACTTCCACACACACAATAAAATGCATGCTTATTGTTCATGCAGGGATATGAACCCCTTATACTTCAAATACAGGAGCTTAATTAGTTTATGCTGTAACAGCCTCAACCACCCAAGCTGACTTGCTTCCAATTCTTTTCATTAAAAGCATGCGCAGTTGTTATAATTCAACCCTTGTGAAACAAACAGAAAGATATATGTTTTATACGATAACATGTACTTCTTCAGTTTTACAATCAGTAAATAATTAATTACAAATATTATTTTTCATCAATGGGTACCATATGACATGTTATATAATATTATATTTCATTTATATTGTATGAAATGTTTATTCACAAAATATTTTAAAATAGAAAATACTCAGGCAGAAGCGAGGAAAGCTGATATACTTTCACTGAACTAAGATCAGATTTAACAATAAAAATGCTAATATCCCCGAATTCTAACAGAAACTGGCGACAGATTCCACAGGGTGCTGTGAAATCTCTAACGTTGCTAGCAATTACAGCAATGGCTTTGAATTTACGTATTCCCTCACTTATAGCCTTTACTGCTGCTGTGCGTTCTGCACACACAGTTCCTCCATAACTTGAACATTCTACATTACATCCAGTGTACACTGCGCCATTTTCAGCGAGTAGTGCAGCTCCAACATTGAACTTACTGTAAGGGCAGTAGGCTAGGTCTCGAGCTTTTGCACTATCTTCCACTAGCTTCTTTATTTCTGGTACTGGAAAGTAAAATTTTTCCTAATAAATGAACTCAACCACCATCTCCACAATACAGTGGATTAAATAAGACATTTTTGTTTCTACACCTTTAAATTATATACAAATACAGTTTTTAACAACACTTTCTGGGCAAAAGTTAAGACTGCTTTGTTAACATACTTTATAACCATTGTTATTGAATACTTTATAACCATTGTTAGATCATTACCAAGTATGGAAATAACATTACTTTTGGCAGATTAGGAACTCAAGGATTTTGTTTATTAAGGAATCGTAAATTTTTAGTTTAATTTTGAAAATAGCTCCCATATTTCAATTTTGCTTTTAATTTTTGGTTTATCCCTGTCATAGTGTAAGTCTACAACATTCAAATAACACAGGTCTGCAACATATTTTTTCAGAAAAAACTGTATGCAATTTTTCACCTTTTTATATCTATTATATATATTTTTTTCTTTCTCCAATTTCCTTTGTGCTTCTCGTCTGTTTTTGTTTGTGAATGTCAGAAGATTTGTGCTACATGATCCATCCCAGTGCTTTATTATCCAACCAATTATTTTCTGTAGGTGCATAGTGACAGACCACAAAGTTATTTATTCAACAAGAAGGTTTGGAACCATGAAGACTGTGTATGTACGTGATGATGGCATTGGTAGCGGTGACAAGTGAAGGTTTCCATGGCATTAAATATACTGTTCAAGAGGAGGAATTCAAAAAGCATTCTGAAAATGACTCGCTTGCTGAGAGCATAAAAATCGTGAGCTCTGATTATGGCATAAGGGTACATATATGCTGATCACATGAAACGAATAATTAAAAAATGTTGTTATAGACAATGGATGGCAGAAGTAAAGCAGAGCCTATGTGTAGATATATGGACAATATTAAGCAAAGATGTTGTTAGACAAGATTCATGAGAGACATTGACATAGACAACTTGTTAAAACGTGTGAAAGGATATTAAAGAACAATACCAATTATTGGGAAACTAGGAAATTTATCTCCTAATATTGTTATAGTAGATGTTTGATGAATTTCTGAAGGTTTTTTTTCCTCATAATTTTTTTCTTGCATAATTTAAATGTTATAATAAATACTCATTCTTTGAAATTCCATACACGGTTTTTCTTTAGAGATTATTTTCAGAGATTAGTTGGAGTATGCCATTAGTATATTCTGTGGTCACTGCCTCTTATACTTTGTATAAAACTGGCAAATAATGCAAGTAAGTTGTTGGTTCAGTACAACGTCTCTTAATATCGTTTACATCTTGGTAGAATCTCTCCCCTTGCTCATCACTGAAGACTTCCAAGATTTCTGAGAAAGAGTTCACAAAGAAATATACCTTCAGGTTCGTTTTACACTCTTAAGCTTTGAGTGCTGTATTCTTGTTTCATGATTGTTTTCAGTTGACATCTTTGTTGTAACCTACAAATCTCTCAAAAATCATTTTCTACAATTCCCAAGCTTCTTTCATAGTGTGAGTGAAGACTTCATGTAAATAGAATAATAGAGTTTATGAATATCAGAACACAAAAATTTCCTCTTTTAATTTGGCTTCAAAACGTTTTTGGAGTTTAGAGCACAAATATTTGAAACATCCTCCATCTTTTGAAAATAATTCCACGAATTGCTTCATCAGTCCTGGGAATGCAAGAATGGTAAGGGAACACTGTCAGGAAAACCAAACTTAAGTACAATGACATTTTCTTGCCTGGTCTGAGAACATCATGAAAACGCCAGTTTTCATTTCCTCAGTTAAAATCTCCTGCATGGCTGTCCCACAAGCAAAGAAAGCAGGAATATTTTGTGTGCCCTTTTGTTGACCCAAAAGTAAAGTTAGTATATTAAAATTTTCATATATTAACCATTTGTGATATTGATATATTTATTCCTTTTCAAAATTAAAACTTAATCATTGTAATGATCTTGCAGAAGAACAGAGTGGAAGTGAATTAACGTCACTTAATTATTTCACAATTAATAAAGTAACACTGCTTTGAAGAATCAATAAGAAAACACCTAACATATAGTCTGTTTTAAATATTTTCAAGAGAGTGCAAACTTCATTGCATGAAATGAAATGGCCTTCTTTGAAGAAATATGAAAATAATTCCGAGTATCTTAACAAAGTAAATGATGTATCCATTAACAATTCACTTTTCTATTTTTTAATTTTTTTGCTTAGATCCTAATAACTCTTCTGAATGTTACGAAAGACCTATATCTCTTAAGTCATTAAACTTGTTTCTAAAAAAGTAGTGGCTGTTCTTTCATCAAATTCTGGGAAAAGTTGTTTCAAATTCTGGTATTAAACCATTTACATCTTAAGTAATATAGTGTTAACTAGATGGTTTTGGTACTGATATGTAATTATGAAGAATATTACAAAACACAGGACTCATGGATGAGATAAGCAATATCTCTCGCTTTGTTTCTTATATTCTCTCATACAGATTGAAGGAAAGTAGCAAACCGCACTATGATATCATTTCTCACACCATCTATTATGAATTTTGAAACAAAAATATTTCTTCTTACCTTCCAACTACAAATAAAGATCATGTGATGATCACATTTTTTGCACCTTTAGGAGCTCAGACTCTTGAGTTGATCACAATTTCAATCCAGAGAAAGCAAAATATGTTTTCTTCATGAGCTCACCTATATTTTGTAAATACTTTTAAATAGCATATTCATCTCATTTAAAACAAATAGTTCAGTGAATTGGCACAAACACTAATAGCCATTTTTCAAGCCTCACAGGTATGTGCACTTGCATGATTCATCAGAAGGAAAGACTAGAGCTAATAAATTCACAAATTATTGCAGAAAGATTAAATATGACATTGCAACATTGCACACATTTTTGCCCTCATTGTAGGAGGCAAGATAAGAAAGTTGACAACACAATGAAAAATCTGGGGCAATATTTGATATATATAATTTAATATTTGATTTGACACCCATAATAGCATTACTGTCAAGTTGCTGCTTTACTGATGAACTCGAAAACACTGATTTCCCAAAACGCTGTATGGGATGAAAAAAAAATGAGACCATTTTCAGCATATCAAGAGACTAGAATTAGCCAATAAATCCTATTTAGATTTTTGGTTACAAACAAATGCATTTTTGACAGGAGAATTCATTTGGAAATTACACAATAATTTGTATTTCTGGTGAAAATGTATGCCAATTTCGGGAAACATTCATATTTGATACTTCTGACTGGTTAAAAGACAACCTTCGGAGGAAGGGACGCCAAAAACAATACAAGTTGACATGACAATAAGAACTACATTCCAATGTAGTTCCAAATGGATGTCAGCAAGGTTCTTAGGTTATTAGTTTCCAGTTTTACAAAGAAATTAGTTTTCTAAATAATAAAAGGACCAAATAAAATATCACAAATGTAATAATTTAAGTAACCGATGGAATAATAACATACTGACTTATTATGAAGCCATTCCATTGAATGAGTTCAATTGAAGGCGAAACGCCCTGATAAGGGCGTTAATAATTATTGACCTCGCTGCTGAAATAATATTTTTAAGGCAATTGGAAAACCCACCTAGTGAATTTGTTTTTATTTCGCTTCCGTCAGGGAATCCATAAGAGTTCAATTCCGATGCCATTCTTCCAAAAAGAAGCCCGAAAAGAAGTTGCAAAAAACAAATGTTCTGCAAAAAAATATGTTGCAGTGTCACCAACAGCAAGTACCACTTGGATAGTAGTATCATAAATCATACGCTAATCAGTAACCTCAACAATTCTTACTGAGGATTGCCTTTATTCAAAAATGTGCCATCATTTGCAATTTTAACGGAAGTACAGAGCTAATGCGATACGCGGCATCTGTTTCGACGTTATGAACGATGAATGTCAGAGGTCGAAATAGACCAAAACAGACTGGCGAATATTGTATCGAGAACAGTGCCCTTTCATTTCTGGCGTTTTGTCAAGTCCATTTTTACCTCGTGTCAAGAGCTCATCTTTTTAACATTTCACACATTAAAGACAATATAAAATGTAATATTTTTATTAGATATGAACCATGGCTAATTTAGTAGTATCTTGATGAAAAAGGTAATAAATAACCCAATGCAAACTTTAATACTAATTTTAAGATCAGACAACTACAAAACACACAGCATGACAGCAGGTGCTGTAGGGTTCAGGTAGGGTTGCTCAGGGTTGACGGCCTTAGCAAGGCCGGGCTACTACAAGAGGGCGGATAACAGACGAGTTTCCTCTATTCTTTTCTGAAAACCCAAATTTTGCTCAACTTTGCGATATTGGTTTCTAAACAACAGAAATTCTTTGTTAATCTTTAGCATCACTCGGCATGAAAACGTCAAATGTGCCTGAGTTCCAAGGACGTTCACGCTGCTGCCTGCCGTCAATTTGGTATCACTACAAACAGCTGAGTACGTGACGTCAGAGACAGTCGCCAAACATACAAGGGTGACTTGACGTATGCTTGGGGTGTAGAAGAAACCAATTTTTTACCTTTGTATTGTGCATAATTTGGAAGATCAGAGCATCTTTGTGAAACAGGACGAAAATCTGCAAGTCTTAAAATGAGCGAGTTAAGCCAGGAAGAGGTAAGTTTTAATAAGAGAGAACAATGTTCATGCTTTACTATGGTGACAAATGAGAAATCGAGTAATACAAAGGAAGTCGAGAGTACAGTGCTTGAGATGTAAAAATGTTTTGCCAAATAAAGTGCAAACTTTCTATCTTACTACTTTCATTTGATAATTTTATTACCTTTTGCACTCTTCCCCAGGATAAATGGAATGAAAAACATGATTGGCATTATAAATATTAATTAAAAAAAAGACAAATAATTTTATTAAATTATCACAAGTAATAAATGAATATCCCTATAAATCAAATGCTTATAATTGTATTTTTTTTTAGATACGAAAAAGACGTTTGGCAAGGTTAGCAGCAATTGATACTGCTGCTGCAGCTGCACCTTCTACATCAGGGCAGCTGGCGCCTCCTTCTCCTAGTAATGCAGTACCTTCTTCACCTTCTACTCCTGGACCATCAAACTCAAATCATGAGATAGGTATGGGAATTTTTTTGAAAAATTGTAAATAAATATTTTATTTTCATTTTATTAAAATTTAGTTGCGTTAGCAATAGAGATGATCCACATTTTACAGTAATCAAAAGGTTGCTTCTTTCATTTTTCATTTCAGAATTTCGTAGTATATAGCTCAATTAATCTTTTAAAGCAAGTAGTTAATTATTGTTTCATTGTATGTAATGGAAATGGTGAGACATGGCTTTTTCACTAGGTTTGTTATCTCAGAAGTAAACTTTTAATTTAGATTTAGATTTATTCAGTAAAAAAAAAAAAGTATGAGATGGAAGTAAAAAATGGCAATGTAAACATGTTCTGATGTTGTTTGATGATTTCTATCATTTTGATTCAGAATAATTTTCAAACATTTTTTGTAATTCAGAGAAAAGGTTGTTGATTCTTTTAAATGAATTGAGTTTGTTTTAACAGAATGTAAAATGATATGCACAAATATAAGTTTATGGGGGTGAATCAATTTTCTTTAGCTTGATTATTAATCTTCATCATTTTATTTCCTAGCAATGAAATGACATGGTTACAAAAATAATTTTGTCTTTGTGAACTCTTGTCAAAGTAGCCTGGAAAAACATTTAGTAGGTTGTGTCTGCAGAATGTGTATTGTGTGAAGAGTTCCAACATTTGCTATTAGAACTGCAAAGAAAATAGTTAATTTTGTGTGTAAGATATTTCAACACAATGTGAATTACTTTCTAAAGAATTTGATTGACATGCCTAATTAAGAGTTGATTAGTTTATAGATAAATCAATTTTATAGAAATTTGATTGCCTACTAGTTTATTTTATTGTTTGTTAGTTTATGGGTTTGCAGGTATAATGTTAAAAATAAAAAGTAGTCACGGAAATGAGAATAATGACTTGTAATATTGTAATTTTTTCCAGCTACTCCACCACCTTTAGGTACCCAGAAAAGTGATTCTCAAAGTACAGACACTTCTTCACAAATGGAAATTGATGATGCACCATGTGAGAAGAATTCCCTTGTATCTCAGGTGGATGTAGATTCTGGTATTGAAAATATGGAAGTGGAAGACAGTGACAGAAAAGAGGCAGGTGCAAGACATAGAGTAAGTCACCTCCTAAAAAATTATTTCTTTAAAGAATTTTTACTATAGTCCAATAATAGTGTATTGTTATAATGGTTTGTATAGCTACAAACAAAACTGACTTTTATCTATTAATTATTAATTGTAAATTTTTAAAATGTAACTTAATTTCATTTCATTGTGTTATGAATACACCAGAATATGCATTGTTTTTATTTATATTATGGTATTTTATATACCATATAAAAGCATGGGTGCTAAAACACAGAAACAGATAGAGTGGAAATGTCTCAGACACAATAATTAAGATCATTAGTAAATGTGATTAGAACAGACTTAATGTGATGTAAATTCAGCATTATCACTGAATGACAATTCTAGAAATAGTAGGCAATCCATGATAACCCAACTCCACAGCTCTTGCTTTCCTCTTCTTGGTCTTGTCATCTTCAATCATATCTCTATAATTTTATTTATTTTCTGGCTGACCTATTTTTAAGAAAGTCATTGAGACACATATGTCCATAAATCATGTTAGTTAAGAGGATCCATTGTGAAAGATTTCTTGGGTTCTTTTGTTATATTGCACTTAGTGTGAGTTTGTGTTGAAATTACTGTATTTCAAAATAACTTAACTTCTTAGGTTTTCCTTTTAAAATACGTTTCTTCAAAATTTTTTCATTCTCTTAATGACATGAAATCTTGATGATCAATTTAGTAATATTAGTTTATCTAAAACTACTAGACACTTAAGATTACTTTGTTTCTGCGGCTACATTTAGTAGTATTTAAGTATGAAATAGTTTATAATCATTTTTTTTATTTCATTGATATTTTAACAAATCAGTGAACTTGACTTTTTATCAAATAAAAAAAAAAGTGAAAAGTGTGTATTTTAATTATTACTTCATTATTTTACAAATGCAAGATTGAGACATTCTTTTAAATTTTAATCAGTCAGAATGAGGTGAGTAATATGATGATTATGATACAATCATACCTTGAATGCTGGTATTGTAATGAGAACTATGGATTAATGTTGCTTTTCTATTTTGTTTGTAAGTTGAGAAATCACTGTATATCTACAAAAAAGGAAGCAAGTTAATGAAAGATATTTTTATGTATGGTTAAAAAAAGCAATGTAGGGCTTATGTGAATATATATTAATATAATGCGAGATGCAATCAAAACAGACACATTTTGTCTCTTGTAAAGATGTTAAATGTGCAAAAAACTAGAAATTCAAAGCCATTATTCCGGTAAAACGAGTACAATGTATGTTATTCAGAGCTGAAGCAAGTTGCAGTGTGATCTCAAAATTATAATAATTATTGACATCAGTGAGTGTGTAAATTGTTAATAAATAAATAGTAAGTGTGCTGTATTACACAAGACCCAATTCTCTTTGTTTTTTAAAACAAAATATGTCTGTTAAAATTTGCTCTTCAGTATTCAATCAAGGAAAATCTTAAGTTTTAAAGAATTAAGAGAATATATGTAATAATGGTAATTTCATAATGTAAGAGTCACATATCACAGTTATATTACTATTACTACTGCTGCTACTACTACTGTTACTACTACTAATAATGATTATGAAGATGACAATTATGATAAGGGATACACATGTTCATTAAATAGTTTTTGCATATTCTGCTAGGAGCATTGCTTCTTCTGTGCACCTGGTGAAGTGGTATCGATCACATTGTTTTCTGCACATGTCACAATCCTCCAAGGGATTGTGAATTTTTTCTTTGTGCATAGTCTCTTTTTGGATATCTTGTACCAAAAATCTGTTGATTGGGCTCCTCAATTCATTGCAAGGCCCCCTTGCAGTTTCTGTTGGTTATGGAAGAAATCAATCTAGACTTCCACTCAACAGTGAAAGTCTACAATGATTTCTTCCCACCTTAAACACACCTTGACTCACCTTTAACTGTTACACCATCGCCACACTTTGCGTATTGGACGGTTATACCCAACTATGCAGGTTCAAACCCGATCAAAGCCATGGCTTTTTAGGGCGAAAAAATCTTTGTGCGCCTTCCTTCGGAGAGGAAGTAAAGCTGTCTGTCCCATGTTAGATTTACTGCATGTAAAAGATCCTCAAGCCTACGTGAAGCCTCTGAGCTAAATTCAAATCGCATGTTTCATCGCCCAAGAATTACCGCCTTTCTCCGCTAGTTGGTGAAAGGACCATAGCAAAATTTGTGTGGTCAGACAGAAAAGCACACCACATGGCCTGAGAATCGCCATGTGAAATAAGGCAATAATTCAATTCAATTCAGTTCACCTGTAGTAATTCAACTTCTTGATTGCTAGATGGCAATTGCAGTTGTAATCTTCTGTGAGGAAGGAAATCTGTGTAAACTCGTATATAAGTCTGTAGGGTGTCGTTTTCTAAAGGTCTAGTGCTCTTTTTAAAGAGATGCCTAATGCTTCTGAAGTTTCTTAAACGAATCTCTATTATAAAAGGCTAAAGGAAGAAACAGATGAACAAAACTGGTAGAATTTATGATTAATTCTACTATTCACTATCATCTTGTCTGTAAAAAGTGATTTGTTAGGCTGTCATTGAAAATAAAATTAAACATTAAAGTATTGAGATAGAATATGGTTTTTGTCGACAGAAAAATCACAGACCTGTCATACAAGTATATCCATTTACTACTATATTTATATATATAATATATTTATTTTTCATTTTGTCATCGAAAGATATGAAGAATCAAAGTGAACTTGTATAATTAAAAGGAATATACAGATCATTACATGCACTGATTAAAATATTAAAAAATAGTGGAACCCAGCAGACATTGTTCTGCCCTTTATCTCCCTCTTTCTCCTTCCCTCTCTTTTCTTTCATTGTTTGTCCTGTTCTCTCATTGTTTTTCCCTCTCTCTCATTGTTTCTTCCTCTCTCTGTCTCTCCCTCTCTCTCTTTGTTTCTCCCTCTCCCCTTCTCTTTGTCTCTCCCCCTCTTTCTCCCTCTTTTCATCTCTCCCTCTCTTTCTCTCTGTGTCCCTCACATTCACATAAAGTTGAAGATTCTGCATGTCTCTGAGCAGGTGGTAATATCAAGGAGTGCCGGCACCACCAAAAACGTAATAGAATGTACATGATCTCTTCTTGTAGATTATGGTGTATGAAATGTTTCTTTGAGACATTTGGCCTCAAAACTTTAGTTTTTAATGCCATAGAATGCTTCATTTGAGTTATTTAATGATATATAGTCAAAAATCTTGCTTTATGCTAAGAGTTGCATTTGGCATGAATATTTCATTGTTTTTTTTCCTGAATTTTTCCAATATTAAAATAGTTATTCTGCTATTCAGAGCAGAGATAAATCCAACAAATCATAGATAATTAAAATTGATCTAGCAATACTTATAGCAATACTTATTCTGGGACATGTTTCAGACTTCAAGCTCATGTACAGAAGTTAGTGAGGACCAAGTACAGGCTACAGTATCAAGAGTTCTATGTGTATCCTGGAAAGAGAAAACTGAAGGATCAATATTTCTTTCAGAAACTGCATCTGCCGTTAGGGATTCTGTGCAAGAAGGTCAAAGTTCGTTTGATGCTCAGGTAAATTTTTATTAGCACTGTGAATGTGCTACAAATTTTCATAATATTCCTTCATAAGGATTTTGGAAAAGAAGTCTAAAATTGACAAGACTTGGAATAGGTTAGAATGATATTAAATATCAATTGTAAAGAACATTAATATAATGAATGAAATTTTTATTATTTTCTTCTTCTAGTGTATGTGCAAAATTTTTTGATATAATGCAAGTATTTTTTTCCAAAAGAAATATTTTATATTTATATTATGAGTGTATGTCTCTCTTTCTCTCTCATAGGGAGCATATAGGGGGTGTCAAAAATGAAACCTTTTTGCCAAAACACATGTGATGCGAAATTTCATGACAAAATTACATGTGTGATATTTGCCTCTGGTAGGCAATTTAACTTTCTCCTATATTTGGCAGATATATAAAATCTCTTTGTGTATATGACCTTCAAAACACAAGCCTATCAATCGGGAGCAAATATCACACATGTTACTTTGATGAACTTCGTCACTTCACATTCATTGTCAAAAAAGGGATCATCTTTGATTGCCCTATGTACCCTAGAAATTTGGAACATTTATTCAGAGAAAAAGAAAAAAATGGAAATAATTTTTTATAATTTGTTGCAGGATATTGTTAACCAGGCTTTAATAGAGGTGTTGTCAATGTTTAATCGTGGGGAAAATCCTCTGCAAGAGGTGACAATAGGAGTGTCTGTTGGTGGCAGTTCGACTCCGATTGATGCTCTAGATAGCCCTACCAGTCCACAGCTAACACCCAGTCTGTCCCCGGTGGCTGCGCTGCCACTTCCAACCACTGGGGTTCTGGGTGGAGCACCGCCTGCAGATGGTCAACAGAGTGTGATGTCTCGCAGTTTAGGATACTTAGCTGACTGTTATGCACGTGTAGCTGTTGAGGAGCGCAACCATCCAAAGGTTAGAAAGCAGAACTTGTATGAAAATGAAATAAAAAACTCTTGCTATATGTTTTAAAATAGTGAAGAGTATGTTAATTATTCTCATTTACTTAGTGGAGAAACATTATGCTAAAAATTCTTTGATCTCCTTTATTATGTTTATATAACAAACTAAAGGATAAGTTTTCACAATAATGTTGTTTAAATTTTCATTGTAAAATAAATTCATTGTTTAAATTTTCTTTGAGATATATTACATTTTCTGCTTCTCAAATGTTACTTTTAAAACAAAATATAGATGCAAATTTGAGCAGAAATACACATTCTGAGAGATTGCTAAAAAATGTTTTCTTCAGGTATACATGTTTACATTTCTTTACACATGTGAATAAAACAATTAATTCCATTCCGTGTAATGGAATAGTTTGAACATATTTTTGAGGCTTGAAGCTCTATTCAGTTTTTATTTCTTTATACAGGTTGTACGTACTTACAGATAAGGGAAATGAACATACAAGCGATGCATAAATCTCACATCTTGTTATGCCATAGCTGAATTTCTTAACTATAGTACATCATCATCATCATCATCATCATCGTTGCAGAAATTATAGGAAAATAAAGGAATTAAAAACAGAAAGTACTAGGAAAAACCTGAGACACTAAATTACAGTGTAAATGTTCATAAAATTATTTACCTCATAATTTTTTGATTTGATTTTTGTTTCAAGCTCAAAATATTTCCTATTATAAAGTTTGAGGAAATGATAAATTTCAATTCTAAATATGATCATGTTGAAATTTAGTCTGCTGTCTTGACCCTTTTCAGCGATGCAGTATCCCTCCTTTGAGTGAGGTGTTGGCAGACATTCGGGCACAATGTGTACAGTATGCAGCCCTGGTACTGCAGGCATCTTTGAGCGAGGAGGATGCTCCTCGTGTGTCCCCTCTTTTGGCTCCTGTCCTCAATCAGTCTTTGCCCAGGGGATTTCTGCCTGAACTTGTGGCAAGAACATTCTCTAGTAGCTTGGAATCATTTAGTAGGGTATGTAAAATTTAATATTTTTTTTCATGTGGTGTTGCTATGTATTGTTAATGAATCAGATGTTAAAATGATTTTTGTATGGAAATTCTTGTTTTATTTAATTTGTGTTATGCATTTTCTTCAGGAAATATGGTTTATAAAAAGTAATGAAATTGGTGCTATAAAAAGAATGTATTTACTAGATGTAATGTATTGTAGCAGATCTGGCTAGCCAAGATTGCAAAGGCAAACATACTTAATCACACTTGACTTGACTTCAAGGGTCATGGGTTCGAATATGGCCTTGGATGTGGGTGTTAGCTTGTTTATAGTTGTGAGTTTGGGGAGGTTTGAGGTTCCTTATCTTCTCTTCCCCTGCCCTGATTAGGAGGAGGCTGGGTGATGGTCAGAGTTTAACTGTCTGTGGACAGAGAAGTGCTGACAATCGGTTCATGGCGTGCCTCCTGTCCACCTCCTATTCTCCCAACACTATAACAGCCTCTAACATTACAAGTATAGTTATGACCTCAAGAGTTGCAGATGGCTGTGTATGTATTAATCACAATATGTCTATGGACCTCTGCAGCATGACAGAGTGGGAGGCTGATACATTAGGATGTCAAAATGGCAGTGATAAATACTGAGAGTGTAGGATGTTGATACATTCCTAATGGAAATATGCTGACATTTAATTGCCAATCTTATGATGTTTTATGTGTTTTATTGTTGCCTTTCATTGCTCCAATATTGTTCAAAAATGCTTGGAATTGACTGTATCTAAAAAAAAAGTGCATCTTATTCTACCTCAATATTGAATATAGAGTTGTTTATCTGAGTGAAATCTGTTTCAAAAAGTAAATTTTTAAATAAGATCATATATTTTTTAAAAATACGGCTAGTTTTGAAGTAATTTTGAAGATGTGATTTGAAGAATAGAAAGGCAATTTTAAAAACAATATTTTCTCATCAGTGGCTCCAAAGTTTTTCTTTGAGTAGCACAATGTATGGTTATGTCTGATTTTCACTGAACTCTATGAATTTCTTTTATTGCTAAAGTTACAAACAAGGGGATGTTTTAGAATTACTACAATAGTTGCTCTCTGAAGCCTGCAAAGTCTGAAATTCTTGTAATGTACCTTTTTATTTCTCTAAATAGCGACACTGCTTGTTCTACATACAAATACTAATTTTAACTGCTTCTTGTGAATGAAGGTGAAATTAATAAGTGCTTGAGAAAAATAAATTGCTAAATAATAGTTTTAATCATAAAATAACTTCCAAAAAAAGTCAGAAATTTTTTTAGTGTTAGTTGTATTAATGGGACATTTCTAGGAGCTAGCTCTGAGGTGGTTTATCAGTTTGAGGTAAAACTATATAAATCAATAGTTACTAATTAAAGTGTCACGCAAGGGGGTTAAATACATCAAATAAATGTTTTTAGTGACTAATGTTTACATGGCCATAAAGTATTAACTTGTCAATGGTTTAGTTAATGCTTACAGATCAATTAATGAAAAGATAGAAATATTCTTGTTATTTACATTGCAGGGAATTAAGATACATAATTTTTTTTAATGTCAGTTATTCTTCAATAATAAGCTATTTTAATGACTTTTTTACTTTCATTTCACAGGTTTTCAGTCCATTACTCCAAGGACTTTTTCTTACAATGCAGTCATCCTCTATTGTTGGAAATACCCATAGGCAACCTATTCAAGCCCTTAGTGATCTGGTGGAGATACGGTGTGGACCCTCGGGTAATGTTAGACCTATATGCAAGCTTCTAACACAGCAGGTAAGTTGTACGAAGTTTATGACAGATTTTTTGTGGTCTGTGCTGCCCAATAATAAAGAGTATATTCCACGCTGATTTATAATAATGTAATTGCATGTATAGATGCACTTGAGGTCCCTGGGAAGTTGCAATGTAGGAAAAGGGGTTGCCCCTTAGCAAAATACAGTGAAATCTCATTAGCTCCATTACCACATTTTCTCTTTTATTATGTTCATATTTTAAAATCTTGATTCCAATTCCATCAAATTACTCATTTTCATGTTTAACCCTTCATTAGGCACGTCTAGTGGACCCATTTTATTTTAAGAACTCAATATCTCGCTGAGCCATAGGTGTAAGAGTACGAGATCTGGTGTAATATTCTCTCTGCACTATATAGTTCTTAATATTAGTGAATATTTTGATGTCCAAAATACTGATGTCTCCATGCTTTGTTACCCCCAACAATTCTTCCAGGAGAAATTCAGCAAATGTTAACTAAATTCCGGAAAGAAGAAAATCAAAATACGATTTCTATGGAACTACAAAGCACTAAAAGAAAAATGTGTCAGTCTGCGACAAGGAAAAAAATTGTTGCACAAAAAATTCTTATGTACAATGTGTTAATATTTTATGGTTATACAAACATGCAAATTTGTTTTTGTGAAAATTGCGTTAATGTAAATATCACTGCTAATATTAGGGATTAAGTCTGAGAAATTATTATGATTTATTGTTTGGTATTGATTTACACAATATTCTATTTTCTTCTTCCACAGTATTTAAAATGAATCATTTATAATATACCCAATAAAAAATGAAAATGATTTCTCATTAAATATCATCCTATCACTTCCTTAGGCAACATAGATAAAAAAATGTTCTCCAAAAGACTCATAGAATGTTCTTAAAATGTAGAGGAAAGTCGCAGTACACCTAACCATGTCCCATAAAATTGGGCACCTATCGAAGTGTTAATAACCTCGCTTAGCATGTTCAAGGTTTGTTGGTAACTTGCCTCTAGAGACACCCTTTTCCCAGTACACCAGCACCATCTTGAATGTGTGTTGTGTTCAGGGTACTTTTGGGTACCGCTTTCACTTGGTTCCAGATCCAGAGAAACACGTTTTACTTTGCACTCCATGCCTTGTGTTTTACCGATGGAACACATGTTAACATTCATTTTCTTGTTACAAACCACATGTTTCTTTGATGTGACAGTCTGACTGTTCTTTTTTTCTGGTGAGTGTGTTCGTGAAGTGCATTCGACACTATAGGTAAAAGGAAGGCAAGACAGATTACCTATCAAGGGAAATGGAACATTATCGAAGAAGTAGACGCAATCCAAGAAGTAGACGCAAGTAGTAGCAATCTTCGTGAGAATTTTTTGGTTGCACATTTTCCCACTTAGGACATTCAAAATTTGTGGCCCCTTGAAAAGCATACTTACAAGACTTCACTGTATAGCAGTTGTCTTTTCTTTTCTTTTCTTCTTTGGTAAACTCTACGGCTTTGATAAAATTCGTAAGCTTAAGGAATGTCTTCTTGGTTGATTCAATGCCGCCATCTTCTCCTAAAGGGGATGTTCTGGGTCCTCCTGTGGTGTACTTTGTGAACCTAATGTCCATGCAAAATATAAATGTTCCCTAAATGTTGCTAATTATTTAGTCCTCTATTCAGAAATCTGCTTTATATAATCACGTGACTTTCCCTCACTTGGCTTCAGGTGAAATCTCTATTTGCGACTACTGTTTCCTTTAAATTAACAATTTAAAATTCACACTACGGAACAAACATCATGTAAACTCACAAACACAGTCTAAATATTTTTAAATACAAAATTCCTACCTGACAACAAATGTAACTAGCGTCAAAAAATGCAAACATTTACCCACTAAATTCAAACGAACAATACTGTTTAGCCTACACTATTATGGACTGATCAAACAAACATTCACCCACAACATAAATCTTCAATGGCAAAATTAATGTGTTATAATGTTCATTACCATCTGAACTGCTTGGCTGCTTTCGTGAGATTGAGAATATCTATCATTGCACTAGAGCTAAATTATCAACACCCTGCCCTAATCAATTCCACGTTAATGATACCAGGCAGATCCGTATCTCAACAATACAGTTCCTGTCTAGAATCCAGTGTGGCACGTCTATATGTTTATTGTTCATTGCTGTGCTATATTCATGTGCTGTATTCCGTGGGTTTTAACATTCTGGATGCATCAATTCCGTTGTATCATAACCATGTGACATTCTGGTATGTCACACAGTACTCTGAGCAAGAAATGTAAATTATGAATAATTTATTTAAACAGTTTTAGCTGATGGAATAATGAACTGTTATTTTAATTTTTAGGTTCAGTTCCTGCCTGATCTTGTAACAGATGCAATGGGTCGCGAAATGGCTCGCACATCATTTCTTGGACCATTCCTCTCTGTATCTGTATTCGCAGAGGATGAACCAAAAGTTGCAGAAAAATATTTCTCAGGAAATCCAGTTGCTGACAAGTCACTGAATCAAACTCTCCAACAGGAGTTAGAAAATACAAGAGTGAGTGTTGATTACTCTCAAAGGAATAACTTTCGAGATGAAAGAATTAAATGTTGGCTTGTTTATCTATGTGGGAATGCTTGATAGATGATCCAATTGCATTATTGTTATTCGTGAAAAAATATTTAATTATTCACATTTGAGGTTATAGGTATTTCCCTCTTTAACAAAAAAAACAAAACTTTTCACTATTAATTCTTTTTATTAAATGTCAATAGGTATATTCTTTATAATATCTGAATTTGGTTCTTATATACTGTTATTGGCATTTGGTTGTAATATACTAGCTTAGCGACAATACTGTTGCTTTCCAATATTGTCAAGGGAGGTTATAGGGTTTGAGTCCCAGCAGAGGGAAATTTTTTAACCACGTTTCGTATCTGGGTCACTAACAACCGCACTGTTTGGAGGAGAATTCTTGCATCCGACCACTTTGATTGGTAGTTTTCCATGATTTCTCTGACTAATACCAGGCGAATGCTAATGCAGTACACTTACAAAAGGGTCACCGATCTTGAACTATGTACCCTTCCTCCTCTTTGTTTCCCCTTTGTTCACATACACTTGCAATGACACTCACTACTCTACCACAGATGTTGGGAGATCACTCAGGAGCTTAGAGCTTGTCCCGGTTGGGGCAGAGTCCAGAGGGGAAGATTTCTGTGAAGGGAAATCTCTCAGCAGGCCAACATGTAGGTTGGTGGATCTCATATTCCAGCAGAGGAGGAAGGCCATCACTGTCTGGGATATAACATGCAATACTCTTAGGGATCATTCAAAAAAGTTTCCTTTGCAACTAGTAACACTTCCATAGACCCCAACTTGAATAAAAGTATGTATTATTTTCACACACACAAGCACACAAATAAAATCTGTTTTACTGAACTGCATATCCTATTAAGTACTTTTATATTCACCTGTTAGTAAGTTAGTGAAATATCAGGTACAAGATAATTACCATTCTTTATTTAATAGTAAACAATAAATAAATGATAAAACCTTCAAACGATTTACCTTACCATAAGAATATGAACTGATTAATGCACAGTTTTAATAAATACTCCATAAAAACTGAAATTCGTCTTGGAAAGTTACTATTTCAATGGGTTTTTTTCCTCCCACAGTTTCATAAACCAAAACACCTAGAGTGTGAAAAAAATTCTCAGTGGATTCAAACTGTATTTCAAATTAGACCAGTAAATATTGGCAAACCTATTTTAGTGACTAAATATCTATTTCTAAGCAATAGAGAAGGATTTATGTTAAAATTCATAAGGAATATTGATAGTGTTTGTCGCTATCAGGTTTTTTTGTCATGTAAGTTGGCAGTATTGATCAACTTAAAAGTGGAATAGTTCACATGTGTGTGCTGCTCTGCTGCATATTTTTCCCTCATTCTACATAGCACCAGGTACATTACAAACCATGTGACCTTAACCCAGGCTTTTTACTTCAAAAGCTAGCTTCAAAAACTTTGTTGGCTGCCTTATAGCATGGCAAGTGTGCAGTGCCAGTGAGAAACATTTTGAGAGTCTTTGAAAATTCATAAATTTTCAATGGTGACCTACAAAAAATAACAAGTTTAAGGTGTAGATGAAATAAAAGATACAATATTCTTTTAAAAAGTGCTTTGTGTATATTTCAAAGACTTGTAAGAAGGTGATGATTTTCATTTGGTAACAGGCGGCTTCATTTGTATATTCCAGCTAATGCGTGATACAAAGTAGTGCATGGAGCATGCACAACAGCTCACCCATGTCCTTGCACCATGATCGGTATTTCTGAACAAAGAACAATATTTAATAAGAAAGTTAATTTCTAATTCAGCCCCTACCCCTTCCAGTCGAATGTGTCACATCTTCCACATCACCCCCTCCCCTTAATCCAATTTTTTTAACGATCCCTGATGGGACTAATTACCTGAAGAGTTGATACATTGAGAATAAATAATTACTCAGTCAGTCACTCAATGACTCATTGTAACATAATTGATACCTTCTACCTTCTTCATTAATGTCATTTTAATAACAGTTTTAATTAATATGTAGGCTTTAATGTAAGCAATGATAATGTGAAAATAAGCAGCTGGGTAAAGTAATTTTTAAAATATTTCTTTAACAAACAATACTTTCTTTCAGATCCTGCTACACAAAGTTTTTCATGATGTTTTAGTATGCTCAGCTTCTCGTAAATCAATGTTGACATATTTGTCAGCTCTGCTACATATTAATGAAAAACGTGCCCAAATCCAAGTAGAAGAGCGTGCTCTTGCTGGAGATGGTTTCATGTTGAATTTGCTCTCTGTGATGCAAATGCTTGCTGTGAAGGTAGGATTTTTTCTTATAATCATATTGGTTCTGACTGGAATGTTCAGTTCATCTTTTTACATAATTCATATTAATTAATTGGAAACCCAAACTTTGAAGTAATTAGTACATCAATTTTTGAAATTAATACAGTAGTGTTGAAAGGGAAGTAAAAAAGTTTGTGCTTATAATTTTGTCTGTAATTTTAACATTTCTTGTGTAATTAGAATGTAACTGCAGTTGATATATACAATATTGGAATCGGTATTAAAATCATTAATGGTATTGCATATGACTTAGGCCCAAACAAATTCAGGATATGTGAAGTGTACATTTTGTTTAATCACACCCGCAGCTATCTGACTATGCTTTCACTAGTTCTTGCTGTTGCTTATTTTTGTTTGGGGCAAGGCTACTGTCACTACATTCCATAAAGAGGTCTATCAACACTGTACCCAGAATAGGTTTACAAGGACAGACATTTCAAGTCAACTATGAACCCTTATCAGGAAGTAAATCAGCAGCTCACAGGTTTTATAGGTAGCAATCTACCCATGAGCATCTTTGTCCCATAAAGAAATGTAGGAACATCACAAGTGTGATCCTTCATGGAATTTTAATTAAAGCCACGGCAATAGTTTTATTGACTTTTTTAAGTTAACACAGTGCTTGTGGTAGATTAAAATACATCAGGTTGAGTCGCAGACTTCATGAATTCAATGAACTCTGATACTAAATTTACAAAATCTAGTAGGCTATTGAGACATTGAGACATGGGAGCACTTGCAAATGACTGGTGCCAGCTCTGAATCATGCTTACTTAAATGAAGCACAAAGAGCAACATAGGTTCATACTCGTTCTCGTGATTTTTTGTCGTTTGCATTTTCAGCATGCTCCACTTTCCCACTTTTTTTTTTAAATTTTATAAATGTATGTGTTTGTGGAGTGTTATTCTTAGTTTGTTGTCCTCATGCATTGTTTTTGGTCTTTGTACTCTCGCCCTGATAAATCAAATATTTCAAAACGTTTACACTATTAATTGTTTTTTATCCATATTGACAAATCCTGTGAACTACATACCTTATTTCATAAATGGCCGTGATTTCTATAATGGTTCTTCTAATACATTATGTTGCCAGATTTTACATTGTGGGTCCTTAACACTGAATGTGTATTGTTTTTTTCCACGTCAGTCATCTGTTAGTCTGTGAACAACACTAAACTGTGATTTTTCCAATCCTGCCCCTGGCAGGTATCAGTTGTTGATGATTTCATCCAATCGGGAGCTTGAATGTCACCATTTCGCTAATCGCAGAATAGGGTACAAACAATGCGTATGATTCTTTCCAAACTGAATACTCTTTGGCCGATCTTGCCTCTTTGGAAGCTCTGCAATTTTGAAAAACATTCTTCAATTTATGGGAGACTATACATGCAGACCCTTAGACATTTTCAAAATATTCTCAAAAATGACTCCATTTTCTTTAAATTTCACTGTTTTCTGTTAACTCTGAATTTTTGAAAAATACAAAAGTTTGAAATTTTTGCAGTATTTTCCTACAACTACAAAATTGAAGATAGACATTTTTACTTCATATGAAATTTTTCCCCATAACTAGTTCTTTCATTAAGATCGTGTACATTTTTTTGAAAATTTCAGTTGTTTTTGCACAATATTGGATTAAATACATCCAATTTCAAAAATATTAATAACAATAATTTTTTTTACAGTTATGCATATTGACAGAAATGTAGAAAAGTATAGAAATGCATTTGGGGTAACACAGTCACCTCAAAAAGTATGTTCATTATTCAGAAAAAGGTGATAAGTACACTATCTAATATTTCTGGTGCTACAGGTTATAAACCGTATTTCAAATCTCTAAAGATTCTACCACTATCTTGCTTACTTATATAAGAAAGTATTACATGTACAAAACTCCCACTTCAAACTCTCACATCTGACAAATTCTCTGATACATAACCACATCACAGTTTCAAGTCAAAATTGTGTTTAACACATCACAACACAAAACTTTAATAGCATATAGATATAATCTAATAATAATTAATAGCATAATCTATATAACCAACTTCCACAGAACATGGAAAATGGAAGAGAATTTAAAATAATGGTTCACAAATTCCTGCTGGACAATTGTTTTTATCCTGCAAATTAATACTGTTTATAATACCAAGACGAAGGGTAAATGTGTGACATTCAGTATCCATAGAATGTTGCACATTTAATATTCCTGTGATTACAATTCTTTAAAATTCTATGTGAAAATGTCTATATTTATGTATTAAATATTAACATTACTTATATAACATTTACTTCATTGTATTCATTTTATAATTCAACATTTTCTGTTTTTGGGTCAATTGTGGACTTGAGGAGAACTGTAAGGCTTATTACACATGATATATTAGCTATATCAAGTTATTAGTAATAGTACATCGTTAATTAATGCTTATCATAAATTTAGGTTAGGGTTTCTACAACAATTGTTACATTTTGGATTTAATTGAATTTTTTAAATTGTAATCATATTTAATTTATAACAAGATGTGCCTTTAAATCTTGGTTAGTTTTAATCATTGCGTAGTATTATTCTTCATAAGTGGCCTCTATTTATTCCTGGGCCTCTATCATACATGGTTTTAGATTCACTTACATAGTTTAAAACTTGTATTGCAAGGCTTGAATTTCTTGTTATTACTTGTTTTTAGAAATAATTGGTAACCATTGAATGAAAATAATATTTAGCTGGTATTTAATTTATTCATTAAAACATTAATACCAAAATGAATATTTATATTTTACTAAGTTGTAATTATTAGCTACAGTGATATTTACAAACACAAAAAAAATGGTATTCCCATGAGTCCCTGAAGGGCTACTGACGATAAGGTCTCCAGCGGACTCTGCTTACAGTCCTGATTTTTTTATGTCTCATTGCAATGGGAGTTCCATTTTTTTAAACAAAAAATTCTACTTAAATCGTTGATGAATTGATAATAAATTTTTAAGTCTTCAGAATTTTCAATTTAGAGAATCTAGGGTTATCATATTTACTTTATTAAGTGTAATATTCGGCTGCAAATATCCTATAATGTGCATAACTGCTGGAGTCATTCAAAAAATTTTCAAAAACTAAATTTAAGGTGTCGTACACAAAAAAAGGGGCAAGATATGTGTGTAAAACAACAAAATAGGGCTATCCATAATTACATAATGCATATTTGGATTAGTTTCAATATCCCCTTTCCCCCTTGTAATGCATCCATAACACACTCTCCATCTCCCCCCCTTCCTCCGAAATAATTACGTAACCCATGCTCCCTTGTAAGTGCGAGAAGAGAAAATAAATTATGGCACTGTGAAAACAATTTGTATTTATTTTACTTGTGTTGTATATTAAAGTAGAGATTAGTTGGCGATGGATGATGTCATGGATGATGCAAAAGCGAGAGTCCACAGCGCCAATTTAAATAGATTCTAGAATGTCATTTAATTTCATCATTTTTGAATATTTTGTTCGTAATCTTATTGATTTTAAAACAAAACAAAAAAATCCCTTGAAAAAAGATTTCCATTTGTTGTAACAATTTACTACTAATGACTTTAGTTTATTTATGTTTTTAAAACCTAAATTTGTTATATTTTAGTACTAGATTCAAAACAGAAATTATTTCAGCTAATGTTGAAAAGTGTTTAAAAAAGTAAATATCAATGTTACATTGTACTTAACTAATAGCCCCCCACCCCTATGTAATGCTGCTAAAGATACCCTCCCTCTCCTCTCTTTAGCATAACGTAATTTATGGATGGCAGCAATACTTCAACATAATCTGCTGGTATGCAAACTAGCTTCACATAACTTACAAGGCATGGCATACAAGAATATGAACCCAAAGAATAATTTGTGAAAGTGTATCATTGTGTTGTTCTTAAAATGTACGTGGTTTTTACGGGAAATTTTTGTATTCATTTCAATAAATTCATACTTTTTTGTGCTTTGTTACAATAAAGAAAATTCGAGATGACAAATTCGTATCACATATGAAACTGTTTGGTTCAAGTCGGTTTGTCACACACGTTTACCATTAAGTGTTATTGAGAATTTATTAAGTAGTATGCAACAACATTTGCATTCGTGCTTCAAAGTTACGTTAGTCAAAAAAAATGTAAATTGGCCATGTCACATAATAAAAAATCAGAAGAGGATATTGAAATGTTCATGGGTTAAATTGCAATATACCATCAAATTGTTACGTTTGCAATGGTTTGTTTCAGATTCATGGGATATGTGTTCACAAAATATTTATTTTGTGTTTTGTGAATTGTGTTTTTGTTATTTATTTCAAATTTCTCACCTTTCTTAGAATTTAAGTAGGTAGTTACTAGAGAAAATTGTGGGATAGTGCAATTTTACCAGATCATATGACAGAAATTATTTAAAAGAACAATAAAAATTGTGAAAGTGTTTGAAAAATGAAAACACCATAAAGGTAGCAAGAAGTTTTTGTTCACCCAAATGAAGCAGATGAATTGCAGAGTATTGGATTAAAGTTATAGGAAAGCATTATAAAGTCTGTTGTTTTTACTATTATGAGAATAGTAATAACACTGCTATATCTTTATTTACTTTCATATCTAATTGTAAGGTAATGATATGCTAATATTGCAATGTATCTAAATATTTCTAATTCAATTTTGCATTGTAGAAAAGATTGGATTACAGGTTTTTGTTAGAGGGTGAATTTTAAACTTCTTAAATTTATTTTCTTATATATTTCAGGTAAAATTGGATAAAGTTGATCCTTATTACCCATTCCATCCATCAAGTAAAGTTGAAGTGAAACAAAGAAATGAAACTCGATTGAAGTTTACTTCTCAGGAGGCTGGTATTTGGTTTGATGAGCTAAGTAAGTCATTCTCTTTGATATCTTTGATTAAAATATTTTGAGTGATTTTTAAAACTTTGATGAGGTAATAAATGTATGATTTTCCAGTTTGATGTATTTCACGATTCACTGATTTTCCTCTTAACTAATAATATTCACTTTCAAAATACTGTTTTGCCCATAATATCACATTTGCAATGGCGGGCTAATGTCCGAGTGTCCGTCCATTGCTGCTGAATTTTACTTATGGGGAAACTTGCGACATTAATATTTCATTTGACGAAATGTTCTAAGTTTTCATAAGTCTTTTTGCCAACTACATGGCAATGGAGGGACACAACATATAACCGGAATTAATTAGGTGAACTTAATCAATATTGTGGAAACGAAGAGACAAGTTTACAGTGACTTGTGCCTGACAATGTTCAATGTCATTTATGCTTTGGTCAGGCTGCAGAATGTTTTTTGTTAAACGCGTAGGTCAATGCCGGTGATGTAAGCCGAATTACATAACTGCGATCCATGAAGTGATGGAAGTTAAGCAATTCGAGGCACCATGGATTCCTGGATGGTTGACCTTTGGAACACCGGTTACTAATGGCGCCGAGCCCCTGGCCGAAGGTATAAAAGAACTTTAACATGGGTAGTAAAGCCTCATAGAAGTGTTCAGCAAAATTTATTTTGTAATAAAATACATTGAAAAGTCTCAAGTAGGTTTTACGTTAAGCGGAACGTCAGAACCTCATTATGAAATTGGACACGTGTAGCGAAGCCTCTAACAGTCTTGCAAGCTTGAGAGTATATTGCAATTTCTTTTTTGAGGTATTCAGTGCATGTCTTTACAAAAGAATACACAAGTTCTGTTATGTTGGCTAAATCACTCCATTATTCACTTTTAAATTTCATGAGGTTGATACGGTAACACTGGATGAACAAAAATGTCGTCCATTCTCAATAAGTAAATAATCATCTCATTTTTAAAATAAAAAAGTGGATCTGTAGGAGTAAAGTTTTTAAAACTGTAAATCCTTGTTACCTCAAACATTTTTTTATGAACTATTCTTTAAAATAACCCCCTCCCGGATATTTTGGATTTGGGAAGGCACTTCTGAGGGTTGTCTGGTTAAAGAGTTCAACCGTCAGTTTGATAGCCATCTGGGTCAATGATATTGACCTATATCTACATTACAAGTATCTATACATTTTGATGATGGAGCTATTCTTTCCATAAGCTATCTAATGAAGACACTGACTGAATGACTTGACTTTAATATTTTTCATCACGTCGACTTGCTCTCCTTTCTAATTAAATTTACTTTTATTTATGGGGAACCCGGCAGACATCGTTCTGCCCTTCATCTCCCTCTTTCTCCTTTCTCTCTGTTTCTCTCTCTCCCCTTCTTCCTCTTCATCTCTCTCCCTCTCTATTCCCTCCCTTCCTCTCTCCCTCTCTATTCCCTCCCTTCCTCTCTCCCTCTCTCCCTCTTCTCTCTCTCCCCCCTCTCCCCTCCTCTCTCGCACAATGTGTTGCAGATTCTGCACGTCTCTATGCAGGTGGTTAATATCAACCATCACCAGATCAGCAAAAATGTAATAGAATGTTCAAGATTATTTCATTCTGTAGATTATAGAGTAAGAATAGTTTCTTTGAAGCTTTTGCCTTTTTGAATTTTAGTTATTAATGCTCTAGAACACTTCGTTTATTAGTTATTTAATGATATAGATTCAAAAGCGCTGCCGACTGTTCCGGGTTACATTGGGCATGAATATTTGACTTTGTTCTACAGTGCCATCTAGTGGAGTTACAAGAAAATTATCATAACAATACCTTCTGGGGAAAAAAACAAACAAATACGTAAATGTGTCAACTTTCATGGAGGTCGCTAATACGACTCTTATGTGTACCAACTTCCATTTTTATTTACAGAGATATTATAATTATCATTCAATATTTAACATATTACAATGTTTCATTTTATATTTATAAATATTCAATATTACAATCAACTACACTGATGAATCGAAGGGAAAGTATGATAAAGAGTATGTCGATCTCCAGAATTCATGACCTGCTTCGCTGAAGTGACAATTGTAAGCCCTTCTGAAAAGTTGAAAATTACATGCAGTCGCTGTGCTCTGGGGCAAAATAAAAGGTATACTAGAGGTGGTAGTAATGGCACAAACTTTCGCATGTTACTTTTCTATTTCTTTTGGACCCGGACAGCTACTCGGACTTGCCACATTCTCTTGCCATTTGCTATCTGTCACCGTCCAAAATAAATTTAAAAAATATATTTTTATTTTTTTCGTTTCCTAATAGTAGACTGGAAATATTATTATAGGAATATTCAAGAACTGTAAAACCTGGTCCTCAATAGCAATTTTCTTTGAAAAAATTGGAACCGTTTCAACCAAAATGGCATTTATGCACTATTGTAAATTCGAAATTTAAACCTTTTTTACAGAAAGTGTTTGAGTTTTTGAAAACTTTTATTGGATGTCATTTGTAGCACTTTAACTCACAAATAAAATAGTGTTTAATGCTGGAAATGTGCATGTTATCGGAGTGAAAAATCTCATCGGAGTGAGAAATCTTTCAAAAAATTTGCATTTGTGTTATTTCGAAAAATCAAAAAAATCTGGAAATAAACTTTACGTCATATTAAAGAATGCAATTAGCACTATCCATTCGAAAAGTTTGAAACATAAATGTGGAGCCGACTTTGAGAAAATTATATTTGAGCGTTTCTGAAAATGCAGAACTTCAAACTAGTTTTCACAGAAAATGGTTGAGTTTTCGAGAAACTTTATGTGACATTATTTAAAGCACGTGTACTCATAAATATAATGTGAACAAATCACTGCGAGAGTAAACAATAACTATGCAAGAAACAAGACAATAAAATTACATTTCTGTAATTTTTGAAAAAACAAAAAAATAGAGCAAACTGATGTTTATGTCATCTTATAGAGTTCATTTAGCGCTATCAATACCAAAAGTCAAAGAAAAAATTTGAAGTAGTTTTTGAGAAAATGTTGTTTTAGTTATTTTTTAAAGTTGCACATATTGCATACAATATTGAGCATAAACAACTAAAATTAAAAAAAAGAAATGTACATGACCTTATGGAAAAAACTCACTATGGAGATCTGTCTCTCGTTTTGTAGTTGTAGCAAGACACCTGAAAATTTCAGAATTTTTGAAAATTCTGAGTTAACTCTGAAAATTGGACCTATGCCACTTTTATAAGTGTATTTTACTCTATTCTTACAAGAAATTTAAAGAAAAAATTTCAAGCCATTTTTGAGGAAATTTTGAAAATGTCTCAGGGGCTGCATGCAAAATTAATGAATGTGTTTCAAAATTGCAGAGCTGTGACTCAGGCCAGATTAATGGAGTTTAATTGAGTTTGGAAAAAATTGCACGCTTAGTTTTGGTGCTAGTATTGTTCACATGCACCAGATGAACAGACTGACGGGAATGGGAGTGGGAAAGGGGGATTCCATTTCAGAAATCGTTATGGAATTCAATATTCCAAGATCCACAGTGTCAAGAGTGTGCCGAGAATACCTAATTTCAGACATGACTTCTGGCACACAAAATGGTGCCTCGTGGTGTGAAAACTACGAGGGCTCTATATAGGAGCATAAAATGTATATTTCCAACATGTTATAAGGTTTTTTCAATCATCTGGGGAATTGTGCAACCGTACAACCTAAGCACCACTGCTTCTTAGTACAGAGAAAATATTGTAGATCTGCAGGGGGTAATACCTGCAATATTTGATTCATGCAAACAGTACTGCAATATTTGGTTCATGCCAACAGTTGGTACACCCTGTCTAACCCCTGGAACTATTGTATGAAAGGAGAGACGATAAGCACTTACCTAGACAAGGACAAGGATGGAACCCTCCTCTCCCTGCACCTTCCACTGTGGAAAATCAAGAATACTTACTTGTATAGTAGTCAGAATCCGTGTTTTGTGACCTGTTCATACCTGAAAAAAAATTTTTTTATTCAAAATGTCTGTTCTAACTTTGTTTGGAAACAACGCTAGCGACTAAACAATTCTGCAATGATGTCGTGTCTTCTTGAATTTGAAACGGATATTTTACATAAATCCTCAACGACATTTTCAATATTTTTAAAAAAATTTAACTATATTTTCAATTATTTTCTTTAGTGAAGTGTCTGTGGAAAACATGCTTCTAAAAATGGCACAAATCCCATTTTCGTTGAAATAACAGAATTATCGAAATTTGCATAAGTTCAAAATTTGTTTTAATGAAATATGTTCTTCAAAATAAGATTATTAAAGGGCTCAAGTGCTATTTTTTCAAAATAGTAGTTTTCACAAAATTTTACATGAAATAATGGCAATTTTTAAAACATATTTTCAAAAATGGCTCCAAACTTTTTCTCTATTTTATTCAAAAGAGCATATTATAATTAAAAACTTTAAATAAAGTCAATAGAAGAAAAATATTAAATTCGCAAAAAATTGTAAATAAAACAAATGAGTTGTGGAAAAACATTTGTGGAAACCCAATTCTTCTGGAACAATAGAAAAGATGGAAATTGGACGTCTGAAATGTTCTTCAGAATGTTTTATTTATTATTTTTTTCAAACTTTTGTTGACATTTGCAAAACTCTTTATCCCAGCTTCTTTTTTGTGATAGTTATTACCCAAAAAAAAATTTGCACAGTACTATTTGCATTTCATTTCCACGTTCACTCTCTATTTTTGGTGCTCTTAATAGTTAATTTTACTATGCTTTCCATACAATAATCTGCTTTTCTTCCCAAAAACACATAATAAATGCCCTATTCTTCTCTTTCTCTCGTCTTTTCAGAGTTTTCCTTTCACAAATCTTATCAATTACTCCCAGGAATTTCATCCTGGGAATATTTGCTCTCCTAAGTATGTTTAAAATTTTAGGAATTTTCTTCATCAATTCGCATTAATAATGATTATTAATATATTATTATATTTGAATATATTAAAATTGAAATTTTTAATATATTTGAAAGAGAGATATGATAAGAAATAAAAAGTTACAGTAAACACTTAGTTGAAAATATTGTCTCAGAAATAGAAAACTACAGAAAGAAATGTCAAGAACATACCACAAGAATGAAGATAGAATGTTTCCCAGGAAAAGTTCTCAAATACAAACCACAAGGAAGAAGAAACCGTGGCCAATGAAGAGTGCACTGGGAAAAATGAGAACACCTTGAAGGCGATTGAGGGAATATTGATAAGCCAAGGAACAGGTCAACAGAGTTATACAGTAAATGTTCATGATGATGATGATGATGATGATGTTTTTTCCGAAGATTTTTTCCTTTCCTTTACATCCCTTTTCTTCTTTTTGTAACAGACTGATTGCCTATTGAGAACCTTCCATATGCGATGCAAGGATACTGGGGACTAGCCTTTTTGACATTACAAATTTCTCAAGTGTGAGGCATGGGAATCAGAACCATTGGTGTTCAATTACATCCATGATTTCATTCTGCCTGCAGAAATTCATAATTATACTTGTCCGTACTAAAGACTCTTTATCATTGTAGAGCTTTCAGAATAAATCAGTGGGAGTGCAGGGATATGCCGAGCTAACAATCAAATGTTTATCACCAACAGTTATCATAACAGAAAAATGCTCAACATCGTGGTTTATCATTCTTAATTTTGAACTGCAGTGGTATTTATAAATATCAATTAATATCCTGCTGCCCCCTTTCAGGAACACTTGTTGATGAGTCTCTTTTTTTGTAAAAATATATGCAATCTGATCTCAGTATCGCCAAAGAATTCACTAGGCCAGGTCCGTTTTGTTGTGATGTTCTCTGGAGAAGCATTGAATGTTTGGCAATTTTTGAAATATCCTTTATGCATCTAATGGTTTTAACTATTTTATCTGGAGAATCAATACTAGTCAATCTTTTTACTTCATCATGGAGTGATTTTAGATACAAAGTCTAATTCAAAGTATTGTCTGAAGAAAATTTAATATTGCTTTGATACATCTGTTTTCATTTCAAAATGTTCATTACCATTATGTTAAAAATTGTTATTACTTGATAATAAGTCAATTATTGTGTTCATAATAACAAGAAATATGCATTTTAAATGCTCTAAGTGTGGAATACTTTTTATACTCACTAAATCTCCCTTTACCTGAGCACACACAACAGTAAAGGATAGACGTGCACCCTCAATGTTAAACATTGGAGACAAATGTCACTTGCAGGGTTCCAAGTGGCCTGGCAAAGAACTACATAAATCGCCCACCTTCCACAGCGCCACATAGTCTGTCCTAGCCCAGGATATGAAAATTAATTTCACCCAATTGTCTTCGCGAAAATTAATGGGTATTAATAGGCTACATTCTACTGCAATTTTATTTAAATATAGTAGATAACCTATTTTTGTAATGCACTTTAAGGTCATACGGACGGGAGTCATCTACTTATATGGTAATTGTAGAAATGAAGGAATCAAAATAAACAAATAAATATAAAAATAAATAAATCATTGCCTTTATTTTACAATTGATATTAAACAATATGCAATACAGACTATATTAAAAAAATTTTCACCTTCTTTTCATGGCCCTTTGTACATTTTCTTTTATTTTGTATTTTCTGTTTTTCATCTAATACATATTTGTATATTAAAAGATGTACACCCTTTCTTAAAAAAAGTTCTAGAGATAAATGCACTTTACAAAGCAATGTATCATCAAGTGATTTGAAATTAGAGCAACATCTTTCCTCCAAATTATTCAAATGGCCATTTTTCCCCAGAAAGGTATACAAATATTCATGAACTTTCTGTAAAAACATCATTACATGATCACTTGTTGTCTGCCATCCAGTGATAAAACTGTATATGCTAGTTTTATCCTTTCCTGTTTTAAGGTTGATTATTTTCCAACTATTCATTTCTTCTAAAATAGTTTGCCACATCTCGATATGTGTGAGAATCTGTGGTCAGGAAATATTTGAATTGCTTGCAGTCACTAGAAGTGTGCACACTGTTAAGTGAATCAAAGAGAGTGTCTATGTTTTCAACAAATCCTGCAGTGTAAATTGCCTCAGAAGGTAATGCCTCAAGCACAACATAAGTCTCAAGACACGCTGCAACTGTATGACTAAGATGTGCTGCGGCCACCTTCACTTTCATCTTAATAAAGGTGTCTTTGAAGTTAAAATGTTTCTTTTTCAATTTTGGCATAGTTTTAAATTTCTTTTGCTGATCCAATTGAAAAACCTTTTCAATATATTCCATCTTGGCTTCTTTTTCAGCATGAAACTGAATTTTGTTTTCAACCAGGGCATTTCTGGTGAACTTTAGAAGGTGGGGTACCACATTAATTACAGAAATTGCTTGAGTATTTACCAAAAATTAAAAAGAGTTCGGAACATCGTACTTCTGATTACAGTGTATTCGCAATGCCTTCTCATTTGTTGAACCTTGGTCACAAACAGTACCAACAACTTTCTGTCCAATCTCTTGTAGTTTTCTTATGGTATATATAATTAACACAGCTAAGGGTCTCACTGGAAATAGTATTTACAACAAAATAGTATGCAACAACTTGCTTCCAACTTTTGCGGACACCTCTCATCATGAAAACAAGTGCACGAGTTGCGTGTTTATTTTTTCTTTCCAAATGTTCCAAATCTTCAAATTCACATATAATTTCTTTTCTAGTCTCTTTCTCTAGAGACATCTCATTAGATAACAGAGTGCAATATTTGTCATTATTGTGCATTGCTTCAACCTCAACTTTCATAATATTGAGGATGCCAGAATTTAAACCAGGCTCAAATGGAATTGCAGCTAAAATTGACTTAAGATGTCTTACAGATGGAAGAGAAAAATAAACAGATAAATATCTGTACAAACGGGGACTTCTTTTATGTAGAGAAAGAGCAAAAACCTTATCTTCTTGCACTTGGGAGCTTCTGAGCATTTCTTAACTGGCTGTTAATGAAAGATTTATTAACATCATTCTAATTTTCCTCAATAAATGCAAATTTATTACTATCATACAATTCTTTTAAAGTTTTATATTTATCTTTAACACGTTTCAACATTGCTTTTAATTTTGTCATTTTAGCTGCAGTGTTTCTATGTATTTTGTACATTTTGGCCTTTGTGGAGTCAATTCCACTTTTAAAACTCCAGTACCCAAAACGCCACTTTCTTTACTAAATGATGGTGATGAAGACAGAAATGAATACTCACATTCCAGAGGTGACACAAATGATTCAAGATGAGAATCAACAAGCTACACATGTTGTGGGTATCTACTCGTTTAGTCTATGCCTGCTTTGATGCACAAAATCTTTCTGCGAGAAGTGATTGTCACACACACACAAAAATTATTGCAGTTAACACCATCCGGCACTTTGCAAATACTCTTCCATGTCTGAAGAAGCTTGTGAGGTTGTTTCGGAAACTTGTAAAAGTGTGGATTTACATCAGTGGAATCCACATAGTAGCCACTATAACAGCCAGGAAACTTGCAGGAATATTTCAATCTCTGTCTGCTTGATTTGTTCTGAAAATAAAGTTTAAAAAGTCACATTATCAAAAATATATGCAAATTACAAGTGAAATACCCACATTTCTTATATACATTTTCCAAATGTATAAAAAATTAAAACACAAAAGAGATATGTTTTCCTTATAGTGTTATGTGAATACAGCAGGCTACATGTTTCATGCAGTTAATCGTGAATGAATCTTTAAATTATATGCTTACCTCTAAATTGCAAAGCATCCTTGTATTCCACAAAGACCAGGAAATTGAATTGAAGAAAACTCGAAACTGTTGTGATTGCATCCGCTAAAACAAAATAATTTGAAATGTGAAACACCCAAGCCACACACACGAACGCACAGAACACGAAAGCCATGCATTAACATAACCAAGGGTAATAAGATTCACTCTTCTGCCATGAGGAAAACACATGCAGGCTAGATGTGACGTACAAAAAACAACCGACAACTACTACCAATCATTGTTTGATATTCTTTCAACTAGCGCTCCAAGTGGCCTGGCAATGTGTTGCCAATTACCTTCACCCCTGTGCCTGAGCATCTCTATTTTTAATTATATGTTCACTGCAATAAATATGTTTAACAAAGGTCATCTTGTGATCAGTTATTGTGCCTATATTTTAAATTTCTATTACTCTCTTCATATTCAGATTATTTATTGAATAAGTAAAATAAGTTTAACATTTACCATGATATATTAACAATTTACATTTTTTGATATTCAGATTTAATTTTTTGTAAGATATCAATGTGTAATTTTTATTCTTCTCCAAAATTTGCTGTCTTCAGCAAATAAAAGAAGAAAAGGATACTTTGCTGCAAAAAAAGAATACCGCTTCCTACATTATTAGTTCTTATATAGATGGATCCAGCCAATCATTTGGGAAGGGGTGGCATCGTAGATTTTTGTTAAATAATAAACATATTTATTATTATATTGTATATTATTTATATACTGTAGATAGGACACTATAAAATATTATTGTTTAAACAATTACATATTTGGAATATAAGAATAATTAAATACATTTTGCCAAAAAAAGGGAAGGTAAACTAAAACTCTAGGCCTTTTTTGGGGGCCATGGTACTCATGCCCCTCCTTGGATCTGCCAGTGCTCAAGGTTCGCATCAGGGTCTTCTGCTTGTCATAATTCTCATATATAATTTAGTATTGTGTTATAAATACTTTGAATGAATACTTTGAACTTAAAGCAGATGACGGCAAAAGTTTTAGAGAAATTGCTCTCAATAGTTCAGTTAAATAGTGTGAAGACAATGATATCATTTTAAACCCTGAAAAATGTAAATTTATCACTTTCTCAGGCTTTAAAGTTCCTTTCTTACTTGTGTTTTCAACTAACTCAACTGTATTAGAAAAAGTAACTGTCATTCGTGGTTTAGGGGTTGTTTTTGATTCCAAGATGTCTTTTGTGCATCACATTTATTGTATGATTAACAAAGCAAACTAACTGCTTGGGTTTATTAGGAGAACTTGTAATGAGTTCGATAATATTCACACATTGAAAAATTTATATATAATATGAGTTAAACCCATTCTTATGTATTTATCAGTAGTTTTGTTCCCAGTTTTTCATCTTTAAACCTCAAAATTAGAAACTGTCTATCACAAGTTGTTTACAAACTGTACATCACAAGAAGAAAATATATATTTTTGTTACTTTTATATACGTCTGTCTATACTCTTTCCCTTACTCAAATTTGTAAATGAACACACAATAACCACATCAATACATTGGGAACCAATTACTTTAAAATTTGTCGAGGAAGCAAAGAGAAAATTGCTAGTCTTCTGTTAAATCTGTATGCATAATCTACTTTTTGTTGGAATGTTTATTTTCTGTTTATATTCTATTCAGGCGTTAAAATTTCAATTCTGTTCAAACCTTATATACATATTGGATGAGAGTCCATAATAACTAAATTAATAAAAGCTTGTCAACCATTATAACACAGACATTGTAGATCTGAGTCTGAATGAGTTCACTAAGATTTCAAAATATACTGTATTTTCATACATATAATATTCTTTGTAAAATTATGGTTTTGGTACTCTACAAGTTAATCTTTTGTTTATTATGCTGTTGTAATATACTTTTTTTTTGATTAAGCTATAATTTAATCTACATTTCATATGAAAATGTAAACTTGGTTATTTATATTTTTCCCTTACTGAAGCTATCTTCTACCACTATGCAAAAGATTTCTGTATTAAGTCTGTTTATTAATAAATAAATAAATAAATAAATAAATAAATATTTTGTGCAGTCAACATGTTCGAAATTAAACTGCAGTGCTCACATCTATTACATTTTCAATTTTGAACGTGTTCCTATTCTTTGTTATTTGTGCATTTTCAAGAGATAAAATATGTTATGTATTAATTTTATGACTAGAAATAGCAAAGAAAAACTTGGAAATTTCTAGAGTTCTCAGTGGTATGAAGCAAGAATGTAATTGTAATTTTAATTCACTGGGACACATTGTTTGGCCTCAAAGAAGTATGGGGACACGTTGAACACTTTCAGATCCAATAATTTATTTGTAGATGTTCAGAGAGCGAGTATTAGATTGAGACACAAACATTTGTTTAGACAATGTTGAATAAATATTTTAAACGTATTAATGTTTCTGTAGGTTCTAAGGATTAGGTGTTAGGATTAATTTATCCATGGTTTTTAAAGTTAATTTTGGACTCAAATGTTATACATAAGTATTTTATAATACTTGCGTTTCCTAAATTAATTTCATTTAAATATATATTCATGAATATATGTTTGTTTAGGTACAGTGTATGTTAGGGATTTGAATTTGTGTATGTTAGGGATTTGAATTTAGATCAAGGTCATTTGCATGCGGCGATGGTGTAATGGTTAGCGTACCGGACTGTTGTACCTAAGTTGGCGGGTTCAAACCTGATCGAAGCCATCGATTTTTAAGGGCAAAAAAATCCCTTGGACGCTTTCCTCCGGAGGGGAAGTAAAGCTGGCTGTCCCATGTTAGTAGATTTACTTGCATGTAAAAGATCCTCAAGCCTAAATGATGCCTCTGAGCTAAATTGAAATCGCCTGTTTCTTGCCCAAGAAATACCTCCTTTCTCTGCTAGTTGGTGAAAGGAGCGTAGAGAAATTTGCGTGGTCAAATGGAAGAGGGCCTGAGTCTTGCCATGTAAAATAAGGCATTCAATTCAATTCAGGTCATTAGTCAGTACCATTCAAAAAATTGCATTCAAATGGTTTTGATAATCATCAAGATATGTAGTAGGCCTAGATTTTATTGCCTTGAAAATGTCCAATTCCCTTAGCAAATAAAACTAATTTGGAATTTCCTATCATATAGAATCATTATCTGTGAGAATATTAGAAAAAAAATTCTAGAAATCATTACTGCTATATACCAGATAAAACATCATATTTGTTGTATTAGATTCTGCACATGAAATAATTTGATTTCTTCCCTCATATTAGATATCCAGATGAAACAATATCTTTGCTACTTCTTGGTCTAAGTATAAAAACAGTTTTATGAACATATAAATAAAATAAAACTATTTTTTAATAATGCATAATTTTGTTCCCATTTTGAGCCCCTCTCCCCTGTCATTTTATATTGTGATTTAAGTGAAGTAAAAAGGATGCAACAATACGCACAAGCTGATATGGATTGTCTTTTTTTGCCACAATATGGGTTGATACATTTATTGAGAAATTTTATATCAGTAAAAACTTGTTTTGAAATAACACAATTATTATAAGATCATAAAGAATGATTAATGTTTGAGTAATGTTCCTTGGAAAATGAATCAATCACATCATCTATTGTGAAATGAATCAATCACAGCATTAGAAAATTTGTTCAAAATACAAAAGGAGAGGTTTATAATTAACTCCAACTATAATTAACTTCATTGGAGAACCTTTTAATAATGCTTTTCGTTTCTCCAGTAGATGAACAATGTTTTCAGTAATTACACATTCATTAAAAATATGTTTTGTAGATCGCTCAATACTTGGAAACTCCAGTTCGTGGAAAGAAGTGAAATTTCCCACTCACTGCTGGTTTCTGACTCTTCATTGTCATCATCTGGCATTGTTACCCACATGTCAAAAGTATCAACGTCGCTTACGCGCCCTTAGAGATCTTCAGAAACTGGTAAGATGAGATCTAGTTTTCCTACATAAATTATAAGTCAGTTTCATACATGCATTTATTAATTTATTCAATTAGGGGAAGAAAATAAATATGAACTTGATGTAGCCAATAGAAATCTCAAACTTGATGTGCTTTTTTTCATTTATTGATTCTATCAATCGTGTTCAACTGACAAATCTAATTGTACATTGGCTGGGCAATCACCTTTTTATTATTCCATTGCCCACTTCACAAGACAGAAATACAAATTAATCTTTTCATAAATATGTCCAGGGCTACAAAATCCAAAAGTGAATCAGATATAAATTTTAAGAAAAAATGTATATGTACAAAAGTACACCTGATTGGAACAAATGCTTACACACATTCCGGAAAAGTGTGCTAAAAAATTAACTTACATTGCATGACCCTTGATTTGTGTAGCTGTGAACTACTGTCAACTTCCCAATTTAGCTCAGTTTCTGGCACATATCCTGAAGTATTCTCATGCTTCATCATAGATACATTTTCTGCAAAGACGGGGTCAATTACATTTTTGAATTGGAATGACAATAGTGTTGGGATTGATGTAACACTTGATTTCTACAAATATTGTTGCAACTTTTGCCTAATCTTTTCAAAGAACTTTCCTTTATGGTATTTGTATTCCTGCTTATGTGTAGTCATTGTGCCATCTGGGGTAAGGGTGGGAGCTTGTCTGGATGGGCTCATACATATGTATGATGTACATGTGTGTGTATGTGCTAGTTTGTGCTTGTGCATATGTGCAAATGTGTTTTGTAAACAAAGATTGCATTCACTTTTCAGCTTGCTTTTCTTTGAAGCAGTAAATCAGAATATGGAAATTCCATTTCAATATTTTAAATTTAATTTTGGTATATGATAAAGTAGTTTCTGTCTGTGTCAAACACAGGTAGATGAAATGCAAGCCTCCGAAGCTCAATGGAGAGAAACAGCTTTTGCAGCTCGGAACAAGGAACTGATGAAGCGATGGCGTCAACAAATGCGCAAACTTTCACGAGGCAAGGCCTGTGCTGATGCAGGGTTACTGGATGAAGCTCTTTTACGTCGAGCCCTGGTTTTTTATACCTCGGTGGCTGACTTCCTGCTTGGTTTGCTGACATCTCCTGTGCATAATCCTGCAGTTGCTGGAGCAAGTTCGGCCACATCTGTGTCCTCTGCTCCTTCTCTGCTGCCTACCGACGCACCTGCCCTCTTTTCAGCTCTTCCAGAGTGGTATGTCGAGGACATTGCCGAGTTCCTGCTTTTCACACTACAGTGAGTATACGTTTGAGTGCTCAAAGTTGATTAATCAGTTGTTTGTGTACAACAGATTTCATGATGCTTATTTCCAGACGGGCAAAACAAAGATCATGTTACCAGTGGTGAAATCATTAAAACATTGTAGTATACCTCTACATTTTGATGTTTAATGAGCATTGTGTGGAATTTTGTATTGGAATTATTGTTCTGATATCTTAATGATCTATTATCAATTGTTACAAATTTGTCTTCATTTTAAGGTAGCAAATTTTCAATTCCTAGGTCACTACAATTTGGGGGTTTCAATGTCTTCTCTTTTGATTTGATTTTCTTCACATCTTTATGAAAGCATAGTGCTTTTGGTGCTACAAAAATGTATAGAAAATAAAAATGTCATTGGTGAAAAAGTGTAATATGGTTTTGTTCTTCCCATTGCAAGAGGTAGTGTACTTTCTGGGGATTGTGAAATGATATCTGCATATATATAAATTATTATATATTTTCATCTGTCAACAGGTTTTGTCCTGCAGTTGTTGCTGATTGTACAGAAGATTCACTTATCACTTGGCTCCTGGTAGCTGTGTGTTGTCCACAGTTTATTAAAAATCCATACCTAGTAGCAAAGATGATTGAAGTTCTTTTTGTTATCAACCCAAGTATCCAGGCTCGCACAGAACAGTTACATTCTCGAGTCATGGCACATCCAATCTGTCAAATTCATCTGCCATCTTGCCTCATGAAGTTCTATACAGGTATGTTTGAAAGGAAATGCCCTTAATGGTTGCATTGTATACTTGGTGTACATAAGATAATAGTTTGCTGGATTATTTTCAGGGCTTTTGCATTAGTGTTGCTTTATGAGATAGTTAACTTAGTTGTTTTGTCAGTTTTAAATAATGAATTGCAAATTTTTGTATGTTTTTAGATGTTGAAACAACAGGTTCAAGTTCAGAATTTTATGATAAATTTACAATTCGCTACCACATAAGTCTCATTTTAAAAGGCATGTGGGATAGTCCAGTACACAGACAAGCTATAGTAAATGAGTCCAGGTGAGATTGAAAATTCGTTGTCATTTGTAAAATTTTGTTATTCACTCCAACTTTTTTAATAATGTATTGTTGTGTCCTTTTCTGATTCTTTTTTTTTCCCCCAAGATTCATTCATTTTTCTTTTTATATGACTTAAAAACAAGTGCTAAAAATACAAAATTTTGCCCTCAGTACATAATCCATCAAGGAAACACGACAGTTTTCTACCATTTGAAAGAAATCATTGACACAAAAACCTGCCAATATGCTAGTGTGTGATAATGAATCCCCCCCCCCCAAGCAGTTATTTTTTGCTGTGAAAAATGAGATATGGGCTCTTCTATTATATAATTGGAGGTTTGCTCTTGTGTACTCCAGTAATTCAGAATTTCCAGTTTTATTTGTCAGGGGAGTCACACCATTTTCTTCTGTTGTAACATTTATTAAAGTATTCCTCACAAAAATACAACTTTAAGTACATTTCTGCCTCGCAAGGGAAGCCCTGCCAGTAGCTACGTTACAGCTGGCATAACTCTCAGGCTCAGGGTACTCAAGTCCCACGACCATCATCATGGTCTTGTACTCTCTAGATGGGGGAACAAAGAGGGGAAGAAGTACTCCATTTCCCGGGGAAGGCAGATCCCGTAGCCTTGGAGAAGGCCATCTAATTAGGGGAGAAAACCCTGAAATAAAATTATAGGTCCTCCAAAGAAAGAAGGGGTTTTGCAAAGAGTTGGTAACCCATCCATAGAATAAAAATACACTCATAAGCTTTACAAAAAGCATCGAAATATAAGATTATTTGATCAACAACCAGGCAAGAACAAGGACAAGATTTACGGTATAACAGATACATTGCACATAGCAACATGGAACGTCAGGGTTCTAGGGAAAAATAAAGTAGAACTGAATAGCAATCCTCAAGCAATACCATATTAATGTAGTAGTTATTATGTAGTGAAACCAAGAGGTCCTAAAGAATTGGAAGACTACGGAGGTGGTCCCAGAAGTACCCGGCCTGACCTAGAGATTGCGGTAGTTTTTTGAAAAATATCACTATATTAGAAAGTAGACAATCTATGAAGCAAATGTTTCAAGTTTGAAGACGTTACGTTGTTTAGTATTTGTTTGGCAACAATCAGTAGTGAACGTTGTGAGTGAATTTGTAAAAATGGAGAAAATTGGTCATCGTTATGTAATCCAATACTTTCATTTGAAAGGCCTCAGCCCAACCAGTATAAAAACTGAACGAGATTCTACTCTGGGCGAGTCTGCGCCTTCATTTACTACAGTAAAATATTGGGTAGCAGAGTTTAAAGGAGGCCGTAGGAGCTGCCAAGACGAGCATCGCAGTGGTTGACCAAATGACGTGACAACTCCAGAAATGGCAAAGAAAATCCACAAATCGGTACTGGGTGATCGTCGACTGAAAGTGCGCAAGCTATCAGACATAGTAGGCATTTCGAAAAGTGCGGTACATCGCATATTATCTGAAAATTTAGACATGAGAAAGCTGTGTGCAAGATGGGTGCCGCGTTTGTTCACACTCGAGCAAAAACAGTGTCGTGAAGATGTTTCAATTGAGTGTTTAGCAAAGTTTCACCGCAACAAAGCAGAATTTTTACGCCGTTTCATAACCATGGATGAAACATGGGTCCAACACTTCACCCCAGAGAGAAAACAACAATCAAAACAATGGACTGAAAAGGGAGAACGCGCACCAAAGAAGGCGAAGACCATTCCAACTGCAGGCAAGGTCATGGCGTTGGTTTTTTGGGATGTGTGCGGGGGATAATTTTCATTGACTATCTTGAAAAAGGAAAAACTATCAATGGCGAGTATTATGCAAACTTATTGCAACGTTTGTGCGAATAAATCAAGCAAAAATGACCACACTTGGCAAAGAAGAAAGTGTTGTTTCAGCAGGACAATGCACCAGCTCACAAATCCGTTATTGCAATGGCCAAAATTAATGAATTAAAATTTGAATTGCTACCTCATGCACCCTATTCGCCAGATTTAGCCCCCTCTGATTATTTTGTTGCCAAACTTGAAACAATGGCTCAGTGGTCAAAGATTTTCCAACAATGAAGAAGTGATGTTGGTAGTTAATGGCTATTTTGAGGAGCAAGACAGTTCTAATTATAAAAAGGGTATCGAACTTATTGAACATCGCTGGGAAAAGTGTATAGAACTCAAAGGAGATTATGTTGAAAAGTAAGCATTTTTTTTTGTCCAACATTTTTGTTTTTTCTTTGTTGGGTCGGGTACTTCTGGGACCACCCTCGTACATAATGCTGTAATGGGCTTAAAAAAACAAAATGGGCAGACAGTGGAGGTTTTTTTAGTAAATAGAAACTAGTAAAATAACATCAGAGAATATGAATTCATTACTGAAATAATTTTAACTGTTAAATTAAAATTTGATAGAAATTTCTTAAATACTGTAGGAGTATAAACTCCAGAAGGGACAAGGGGAGAAGCAGATGAATTCTATAAAAATTATAGAAACACATATCTTAATACAACAAGGACTATCTTTTTGTAACAGGAGATTTAAATGCCTGAGTAAGCAATGTGCCATACAGAATATAATAGGTTGTATTGGAAAAACATGTCTCAATAATAATGGTGAGAAATTAAGAGAATGTGTCTCCTTCAACAGTTTCAAAAATAACAAACATCATTAGAAAAAAGGATATCCATAAATATATCTGGGTAGTAAGAGGTTATAGATCCCTAATCAACTACATCATTATTAATACAAAATTATCATAGAGAGTAGTGGACACATTCATGTATAGCAGATGCAATCTATACACACATCGTTTTCTAGTTACAAGTCGGATACAGCTACGGGCTGGACGGAAGAAAAAGGAAAAAGTTCCAAAAGTCGAAGAAATGTACAAAATCTGTCTTAAAGTAGAAAATGTAAATAATCTGTATCAACAGCAACTAACCCAGAAACTTTAACAAATATCCTCAAAAGTAATAAGGAATGAAGAAATAACAAGAATGCTGTAAAAGAAACAACCATTGGATATATTTGTTTGGGTACAAGGAAAAAATTATTGCAAAAGAGGGCCTGAAATATGGAACAATAAGATACAAGAAGCAATAGCTCTAAAACAAAAAAAAATTTGAGATTTTTTATAAAAGAAATCAGAAGCTAAGAAACAATATCAAATCACCATTAATAGAAGAAAAACAATGATCAGAGAGGCGCACATGAAATCCTGGGTTAACTTTACAAAAGAATTCAGTGTGACACCCATAAAAAGACAAGTTTGCTTACAAAGTCTTGAAACATCTTAATGCAGCTGAAAAAGATGTTGCACAATAAAAAATAGTATCTAAAGAAGATTGGATCCATCACCACTAACAATTATGGTACAACCTAGAAGCAAAAGACACTGTAGATGCAGAATCTAAGGAGAGAACAATGGATCCCATAGAATTTAAGGAATTAAAACAAGATGTGAAAAAAAATGAAAAATAGGTGAGCAACAGAACCAGATAGGATAAATGATGAATAACTTAAATACGGAAGACCATTTCCACACCTCAGATTACTACATTTAATTAACATGTGGAAAACGTGCAAGATTGGAATGCAGCCAATGTTATCTCTCTTTTTAAATAAGAAATGACACCAAAAACTACAGAGAAATTAGTCTACTCAATTGAGCATATAAGTTGTACAGTAGAGTAATAAATGGGCAACTGAGATATATCAGAAAGCATGTTATTATAAGAACAATCAGGTTTTCACAAAGGCAGATCCTGCTATGACGTCTTCTTTTTAAAATGGATAATACAAATAAGCAGAGAGTATAACTTGGTAATACCCCTAGCTTTCATAAACTTTGATTAGACCTTTGACAAAGTAAACAGAGAAACATGATGAAAAATAATGGGATAATAAGGCTATCCAAGACACCTGATTGATGTGATTTAAAGTCTATAGAAACACAAAGATAATAATTGATACTGAAAACAGCTAACACAGGAAAGTTAAATAAATCAAGGAGTATAACAAAGGTATGCACTTTTCCCCCAACATATTTAATACAAGTATATAACCTTCTCTGAGAATGAAAACACGATACATATTCTGGCCTAAAAACAAGTTTCCCTTTTAATTGTCTAGGATGCAATATATTCAATGGAAAAGAGAAAAATATAATAAACTAGATTAATCGCTATTCGAGGATTTGTGAATCCTTAAAGACAAAATGATGCAAGAAACTTTTCTCACGTTTAATGATGTATTGGCCACTCTGACCCTATTGTACAGTTCTGAATACTGGATGACAAAGCAAGAGAAAAGTGAAATATAAAAACAGCAAAAATGAAATTTCTCAGGTCCATAATAGGATACGCTTGAGAAGTCAGAGCGTAAAGTAGACATCAGAGTAGAAGCGCAAATGCAGCCACTAACTGGAAAAGTTTTGAAAGAAGAGTGTAAAAAACATCTTAACTGTATGTCCCAAGATACACTTCCAAGACTGGCCTTGTGTTACCGAACTTGAGGAAACAGGAATGTGGGAAGGCCACAGAAGAGATGGTGAAGCACAACGGTTAGTTTTGCACAATGCTAAAAAGTCAAAAGAAAAAAAAGTAAATTTCTGAATTTCCAATTAAACATGTGGGTGAAAATGTAGTGATCGTGTGGAGTACGGGTGGAGAAAATGCAGGAGAAGCTATGGAGAATGTTGTGGAAAACGTGCTGGAAATGTGCAATAAATATGTGGGGTATATGTGAGAAATATGCAAGAAAGTTGGAAAACAAGCAGAGAATATGTGGGGAACTTGCAGGGCAACATGTGGAGAATCTTCGGGGAACAGGTGGTTCCTGTGTTACATTTCTTAAGCTGTGTTTTTCAAAATGATATATTTTTGAACCTTCTTTTTCATTCTGGTTTAGCTCTTCTGGGTGCCACTACTCCATAACATGCATGGGTGAACAGAAACGAGCAGAATATGAAAATCTACATAAAATTGTATTGACTATGTAATATTCTGAGCAATTTAATCTCGCAAGTCTAAGTCTTTCTCTTTGTTAATATAAACTTTTCAATGTTACTATGTCTACACAAGTACAGGGACTAAAGTGCTGTAATGCACTCAGGGGTTAATTGTTTGAAGTTAAATATCTGTATGAAGCTATTTTCAGTTTTAAAACAATGATTGTGCATTACACGCAATGATTGCACATGATATGTTTACAATATGTGCATCGCTCCCACTATATTTATTTAAACTTGTCAGTTAACTTTAGTCAGTGAACATATGAGATGACGTGCAACTAAATAGAATTGAAACTTGTAGAGTCTGAAGTTCAAAACCTACTTGTTCTATATTTATTTGGTGATGATCAAAACAGGTCTGTGAGAAATGATCTGAGAGTTTTCCCTTGCCATTTTCACCATTGCTCTATCATCATTCAGATGTAGTCAGTAACAATTCAGTCTTAATTTCTTGCATTCTTTTCTACATTTATATTCATTAAATTGTCAGTTTCTTAGTTTTTAGTTTTTACCAAAAAAAGAAAAAGAGAAATTGATAATTTTTTGGTAACACTTTTATGTGCGTAATATAATCAAAATTTTCTGTCCATTCAAAAACGTACTGATGAGATTTCACTGAATTGGATATAAGTTTGTTATTTATTAGTTTACCAGTAATTTAGAATTCCTGAATTGTAAATTAATTATTCAGCCAACATACTTAATGACTTTATGAAATTTAAAGCCTGGATATTTCATTAGATTGAATGAATATGAATTTGCAGATACTAGGTAAATTCCTTTCACATATATAAATTATAGATATCTTGATTACATTTTAATAATGAATTAAAATAGTTTCATCATTATTAGGAAGAATAATGTTTAAACAGCAGATTTTCCTTGCACTCCTTGCATGCTTCAAAGTGAATTGAAAGAGGAAGAAGTATTTTTGCATTTAAGTATAATTAGGTTTTTTGAATCAATTGATTGCAAAATATTGCATTTTTTTGCAGGTCTGGGAAACAATTTGTAAAATTTGTAAATATGTTAATGAATGATACTACCTTTCTTTTGGATGAGAGCCTTGAATCACTAAAGGTAGGTTATGTTATTTTAAATACTTTGACATCAACAAGGAACACTAGATACAAGCATACAAGAGAATGTCATATTGACTATCCTTTATTGCATTCTCATTCAATTTAACAAAGAAACATGGAAACGGTTTTGTTAACAAATAAATATCAACTTATAATGTAATAGTGTAAACAAGGCAGATGCTACATTTGAAGAAATAGAACATGTAGTTTTAAATATGAAGTGCATTAGCATATATCTTTTCTTTTTAATTTTTTAAAAAATGTATTTATTTATTTATTTATTTTTTTAAGATTTCTGTAATTGTTTCTCATTTCTGGGGGTAATTTTGGAAGATCTCTGTATATCATGTACATGAAAATTTCATGAATTTCTCAAAATTATATCCCAGAGTGCTTTCTTTTCTTCTTGAAGAATTAAGAAGTTGAAAACTACCTTATTTCTTCTTTATGAAACTAAGAGACACCTTTGCCCTTGAAAAGTGACTTGAAGCCTATGTAATAACTACTACTATTACTACTACTACTGTTACTATTACTGTCCATATGTGGACAGCAGAAGTGCCTAACCCATTCTTTCAAAATTGTCTCAAAAATGGCTTCAAATTTTTGGATTAAATTATTTTCGGAGATTGATTAAATACTCCTATAAGAATTGGTGCATGTCCAATTTTATAAAACTGTAGTTTTGGAAGTTGCATGTATTTAAAATTGTTTCAGCATTTTTGTAGAACTACAATATTAAAGAAAGATATTTTTTTCATGATATATATTCTTCAAAGTTAGTTCTTAAATTGTAAAATCTCTGAATTTTCAAAAATAGCCAATGCAAATGTTCATCTCTGCTTTTTTTTAGAAGGTTTAGTTGTTGTGAAGGTTGTTTTATCTCCAAGGCTGGTTGTGTAAAGATAACGTAAACAGTGAGTTAGAGCTAAGAACCTGAGTTATAATCCCAGCATGGAAAAGTGTTGTTCCTAGTTGGAAACACTTTTGCTGGTTCAAGTAGTATAGTATTATTTTGTAGCTGCTACAAATTGTGAGAAGTATGTGCTGTTTGCAGTACCACTAGTTAACCTATTTTGAAAAAAAAGTTATGATTTTTTTTTTTCTTTTTCATTTACTTTTTATTTCCAAATATGTTTTATAAGATTCACTTTTTATTAAGATATATTTTAATAACTTTTTGATAATTTTTATTTCCTTAACTTTGTAAACAGGACATCCTTTTGTATTTATGACTGTGTAAGCCCCTCAGATCCAGTCATTCCTATTAGGTGCTATTAGCTGCTATCCCATACGATATTATAGCTACTTATTTACCATTCCTTTCATGCTACTGCAACTCCATCCATTCCGTGTGCCTAGAAATGGCATGTTGAGAGACTTGATTGGCTTATGGATAATTTGTATTCAAGTATTCTTGAAACACAAATGTCAAATCAACTGTGTGAAATTGAAAAAGAGAAATATTTGTGTGTACTATTTTCTCTTTTTGTAAGAGAATTTTTTTTATGGAGGTTCTTGTATTTGGCTCTCTTATTTTTGAAGTTTGTTCTATATGTATTGTAACAAATTTGGATTTTTGGGGTGCAATAAATATCAAACATGACAGGTTTTTTTGCTTCATTCTGGTTGCAGAGAATTCATGAGGTTCAGGAGCTTATGGCAGATACAACAGCATGGGCAGCTCTGCCGTCAGATCAGCAACAATCTCGTCAGCGGCAACTAACAGCTGATGAACGACAGTGCAGGTATTGCTAATAATTGAGAATTTGAAGAACTGTGATTTACATTGTACATTTTCTAATGAATGGTTGAGATGATATGACAAAAGTGCTTTATTCTAATACTTAAAAGAAGTTCATGTTATTTTTAATTTAATGCATGGTTTCATACACTAAGTATGTTGTAAGTATATATTACTGATTATATTTCAACATACACTAAGTATGTTGAAATATAATTTGTAATATTTTTTCTGGATATGTTTTTTTGCAAGGGTAAATATTTTCTAAATAAATTCATGTTTTGTTTTATGATTTACAGGTCATATTTGACCTTGGCTAAAGAAACTGTGGACATGTTTCATTATTTGACAGCAGATATCAAAGAACCTTTTCTACGACCGGAACTTGTAGACCGACTGTCTGCTATGCTCAACTTCAATTTACAACAACTTTGTGGTCCTAAGTGTGAGTATGTCATTCTGTCAGAAGCAAATACTTCTAATATCTTGATTTACACATTTTATTTTTAAATTTAATTTAACAAGTGTAGAATACCCTTAACTAGTCATTCTCGTACTCATGAAATTCACTTCCTGTCGTCACCAAACCAAAATCACAAGCAAATTAGATATTTTGTTACCAGGGCCATCCTGTAAAGGAGTTCTTGAGACAATGCCCAGATCAGATGGCATGCTTTACAGACCATTAACAAGTTCCAACAGAAAGGAAATAAAGATCAGTAATCTTCACTATTGTGAATAAAATGTATCCCCCTCCATTTAAGTGCCTCTAGATGTCTCTGTTTATGGAATCTGACTGCGTCCTATCACAAGAAGATACTAATCAACTATTTCTCCACAGCTATTTCATTTCTTAATACATTACAGTTTAAAACTGCTAGATGTAACCATGTAATGGAGGTCAATTTACAAAATGTGCCTAGCTGCTGGCTGTGGACCTAAGTGACTATTTAAAAGAGGGAATGTTACACGTGACTTAGCGGAAACTCCATTAATGATCATTGTTTCCAGGGGAAAAAATGGCCATTAATGAAGGTGACCTTTTAACCAAGATTGTTTCACTGAATGTTCATTAGGATAAAATAGATATTTTCCTAAACATCCGATACCTACTTATAACCCCATGAAAGAAAGCTGTCAGAGATGAGAAACCGCTCCCAACTGTGCATTCGTACAGCACAATGACCTTTACTCTCAGTAGTGGGAACTAGGACCTGTGGAAGTGCAGATCTAGCTGCCTACCTGCTGCTTGGTATCAAAATCTACTCTTATGAGTTAATTGTGCATGAATAAAAGCTACAATGATTGTTTTGCAGGTAAGAATTTAAAAGTGAGAACTCCTGAGAAATATGGGTGGGAGCCACGACGGCTTCTTAGCCAACTAGCCGACATCTACCTGCACCTAGACTGTGAAGAGTTTGCTGCTGCCCTGGCGGGAGATGAGGTGAGCAGTGGTGAGGGATTGTCTGCGCCAATTAGGTACGGGACATATACCCTGTGCTCATTGACAAGCCCTCTTCCCTGCCTTGCAGCGATCATTCAAGAAGGAGCTGTTTGAGGATGCTGCCAATCGGATGGAGCGGGCCCTGATCAAGACACCCTCCGAAATTGACAAGTTTCGTAGCTTAGCCGAGAAAGCCAGTGAAATTGCCATTCAAAACATTAAGCAGGAAGTTGACTACAGTGATGCTCCTGATGAATTTAGAGGTTTGTTCATCATCTGTTACTTTTTGGGAAAAATAAATATATATATCTATATATATCTATATATA